CATTATCAGCAAACAGGGCGGTTGGTGTAGTGGTTAACATTTCTGCCTTCCAAGCAGGAGACATGGGTTCGATTCCCGTACCGCTCATTTTTCATTTATATTTTTTTTTTTTTTTTTTTGGAACTGTATACGCACAGATCAAAAGATCGTTTGTTTACATTTATAGAACCGTGTTATAAATTGCTACTTACCATCACAATATAAATATACTATTCAGTAGGCTAACGCATCCTGTTTCTGATACTATGACTTCTATGAAGCCGACAGTCAAATCTGTGAGCACCCTCAACAGCGTTCAGCAATTAAAGGATGCTATGGGACACATATTTCAAGACTCTCAAATATCATTGATGAGCCACAGAAAATTGGTCATCGTCATGAAAAATATATTTAAAAGAGCTATTGATTTAGGCTATCATGAGTATTTCGGCTTAATATTCACTAAATTTGTCAATAAAATTCTTGCATTAAAGAAAGGTGAACAAGTTGGAGATAGAGTTGTCAAATTCATAGCACTGTTCGTGAGGACCCTAAATAGCGATGAATTAGAGCGCAAGGCAAAAGAAGACAAACTAGATCAAAACGAAGAATATGCAGATGATGATGAAGAGGATTCGACTACGGATTTGTTTTTGAAATACCTTATTAACCATTTATTGATGGGTATAGAATCGAAAGATAAAAATGTCAGATTTAGGGTAGTTCAGTTGTTAGCGTATTTGGTGAATCAGATTTTGGAAATAGATTACGATACGTATAGGGTCCTATATACCTCTTTGAGTAGAAGACTAAACGACAAAGAGCCAATGGTGAGAATTCAAGCAATAATTTCTTTAGCTAAATTTCAAGTTTATGATATGGACACTGAAGATGATGAAGAACAAGGCCATGAAGAAGAGCCACTTATCTCAAAGCATCAAATTGAGAAGATGCTCGTGTCCGCCATAAAAAATGATGAGAGTGCAGAAGTACGAAGAGCTTCCTTGATAAACCTCACACGAACAAAAGAAAACATACCATTTTTATTAGAAAGAGCAAGAGATTCAAATTCAATCAACCGTAGGTTGGTTTATTCACGAATAATGAAAGAACTAGGAGATTTCAGACGTTTGGATTTTCACTTTAGGGAAAGCTTATTAAAATGGGGCCTAAATGATAGAGATGTATCTGTACAAAAGGCAGCCGTGAGAATGTTAACTGAAGATTGGTTTAATACTGTTGAAGGTGATCTATTAAAGCTTATAAGTGAATTGCACCCCACGGAAAGCGAATCCGCCTCGGATGCTATGATATCGTTTTTCGATGCCAAACCTGAGAAGATAGGTGACGTTAAAATTAATGAAATTGATTGGAATAACCTAGTACCAGAAGAAGCATTTTTATTAAGCACATTTTACTCATATTGCAACCGTAATAATATCTATGATGCCATAGAAGCCAACTTCCCGGAATCTGTTGACTTGTCTGAAACGTTACGAAAACAACTAGAACTCAGAACCAGCTTTTTAAGGAATAACGTCGATACCTTGGCAAAGCATGATGCATTCAAGCAAGCAGTTCAGGAAATAGAGAATGAAGCGTTCCCTCTCCAAACAGAGATGTTCAAAGTGAAATACGAGATGGACCATAACTTTAGAAACTTTCAAAAGGCAGAAAGTACTTTAGAGAATTTAAACTATCAAATAACGCTTTACAAAAAAAGGATTAAAGACTTAAGCAGTGGAATTGAGGTAAGGCAAACTCTCAAAAAGGGATCGGACCGCGAACTAACAGAGGAAGAATTTTTTTTGTCTTTGGCTCCAAGAGATCTCAGGAGTTACATAAAAGAAAATGAAGAAGATATAAAATCATTGAATGATTCTATTGAGAATTTTGAAACTAATATTTTTAGATCCCAGCAAAGATTTACCGAATTAGAGGAGAAATTCGCTATTATTTCTAATAAACGAGATGCAGAGATGAGTCGCTTTAATTCAAAAAATAAGGAATATTTGCCGTTCAAAAGTGAATTGAAAAATATTGAATTTATAGTTGAACAATTGTTACTTATAGCAAAGGACTATGATTTCAGTGATGAAATTGGTAGACGGAAAATGTTGCAAGTCATTCGGATAAGTCTCATGGATGACAATTTGAACGATAGACTCACAGAACTCACATTGAAAGTCTTAAGAAAAATATCAATTAGTGAAAGAGACTTTACGACGATGTGTACTGAAATTATAAATGATCTTAGAGATTCCTTTGATAATGAAGATGACTCCTTTCATTCAGCGATTTCTGGTTTTGACAATGATGAACAGCCAGACGAATTTATTGATTCAAATACAAGTAAAAAGAGAAAAGTTGATGTAGCCCCGCCTCCAAATGAAGTTATCGTGCAGTGCCTTATAATAGCACAGCATGCTTTGGAATTAGCAGAGGAGCCCTTGGAACATAATTTATCATTAAGTTCGTTGAGATTCAGTTTAATAAACTTCGCAATTCAGCAAATGGATAACGTGACAATTTACACTCTTGGCTTGAAGTGTCTTGGCCTCTTCACTTTGCTCGATCGCGACTCTGTCTTCGATTCAATCCAGCTTTTTAACCTCAAGTTACGGGACGGCACTGAGGAGGTCAGGGTAATTGCAGTGAAGGCAATGGTTGACATTCTATCAACGTATGGACCATCAGTGATTAAGGAAAAGATGCTAATTTATTCCTTAGCTCGAAACTTTCATAAGAATTTAAATCAGTTTGACATGCCAAAGCTACAGTGCATAGTAGCGGAAGGAGTTTGTAAGCTCTTTTTAGCTGATATTTTTTCTGACTCATTACGATCTGATGACGAAGGTTTTGAATCTACGAAGCAGTTATTTGAATCTTTGATACTTAGTTATTTCCATCCATTGACAGCCAAGAATCCAGAGTTGAGACAAATTTTAGCTTTCTGTATTCCTGTTTATGCATTCAGTCATGTCAATCACCAAGTTCGGTTGGGTACAATTACCGGCGATTGTGTCTTTCGTATGTTCTTGGAAGATGGAGATTTTATGAGGTACGAAAATAAGCTTGCTCCTAATACTCTCATACAGCAATTAATAAATTGGTGTGATCCTAGGAACTTGGTTAATGTACCTTTGGAGGAGGTCCATAGTCTGCCTTCTCATGTGCTTCAGGCAATATCTTTGTTACAAGCCGTAGAACAGGAAACTCCAAAGAATGTCAAAAAAGCCATTATCAACAACCTTTCTAAATTTGCCATTTATGAAGAGTTAAGCTCGAAGGTGTTAGAAGGATTGTTAACTAGTCTTACAGATACAAAAAGTTGTTTCGAGGCTAATACAAATAACTCAGAATTTAATTTAGATAAAACTACCATCAGAAATTTTAACAACTTTCACGACAATGTACGCAGCTGCTATGAAAAATCTGTGGCTAGAGAGTTGAAAGAAGCCAGTGAAAAAGGCAGTAGATCGGTTTCGGCTAACGCCTCATCAACATCGCTACTCAATGTGAAAGACAAAGCATCTGAAACCAATGATGTTGATATGGCTAGCGAAAGGGAAGCAGCCTTGAATGACGTACCTGGGTCTGCTACTGATAGAGAAACAAGTTTCACAGACAAAAATCAGTCGAGTTCAGTCTCTGCAAACTCAAGCCAACAAAATATAGATAATACGCTACGCAATATTGACAAAATGTTAGCGGAAGAGGATGACGTGGAATATGATATTTCTATGAGTGATTAATCAAAAAGTCAGGTTCATGACTGGGATTCTTCTCTTTTTGTAACCTCGATTGCACTTCATAAGTCTTGAGAATTTATACTAGTCTATACGAGCGTAGATAACGAAAATTAAACGACGGGAACGACGAAAAATTTAATGTAAACACTATACGAAGGGCCGCGTAACAATAATAATTATGCTACTGAAAATTTAGATTTAAAACCAGGAGTTTCGTCGCCCTTTTGTAAAGAGAAAATAGAAGAGCATAAACAAAAAAGATTCAACATCTTAACAAAATGCCTTCTGTCGAGTTAGCCGAGAAAAATCATGAAAGAGACTCCAACTTCACCAAAGCCCTTCACGGAGATTCTTACCAGAAGACTGGATTGTCCGCCTTGATTGCCAAGTCAAAGGACGCATCCAAAATTGCCAGTGAAGGATATTTTAAACACTGGGATGGAGGTGTTACCGAGAAAGATGAAAAGAAGAGATTAAAGGATTACTCTCAGTTGACCCACCATTACTACAATTTGGTTACAGATTTTTATGAGTATGGTTGGGGTTCTTCATTTCACTTTTCTCGTTACTATAAGGGCGAGGCCTTTAGACAAGGAATTGCTAGACATGAACACTATTTGGCTTACAAAATGCAAATTCAAGAGAATATGAAGGTTTTGGATGTTGGTTGCGGTGTTGGTGGTCCAGGAAGAGAAATTTGCAGATTTACCGACTGTGAGATTGTTGGATTAAATAATAACGACTACCAGATTGAAAGAGCTAACCATTATGCTAAGAAAAATAATCTCGATCATAAATTGTCTTATGTGAAAGGTGACTTCATGCAAATGGATTTCGAACCAGAGACTTTTGACGCTGTATACTCTATCGAAGCAACAGTGCATGCACCAGTATTAGAAGGTGTCTATTCTGAAATTTACAAAGTTTTGAAGCCAGGTGGAGTTTTTGGTGTTTATGAGTGGGTCATGACCGATGCTTATGATGAATCTAATCCTGAGCACCGCAAGATCGCTTATGGTATCGAAGTCGGCGACGGTATCCCTAAGATGTATAAAAGAGAGGTTGCGGAGCAAGCTTTGAAGAATGTTGGATTTGAAGTAGAATATCAGAATGACTTGGCTGATAACAACGATGATATCCCATGGTACTATCCGTTGGCTGGTGACTTAAAGTATTGTCAATCTCTTGGTGACTATTACACTGTATTCAGAACCTCCGCTATTGGAAGAAAGATAACCACAGAAGCTGTCGGTCTTTTGGAAACCCTTCGTATAGCTCCTAAGGGCTCTAAACAAGTTACCGTTGCTTTGGAAGATGCAGCAGTCAATTTGGTTGAAGGTGGTCGCAGGAAGTTGTTCACTCCTATGATGCTTTTTGTTGTGAGAAAGCCCTTACATGCTAAAAATAACTGATTTATTTGCATACCTCTATTCTTTTTGTTATATCATTTCTGAGCCTTTTAAAGAAATATATGACAATTAAATGTGATCTTTTCTTGCAGATGATTTCAGCTAAGTGTATAGATAGCTTGTTTAGGATTCTTTTAGTTGTAATACCATAGATCTAATATAAAAATGTCTTGATATCTTTGCTCGTAATAGGTTAGCTGCAAAATGTCTTTGACCAGATTGCGCTGTAATTTCGAAAACGTGCGAAATTATACTTCATAGCAATTGTCATGTTGAGCAAGATATCTTTACATGAATTCAAATCAATTATAGTTAAGATATCCAATGACATTGACAAATCCCAACTTAGAAGGATATAATATCGTTCGAAATTTCTGGAATTTATATTACAATCCTTCCAAAGGTACTTTCATAGCGCCCAAGAAATGCAGTGGATGCTATAACAATGATAAATTTGTTATATGGGCAGTTTCAGTAGCTGCGCAAGCTGTGGTCGATGGGTCGCGTATTTATCCAAAGGAATTGGGCCCATTAGTGCCCAAGGCAATTGAAATCTTTCAAAAGTACAAAAATAACCATATCAAAGGCTATTCTGCAGCAGAAAACCCAGGTAATGATAAAGATATATACTACGACGATGATGCCCAAGTTGCGAGTGCAATGTTGACAGCTTATGAAACGACTCAGAATAAGAAATATTTGGACCAGGGACGTGAGTTGGTTAGATTTTTAATGGGTGGATGGAATGCAGACTCGAAAGCAAAGACAAAAGGTGGAATGTGCTGGAATTTGAACAACCATTACTTAAATTCATGTACTACGGGAATGACGGCCAAGGCTTGCTTACAGATAGCAAGACTAATACCTTCAGAAGCCAAGGTTTATATAGACTTCGCTGTAAAATGTATTGATTGGCAAATTAAAGTGTTACAGGATCCGGGTGATAAATTAATTAAAGACGGTGTTCAGGACACTTCCACAAGCCCAAATGATACAAAGTGGACTTATAACCTTGGCGTTACATTGTCTTCAGCAAGTAGATTGTATGATTTAACAAAGGATTCAAAATGGAAGAATATAGCGACTGATCTTGCCGAAGCAGGTATTAATCGTAATGTTTTTTTCTATGATCGTGATTACAGCAATGATAAAAGATATTGGAGAGACTCATCATACTTTGTTCAGTTGTTAATCGAGGGATTAGCTGATTATTTGCTATTCGTTGGAAAAGATGCCCCTGGGGACTTGCCCAAAAGGATTGACGAGGAGATTAAGAGGCATCTTGTTATGTTCTACGAATATATGAGAGATCCCAAAGATGGTCTTTATTTACAAAGCTTTGAGCCTCATCTCACTTACCGAAATGTTTATGACGAGAAGTATAAGAAAACATTTGGAGAGAGGAAAGGATGGTCATTGAAAAAAGAGGACAAAGACGGAGAGAACCCACAGAAATGTTTAATGGGGTGCGGTGCTGCTGCAAGGGTCTTCTTTCAAGGTGCCAGAGCTGTCCCAAAAATAGAATAGATACAGAGCTGAGAATGAATATGCGATTCTATCTGTTTCGATAGAATGCTGTTTTTTCTTCTTTTAATTTACTTGTTTTTACTTTCTTTAATTAATGCCATAAGCTATTCATTTTGTCTATGTATGCTAAACTAAAAATGCAATTTAAATTCTCAACTTTGGCAAATCGTATGCTGGTGACGATGAAATAGGGAATTGGGGCCTTTCTATGACAATAATTTCTGAACTACTCAATAAGTCAACTTTTAAAATGTACTTGTATTTTTGAGTGAGCCAATATGGTCTTTTCTCATCATCGCTTGCTTCCTCTTCATTGTCTTGTATTTGTCTTCTCAACTTATCAACATGGCTCTGCTTCAAGGATAATTCTAAAATTTCTGCATTTTCTTCTTCCTCATCAGCTTCTCCGTCAAAATCTACATCTTCGTTATCAATAATAGTTAAACTATCCCTTTTTCTTTTCTTCGAAGACAAATTTTGAAAGCTTTTGTTGATTGGAATATTAGTAGATAAGTCAAAAAACGATATCCAATTTGTACCGTATATCCAAACTCTATTGTTGAGTACTATGATGCCTTCCGGCTTTTCTTCTAACGACAAAAACAGTTTGGGCAAAAACTCACTGTTTCTCTTCGACCAAGGAGTTAAAAGAGAGTTTTTCAAATCCTGCTTTATAAAGAATTCGTAAAGTTTATTATCTTCTGAAAGGACCAAGATTTTGTCGTTCTCTGAATAATGAATTAAATGAGGGCATGTCGAAAGTCTGGTTAACGGGAAAACTGAACCATCAGCGAGAGAAATGACTTCTACTGTTCCATTGAATCGTGATATGGTTATCGTGGTTTCATCAGGAGAAATGGTCAAATTGTTGATATTATTGGCATAAGGAATAAACGATTTCTTTTCAGATGATAGCTCTATCTTGTTTTTAAATAAGACATGATTTTCTTCAATTTTGAAAGTGTAAAAGTCTTCATTTGATGTAAGAACCATCAACTGATTATCGGAAAATAATTTAACCTTCTTAGCACCGTCAATAGAGGAATTGAATTCATCATCTCTTATTTTTGAAACTTGAAGCTTCAGTTCATTCTTTTCTTTCAAGTGGAAGATTTTAACACTAGACAATGTTGCCACCGCTAAACAATTACCACTTCTATTGATATCAACAGATGTAATATTATCATCGTCCTTCAATGTCAACTTTGAAATAAGACGATGCTTTCCATCGCTTAGCTTCCAAATTTTGACAGTTTGATCTTGCCAGAGAACAATAATTCTCTTGCTTTTGTTTACCAAAATATTAGACTTTTGTTGGGGAACTATTATTTTTCTGTATTTTCCGTCCTGAAAGTTGAGTAGCGATTGGATCACAATTGATTTCTCAACGCCACCACTGATTAAAAAATTATAACTCTTACTCTCATAAATAGCCATCGATCTTACATCATTAGAATGCAATAATCTTGAGAAATTATGTATCCATTTTGATCCTTTCAAGTTCTGGATCAAAGAAAACTGATGAATCTTTCTATCAACTCCGGCTGAAAAGATTCTTTCCTCATTTAAATCACTAACCAAGCTTAACACATCGGCTTCATGGACTTTGAAACTTTGAGTCAAAGTATAATAATTGATATCCCAGAACTTTACTGATCCCGTAGAATCTCCACTTACAATCTGTCTTCTTTTTGGAAGGACGGTAATCGACCACACTAGAGTACTTTCCGATTTGGATTTATCGACTCTCATGGTGCCTAGTATCCTGCCTTTTGTCTCTCCATTTGCAGACCAGCACCTTATTCTAGCATCTGAACATCCTCCTACTATCTGTTCATTTCCAAACCATTTCGCACTCAAGACTCTGGAATCTTGTCTTTGGCAAATGTGTTCGTGCTCTAGTGATCCATATCCTCCAGATATATCAACTATCACGACAGACCCATCATCGCATCCCACACATAATTTATCTGCACTTTCATTTACATCTATAGTCCATATAACTCCAGCGTTGCAGTCATAATTTGCAATAGGTTCACATGTACTCAAGTCCCACTCAGTTATATACGTTGATCCACCAATCGAAAATAATCTAGGGAAGCCATCGTTTCCATGAGCCCAACACAATCCCTCAATAGACCTTCCTCGTGATCCAGGAAGTGTCAACTCATGCACCCAATTGAATTTAGGATTCCAGATTTCAATATCTCCATTACTTCTACCCACAGCTAATCGAAGATCACTTGTTTTTATTTGTTCCAAGGAAGACTTTTTTGAAAAGGATACGGCAGTAATAGTGTGTGGGCTATAATCCACAAACCTACAACGATGTATGTCCATTTTATGATAATACAAGTCGATTTTTTAATGATTCAAGTTGCACCTATATTTTGGAACTCATCTCGAAATTTTTCAAGGTCTAACCTAAACTCATCTTAATTACAATACCTGCACACAAGAGGAAGCAAAATGGCATATATCGTTAGAACCTATACAGTTACCAGATTATACAAACGAAGTAAAAAGGCTAGTGAAGAATAGTAGTTGATACGGATAAAGCAGCCATGCTCTTTTCATCAGCTATCAGACACATTCAGATATTACAAATTGTGGAGGAATTATAACATTATACAAACCCAACAAAGCGGTTCAAAAGGTTCAAAATCCTTATGAACCATTTGTTATCGCGAGTATTCAATGTCATGTTGATCACTAGATCTCTTTTCAGTTTAGTATGTTGGTTTCCTGGCTGAACTACAAAAGTTCTTCTCACCACCACATTTTTCTTAAGTACCCAGAGAATGAACAAAAGAGCAAGTAAGCTAAATGAAAAACTCTTGATCATTCTTAAACCATTCAAGCCTATGAATTTCAATACATTTATCATGCGACGTTGCAATCTTTCTTTCGTGTTAGGCAAATCCTCTGAGCTGTTTTCTGATTCACCTTCGCGTCTTCTTTCAGGGTTATACAAATACTCTTTAGAAAGTTTATTGATGATTAGATTAATTTCACCTTGCCAAGTTTTGAAATCCTCCAAAGAGGCAATATTACCAGGCGTCAATTGAGGAGGTACCGAATGAGATGCACCTTGTATTGGGAGCCTATTCTCGTCGACGGGTAATGAATATGTAGAACCAGGTCCTAGACCCGCTCTTTGGAGGTAATTCTTTTGCTGGTCTCGCTGCTGCTGTACGTAATCATTAATGGATAGTGTATTTCGCCTGGAGTGTGAATATATTTTCTGCAAATTATTCCTGTATTGTTGATTCGAGATACTGGGAGTCATCGTTGAATATCTGTCCGATTGAGCAGCAGAAAACAGAGGCGAATGACTCGGCAATGGGAGATGGCTCTCTTCTTCGCCTTCTTCTGTAGAGGGAAGTGGTAAATCTTTGATCTGATCCCATAAGTACTCAAGCTCGCTAAGTAATTCCCTCGCTTCTAAAGTACCATTAGCATAAACTTTCATTGTATCTATTAAGTAAGAGATATATCTTCTCTTTGCTTCAGTCTTCGTAAGTCCCTCTTCTCTTTTCCATGCGTCCCATTTCTTTTTGGCTCCTTCATCTTCCAAAGTGAATCCAATGGGCCTCTGCATAACGCCATCGACATCACCTTCTGTTGCTTGCTTATACAATCCATAAAGCCTTATTCTGTTCTCCGCTGGTGGACGTGGTAGAGACCCATAGTTGGACCGAGATGAAAGGGCTCTGATAGTTGTGATTGCCTTGACAAATACACGATCTATAGAAAGTTAGCAATATATCTTTTTAAATTGCTGAAGAGGCTTTATTTGGACTCGAGTCCTCACTTCTACAATCCCTCTTCATTAATACTAGTCAAAAGCCTTCAATTGAAAGATGAAATACGTACCAATTGAGTCATACATCGTCTCTTTTTAATTCGTGAATAAACGTTTATGTTCAACCAACAGCTTTCGATCGTATATGGCTAAGTTATTGTATACTTGACTGAAATCTCCCTTTAAAACTTTACTCTTTTGGACGATACAGATAGCTAGATTCGACAGAACAACTACCTTTTAATTATCTTCTTTTGACACGCCTATGAATTTTAGCTAATCTGATGTTGTTGTGGAATTAAACCCGACTCCACTATTGTGGTGATAATCATCCTGTGAGATCAGATTTATCACGTGATGTTTGGATTTGACTACAATCCTTCAAGTATTTACAAGTTTCCGATAATAGAGTAAAGAAATAGAGCAAAAAGAGTCATGAAATAGAAGATTTGATATTTCAAAGAGTGAAAATGTGAGATGGTGAAATGGACCTACCACATTCATGAAGTAGAATGCAATGGTGAGTAGTCAACTAACCTTTGTTCTAGTTTGCTCCAAAATAGGAACCAAATACGACACGGCCATAGGTATTCCCATAGTCCATTTGGCACCAGAGTGTTGGCAAACATTCAAAATGTATCGGTTTATGTAGAATTTCTGGGAGAATTTCTAAACCCTACAGGGATGAAATTAAATTTTCCGACGAATGGAGTGAATAAAATATTAAGCCCTATTAACCACTTTTGTACATAGTTTAATTTTCTGGAACATCTATTTCACCATCATTGATGGCTTCGATAATATCGTGGGGGTTCTTACCTTCAACACGGCAACCAACAGACTGAGCAGTTCCCAAGATCTCCTTGGTAACAGAAGCCAAGTTCTTACCGAATGATTTTTCTTTCATTTGTCTGGCGATTTCATAGATTTGATCTAATGGAATGTTACCTGAGTGCTTAACGTTCTTTTCCTTCTTTCTGTCTCTTGGTGGCTCTTTCAAAGCAGTGATAACTAATGACGAAGCAGATGGCACAACAGATGCAGTTGCTTGTCTGTTTTGAATCCTCAACTGAACAGTGACCTTGATACCCTTGAAGTCCTTTGTGGCCTTGGCAATATCTTCACCAACCTTCTTTGGCGATAAACCTAATGGACCAATCTTTGGTGCCAATGCTGATGAGGCTCCAATTTCACCTCCGACAGCTCTCAAGTAGATGAACTTAACTTCCGTAGGATCGAATTTTGGTGGCATCTTGTTCGGTTTATACTATAATTGTAATTACTTCCACTGGGATTATCGTTACAACAAGTTCCTTTAACTTGTAAGTATAGTATTGAGACTGAAATTTTTTTTTTCGCTCTAGTTTAGAAGAATCCAGGTTACACAAATAGACCGAACAAAAAAGCTTTCGTTATGTACTATATAAAATCGTATCACGTGTATTCTATCTATTATGAGGACGGTGCCCTGATCGAGGCAACATCAAAAAGCCAGTAGATAAATGATTCAGCATACAACAATATTCACAAATAAGATACCGTTCAAAATTATGTTACAGTCAATTGTTATTATTATGAGTTGGTGCTTCACCAGTTTGCCATTATGTAAACTTTTAGAGCGTCCCTCCTGGAATATCCTCGACTATTCTTGAGTTTTCGTATAAGTTGGAGTCATCCTCCATAGAAGGATCTGTAGCGAGTTGACGAAGCATTATGGCCGGGTGCTTCCCAAGCTCCTGAAGTTCCTTGAAAATGATCACCGGACGCTCTGCCAATTTCAATATTCTTTCTTTGTTACCGTAACATATCACAAGCACATATTTGGACCAGTCATTGCGAGGGATACGATGGCGTTTCATTGCCTGTTGAAGTATCTTGAGACAAGAGTCATCTGAAGATGCTCTCAATTGCTTCAATGGCTCCGTGCTTCCTCCCGTTGTTGAAGACAGTTGTGGCTGTGATACGTTGTGAGTATTAGACAAAGAGCCAAGCGGACGCAATGTGTGCCCTGTAGGAATATTTGCGGATTTAGACTCTACTAGTCGGGGTCTATTAAGGGTTCTTGATGATGAACTTGCCGACATTGTTCCCCTTTGACCAAGTGAGTCTCCTCTTGGTCTGTTACCAGCTCCCAGGGAACCTGTAACTGCTTGCTGTACTAGCATTCCAGAACCCATTGATAAAAACGTGCCTGAAGATGATCTGTTGGAAAAAGTTGGACTAGGAATGGTAGTATTCCCATTGGAAGCTGATGTACTTGATGAAGCTATAGTGTTACTTCGTCCCAAATTTGACTTACCTGAGCCACCTGATAAGTGTGGATCACTAATGGGTGCATCATCACTCGATTCCATCAAATTATGTGCAAGAAAAGAGAAAGTTGGCGATTCTACAGCATTCACTTTCGACCCTGGATCAAGTGTGGGCGTAGGCAAAGGTTTTGACTCCTTCAATTGCTTTATGACTGGTATCAAGTCGGTTTTTAATTTATTAAAATTATCGTTCAATCTCTTCATATCTTGATGCTGGGTTGGAGAAATGGGAGAGGGTTCGTTCGACATCCTCTGTTGTACAACATCACCAAGCTTCTTGATCATATCCTTCATCAAAATAGTCGCTAGCTTCAAAGATTCCACATTCACATAGTTATTATTAATGTTGACGTTATGCAATTGGTATTCAATATCATGTAGCGAAGAAGGTGATCTCGTTTGATAATGAGTCTCAATGAGTTCCGAAATCCCTTTTTTCAACTGAAGTCTCGTACTTAGACTCCCAATACCAATTTCTTTGAGATGCTCTGTAGTTAAAAATGGTAATTGGGAGCCTTCTATATTATGGTCCAAAAAGTACACACTTGAGTGTTTCTCATCTTCAGGTAATATTGAACTGACGAAGCTAGACACTTGTGCTGGATCCCATCTCAAAAAAGTGTCATTGGAAAGATTAGAACTCATTTCACCTTATCCCATCTATTTTTCCGTTATTTCTATAATGCTCCTAGGTACTTCGTTTAAATAAAGATTATAGTCACTATAGATATGTCCCGATCAAATCTGGTCTATTTTTGTATCTCCTCTGTACAGGACAGACAATAATTTAATTTTCCTGATGAAGTCGCTGCAACTCTTAGCTAACTATAAGGGAACAACAAGGAGTAGAATAACGTATAACGTATAACAATAGCAAAGTGTTCAATATAAGGAACAATTGAATCATGTCTTATCCTTTAGCTAGTCCTCAAAGCGGGCGAGTTCATGAATATGGTCACAATTTGACAGCATTCGAGTTTGAAACAAATCCAGAGGAGGCTGCGCCGAATGTCTTACTATTCGTCGCTGGTTTAACCAACGGATTGATGAATGTGCCATACTTAGTTCCTCTATCCAAGAAGATTTCAGCAATTGATTCAAAATACGGGAAATGGGTTTTGGTCCAAGCATTGATCAGCTCGTCGTACGAGGGATTTGGAACTTCATCCTTAAAAAAAGATGCTAATGAATTGAGTACCTTGGTGAAGTATTTGAGATCAGAAACTGGAGGCAAAAGGAAAAAAGTGGTTCTTATGGGTCATTCGACAGGATGCCAAGATACCATGCAATATTTGACTAAGAAGTCATACGAAGGGAGCTTCGAAAGCGCAATGGTGCTCAACGGAGGTATTTTACAAGCTCCAGTCTCTGACTCAGAGGCAGCGGCTGCTTTTCTGGGGGACTCTTTGCAAGAGATTTTGAAAGAAGTTTACGATGATTATATTTCAAAAGGAAAGCAAGATCACATTTTACCTGAAAAGTTTAGAAAATATAGTCTTGGAGCTCCTATCACGGCATACAGGTTATACTCATTGCTCAGTACAAGAGGGGATGATGATTATTTTTCATCCTACCTTACACAAGAAGATTTCAAGAGCTCGTTTGGAAAGGTGAACGTGCCGCTTTTAGTACTCTATGGGTCAAAGGATGAAACTGTCCCTGATTTCGTTGATAGAGAGAAACTTGTAAAGCTGTGGCAAAACGCAACTAGTAAGCAATATTGGTCTCCTCTTTCGAAGGTTTTGAAAGGAGCCACGCATAACGTTGGTCCAGGATCTGATAAAGATACATTATCGGATTTGACAAATACCGTAGCACTGTTTATTGAAAGTCTTTAAATATATCTATTTAATCATATTCATCCTCCACTTTATAGCCTTTAAGGAGTTCTACAAGACTGTCATAATATTGCTTGACACTAATGTCGTCTGTTAAAAAGTCGTAGGTCTTTTCTTCCGAGGATTTCAGTTTCCTGAAGAATTTCCAAATTCCTCTTTTCTCTTCCTCCAAGGATAAAGTTTTGAAGTCAGGTAAAGTGGTTTTATCGGCGGGACTCAATCTAGCCAATAGATATCTAGACTGTGAATGATTGGTCTGAGACAAAATTATCTTAGGATACGGTCTCTTCAGTTGTAATAATACATCAAATATAAAGTCCAATGGCTCTTTGATACATTCGTCATGATTCTTAATCAACTCTTCGTTATTTGAATTATGAAGAGGGAGCTTATTTTGTTCATCACTAATATAATGAATGACGATATGAAAGAAACAATCCATGACCAAAAATGTCTTTGAAGGTAGATCTAAACATTTTGAATCCAAAGAAATGGCTTCAGCTTTACCTTTAGAAAGCTTAAAAAGATCTGGCTTTATAACTTTGATTGCATAATCGCATTTTAACCTTGAATACCTGAGGTGATTATAAGCCGTCTCATCGGGACTTGAATTGAATATCCTCACCAAATGAGGGTTTTTGCGTAAGTTATAGACGAGTCCCGGAAGCAATTTGCAGTATCCATTCAATTCGTAGATGTTCCGCTGGTTCAAATAAGGATTGGATGATTTCTCTGCATCCGATGTAACAGATAAACCACCGAAATAGTATAACAACTTGAGCAATGTTTGATCAGTAGTCTTAACAAGACCATCAAAGTTTTCAAACCCCAAAGATGTATCAATTCTATTTATTAATATTTTTGCTAAAATAACTGTCCATGCATTTTGGTCAAAACTGGCCAATAATTCTTGCTCCTTAACAACAGTACTCTTCGAATTAATTAATCTCGACGACCCATCTGACATCTTCACAGTATTTGCAACTAATACTGCCAAAGTAGTCGACCGCGATATTGTAGTCACTCGCAACTTCCATACTTTTTTAGTATAGTCCCAGTATTTCAATATGAATTGAAAATATATTTCCAGTGGTCCGCTGGAGGTTAAGTCACTGGACGAACGCTCGGTATCTATTTCAAAAAAGAGTGAGATAGTATCCTGAGACTTTATTGAATTAAACTGCCATTGGTTTGTAAAATAACGCTTGGATAAAGCTGAGTCAAATTTTGTTAAGTTGTCGCTGATCTTTTCCTGAAAGGCTTCAGCAGAAGAATAAGATGGAGGTAATGGATAACCTCCTGAGATGAATTTGGAGAACTTTGCGCTGTTTGACGTCAAAATTTTAAGTTTTGCACCCACGCCACCCAAAGTTAAAGAATCTAACAAAGATGGTTGAAATTGAAGAGAAGAAAACGAATCGAATAAACTGATAGTACCCATAGTATTTTGAGGCAACGCTTTCATTTCATAAACTCCAACCTGATCTAAAGAACCTGCAAATAAATCAATTGACCATTTCGGAGATCCTTCGTTCACAGGAAAATTACTGGCCTTTTTTGACGTACTTGAGCTAATTGCTACCGCCGTATCGAATGACTGACCATTTGCTATGTGGGATAAGGTCTCATAAAATTTCAGGGCCATGGCAAAGTTTTTGGCACTCAAGTCAGCAATATCATTATGCGACCTCATGGTTGATTTATTATCGAGAACTAGACCTGGATGAGTCGTACAGGGCCCACTCGAGAAAAGTAGCACCTTTCCCATAAGGTATCTATATGATGATCTCGATAGTAAAACACTTGCCACGTATTGAGATAAGCCAGTTGAGCGCAAAGGTTTATATGAATTTGTAGGCTTGGATCTCAAACTTTGAAGATAATTTATAATATCCCGCTTGCTCAGGTCTGTTAACTGAACGAAATAGTTCATCTTCACCACCAGGCTCTCTTTCCATAACCCACTTATTTTGACATCTAAACCGAGTTTATTGGATATTTTAGTAAGCGCTAATTCACTAAATATCGTCTTGTAGTCGAACTTCTCAGAATTGGTTAAGTCTTCCTCTAGATCTTGGTCGATAATCTCATTTTTGCTAAATGTTACAGGAGGACCAGCATAGATTCTGTGAACACTGACATGTTCGTCAAAAGACATTATTCCAACTAGCGAACCGCTAGGTATGTTATCGATAGATTCAACTAAATGTTTAATTAAGCTTGCAAAAGAGTCTTGAGTATCTTCAATGTGCTCATATAAATCGATGACAAACATGAAAACATAAGGGAAATCTTCCTCTAGCTTATCCGATATACTTTCGGGAAGATTGTACTCTATAGTAGATGAATTTTGACGTAGCTCCATTGGCCATTCGTCCGCTGATGCCTTCGGTTGAGGAACCTCATAATCTTTTGGTAAAAACGTTCGTTTATTACAAAAGGGGCACCACCACATCATATTGGCTCTATCTAGCTTAATATGAGGATTAATATGACAGCCACAAGTAGCACATACTAGTGCAGGTTTACTTGTCTCCTCGATCTGTAGGTTTTGATTAGATCTCTGGTGTAGGGGGGTGTAAAGACATCCTATGGGAGTTGAAAGTTGAGAAGCCTCTAGCCTGGTTGAAGGCAATAAGTTCCAGTTAAATCGAACGCCATCCAATTCCTCACTTTTTGAAAAGTCTCTAGACATTTCTCTTGAAGTCAAGTCTTTTTTTAAAAATTACAACAAAACTATTTTCTTTATCTACAGATCTTAAAATCACTTAGATTCGAGATATGAGACTTCGTCTATCAATTCTCGGAATATGCCGATTGCAAAATTTTGATTCTGACTGCCAGGATTTTTCATTTCTTCTTTCTCAACATACACTAGTATACAAAATCAGAGTAGAGCACAATAGTGAAGCAATATCATTTACTCTATAGAGGTATAGACTGAATATTTCTTTGTTATAGGTTTACTACACAACTTATCTCTTTAAAGATTTAAAGTCAAATGTGGTCTCGTGCTTGTAGTTAGTCACAAACGCACAGTTGCCCATATCAAGCTTCTGAGGCTCAGCTTCAGGTCTTATATCAAAGTCAAAAATGTCCATGGGTATTCCTATTGTGGTACAAGCATTCGGGACGTCTACAATTCCTGCGACATGTCCTTCAATAGGAGCACTAGAGAGGAGTAAGTAGATCTGATAGTCATTATATCCATAACGCCTCAAGTATTCCACTGCTCGAATACAAGCCTGCCTGTAAGCAGTTGTTGCGCAAAGGAATTCTTGGCCTCCTTCTTCGTTTACTGAAAATCCTTCGAATGTCAAGTATCTCGAGGGACCATAGTGATTTTGAACGTCTCCTGGGACATATATTGGCGACTGGAGCAGTAATTTCTCAATTCCATTCTTAATAAGCGATGTTTGGATTGTTATAACCCCAGGCATTTCTATTGCCCCGCAAAATGAAATCTCACCATCACCTTGAGAAAAGTGCAAATCCCCAATAGAAAACTTCGCTCCAGGAACATACACGGGAAAATAACATTTTGAACCTCTAGATAAATTCTTTATGTCACAGTTCCCTCCATTTTCTGGCCTTCCTGGAATAGTTCGAGCTCCCTCTTTAGCAATTTTTTCTAACAACTCTCCCGTCGCCTTACCACCATGAGCGTTGACTGATTCTGGCAAATTGGCTACCGACGTGAAGTGTTGGTGTTGAATCTCATCTTTCAATTTTCCTTCCCTCAAGTTCCATTCCTTAAGAACATCACTTGACGGAGCTGTTCCCATGATACCAGGGTGTATAAGGCCTGTAAATTTAACATGTGGAATATGCCTTGATGTTGCATGAATACCTTCAAAGTCAAATATAGCTTTAGCACACTCTGGATAAAACTTATCCAAAAATCCACCTCCATTTGACCTGTGAAATATGCCACAGTAACCCCATGGATGTCTTTCCAATGGCTGGACGTCCTTAATTTCAACCACTAAACAGTCCCCAGGCTCCGCACCTTGAATATTAAATGGACCTGAAAGATAATGAATTCTGGTCAAGTCGACATTTAACAAGTCATCTGCCGAGTCGTTATTGCCAATTTGGTTTCCTGTCCAGTCTAAACACTCGATTTTGACTGTCTCTCCAGGAACGATTGTCTCTGTAAAAGGAACTTCAGGATGCCACCTATTGTGTACTTGTGGTTGCAAGTCACCCGGTGTCGATAAATCAATTTTTGTGACTGTTCTTATTGGATTGAGAGGCATAGTGATCTTAAATTGCTTGTAATAGCTTATTGCAAGAGTTAATTAAGGAGGCATGTAATTTCGCTCACTATTATCAAATGTTGAAGAGATAAGAATGTCCTCGCTTGTCTAATCGGAAACCGGTGACCGACTGCGTTATCGCACCGTAAAAAATAGCCGCTTTCAAATAACAATAAGCTCTCAAAAAGAGTAATTAGTCCTCTCCTTCTGCTTTAACTGGTTACAAATCCACACTAAATGGCCCAACGTAGTAAATATTTAGGGAGATACTGAAATAGAATAGTGTGAACGAAGGAAAATGGGTGCAATTTAAATTTAAAACATACATTTTTTAAAAAAAAAGAGCTCTTCTTTGAGTGTTTGCCAGTATACAAACATAGTTTTACTTCAAATCGGGATGTTAAAGCATAATTAAAGGAGAAAAGAAGTGTAAGACATTATTGTATGAACAAGACCTATCATTGGCCCTTTCTAATAATGATATGCAGACCACATTCGATTGACCAAGTATGTTGTGTATTTTTCACTGTTTTTTGCTCCATAATAATCTCGAATTTATAGTCACATTTTATAAGGATGTTTCTCGACTACTTTCATACGTTAATACTCTCTTTTCATCTCTATTGAAAAATAGCTCTCTAGAAGCTATGTAAATCTCTCATAGAGATGCTATACATGCAGGATGTTGCAATATGCGTAGCACAAACTTTCCAAGTTGTAATCTTCTTTATCTCTACTCAAATTCACCCGTATGTTTAATGTATAAAATAGGAAATGAGCGAAATGATTCATCATTAATGGCTCCTTCTTCAGTTAAATAATTAAGCTCACAGAAAGGATTTGCGATTGTGACTTGAAGTTGGGAGAAGAGAAGAGTAACGATATATACTTAAAGGAAAGCGAGATGATGTAACAACATGCGCCGTATGATGTCTTAACCGAGAACTATTTCCAACTCACAGATGCTTTCTTTGCATAAAAGGGTACTTCAGTCTTATGGTAATGCGGTGATTCCCTTAATTTCGCTAAAGGAGTAGTGAATTATTCTATAGCTCCATATACAATTTTTTGTTAAAAGAAAATATTAGGAAAGCAACACAATTGAATAAGACTAAGGACTCAAGCGAATGGTCATTATAACGCTCAAAGATTCATACTGGTTGTTTTGCAGAATTGATACTTGAATAAATCGCAAGCTCTGTAAAAAATATCGATCTCTACAGAAATTATGCTACAGATTAGATTATAGAACTATGCTTAAATAAGTTCAAAGTAATCTCATCCGATATAGTGTAACGGCTAGCACGGTTCGCTTTCACCGAGCAGACCCGGGTTCGACTCCCGGTATCGGAATTTTTTTGTTTTTTTTATTTGTAAGAAATAATACGTATCAAAGGTTCATTTTTTTCCTTTTATGTTGTATGAAAAGCTTGAGGAACTCTTGGGAGCTCTTGGTGAACTCTCATTAAACTCAGCTCAATATGGACCATCCTTAAAGAAAAAGAACTATTGTCTGCAAAAAATCACGTGATTCGATGCTCTTCTCTTATTTTTTTTTTAATAACTTTGTAGACTTCTCTATCGGTCTAAATCTACTTATAATTATTGGAAACTATGGCACAACAACAGTCGAAGAGAATCAAACGAAGCAAAACTCAGAACAAAACAAGAAGTGTAGACTCAGAAGTATTTTCGGATTCTGCTGCAAGAAATCAGTTAGCATCAAAACCCAAACTTACTGAAAAATCAAAAGTAAGAAAGTCATCAAAGTCAGCCATTAAAAAGCAACAGGCTAAGGTCAGATTGTACGGAGCAAAGAATGGAAGTAAATTTTCTGAAAGTGAGTTGAAGATTCCTACCTTGAATAGAGCTATAACTCCTGGTATTAAGGGAAAGAGAGGTAAAAAAGGCAAAATATTTGTAGATGATAATGACACCTTAAAAATGAATTTACTTGTTAAATCCATCAACGATAAGTACGACGAGAAAAATGAAAGTAAGTTAGAAAAATCAAGGAGATTGGATGAAATTAGAGAATTGAAAAGACAAGAGCTTGACAGGAAAGAACAGCAAAAGAAAGATAAGTTAGAAGGTAAAAAGACTGAAGTTAGAAGTAAAGCTTCTTTGGCCAGATCTAATAGGCGAAAAAATGCAAAATCTAAAAGAATTGATGATGACAATGATGGCACACGTAAAATAAAAAAGGTATCTTTTGCATGAGGAAGAAAATATGGGGTATGCAGCGACTATAAGTTACTAAGTTACCAATTTACCAAGAGCATAAATAATTCACGTTAATACGTTACTTTATCTATATACAAATCATACATCTTGAGTCAAGTGTAGTCTAAAAATAAGCTAGTCTTCGCTTTTTGAGGTTCTCATCTCTTTTCTTCTTGAACCACCATCCATAAGCGATACCAGCAATTGAACCTCCAATATGAGCAGCGTAATCATATCTACCCCACCTCAAGAATGTTCCTGCTAAATTGTATACTACTGTGCCCAAAAATAAGATCCATGCACCACCTGGAATAGGAATAAAAAATAATGCAACTGGAGCTTTTGGGAACAAGTAAGAAAATGTCCCCACTACACTGAATATAGCTCCCGACGCACCTAGTGAAGCAACAGACATTGAAGATCTCAACAAAGTTGGAATTGCCATTGAAAAAAAGGATGCAATGACAGCAGAATTGAGATACATAATAAGAAAATTCGATGCACCGACTACGGCGCACAACGTTGTTCCAAAGGATTGAAGCACAAACATATTAACAAACAAATGAGCAAAGCTTTGATGGGAGAAGGCTGCCGTTAACAATGACCAATTTGAGTACACATCATTTTTAACAAGCAAGCCATATCTGGTTAAAACCCTCGAAAATTGGGGAACTCTCCACATGAGAAAGACAGCACCATTGATAGCAATTAAAGAATAAACTAGAACCATTGGGTTCCTTCTTAATGGAGTATTATTCACAACATAGGGTACTGCAACAGAAGTTCCAACACAAAACAAAACTGCGAACAATGCAGGGCCCTTTAATTTATTCCAGTTTGATCTCCCATAAAAGCTATTATAGTTTGACCATACATTATTTCGCCGAAATGATCTGGATTGCTGTATTATATACTTCTTATTAACGAACGTTGTTCTGCACTTGTTAAAAAAATCTGGCCCAAATGACGACTTTAATATTTGAATATTAGTAAACGAACGTTTATCAACTCTTGGAAGTGGCGAACTAGAAACTTCCCTATTCACTTTATGCAAAATTGATACATTGCTGTTGAAAAAGTATCCCTTAGGAGACCCTAAGATTCTTTTGATACCTACCCGAAGCATACTCGTTTTAGTATTCTTATGTTGATAGGTTCACTTAACTGTTAACCTATTAGATTTTCACTCTTTCCGAAATTTGATAAAAATCATGTGCCCGACCATCATTAAAATATTGACATTACTCGCTTCAGGTTTCAAAATTAAATTGTTAAAAGTGTAGAGAAGTGTCGAATACGATATGAAAACATCTATGGATATTTCTTATAGAGTTTTCTTAATATTTGATTCGACTAATCTTTTGGAACTCTATGCTCAAGAACAACACAAATTAGATTTTGCTCTTGCTTTAGGGAAGAACAAAGACGGACAGGTGAAATAAAAGAGTATACCTACGAACTAAAAGTTGAAGATCACCTATGTATCATTTCTCTCACTGTTAATTGTGTTCATTATTCCATATCTGCCTAGTAACCTGAAATATATGCTCCTGTACATACGTTTTTGTTGTCTGAAATCTGATATCGAGGTTGACAACATAAAAACTGTTTTAGCTAGACTTAAGGAAATAGCTTATTACAACGTCTTGAGGATTTTGTGAGCGCTCGTTCTTTTTCTATTTCGCCTGAGTTCAGTCAGAATGAGTGGCATTGCTTTGAAGCTCACGTCTTTGTTAGTTAGAACGGTGGCAAAGCCAATTGCAACTACATTAAAAGCTCAAGCTAAAGAGAGGGAGCTTTTCAGACAAACATGCATTCGGATAGCTCAGACGTTACATCTGACAGACCTAAAGTTACGAATGAGGCTTCTAGGAGAAAAACGTATCAAAATCCGACCCTTAAATGATAAAAAGGCAATCGAGAATGGTGCAAATTTTTTGTCGGAGTTCTTCATATTTTCAGTCGCTGGATCTCTTATATTCTATGAAAGTTACAGGAGCCGCAAGAAGGCCGCAGACCAGAGAGATGCTGTGGCTGATGATATATCTACGTTACAGGATGAAATAGAGTTCATAAAGAAGAAACTTGCTGCTATCAATGTAAAAGTCGATGATTATCATCCTCCTGAAGGCGTGAAACCGAAGTATGTTAAGATTAGCAGTAATATTGAGGAAGTGGACGCACTCAACACTGATAAAAAAGTCAGCATCACGCAGAAAGATGTCCCTAGCAAGGCTAAGCCCGAGCCTGGACAATAGAGCCCGGTGAACGCTCCAGTGTAGTAATTACAGGGCGAAACTTCTTGTAGATAGAACTTTAGAATTAAAAAATACAAACGGATCATTTAAACATGTAATCTTACAAATAAAAGCTAACGAGTAGAATAATGTAAAGGTAACACAATATAATTTACACTAAAAGATAAGTTGCACTCAGCCAAGAATAATCATTGGGAAAGCGAGCACTCATTTTTGCTTCTTTTTCTCTACCTTTAACAACAATGCCTTGTTGATGTGTGGCAAGACACCACCATAAGCAATAGTAGCCTTAATCAAGCTGTCCAACTCCTCATCTCCTCTAATGGCCAACTGCAAGTGCCTAGGAGTAATTCTCTTAACCTTCAAGTCTTTAGCAGCATTTCCTGCTAATTCTAATACCTCAGCTGTCAAATACTCTAAAACAGATGTTAAGTAAATAGCTGCCTTTGAACCAACTCTGACCTTATTCTGAGCGCTTCTCTTTAAGTATCTCTTGATTCTACCGACTGGAAACTGCAAACCTGCTCTAGCTGAATGCGAAATTGATGATTTGGCAGTCTCGGCTGACTTGCCCTTTCCTCCATGCACTTTACCTTTTCCTGACATATTGAAACACTACCTGCTATATTTATATATGTGATGGACACCAACTAACAATTGATAAACGTCAGATTCGTGCTATCTTATACTAATTTAAATATAAACAAAGAAGAAAACAAACAAAAACAATAGTGTGTAATCTTGCCGCGCTTTCTATGTATCTGAAGGCTTGTTGATAAAAGTTGGTGTGACCCGGACATAGCCGTATTTGCTTACTCCTTTGCATCATCAAAACAAATCAACTATTTATGACGCTGTAAGAACCTAAACTATCTATGAGATCCTCTACTTCAGACCTTGATTTCTGAAGCTCGGTATTTACAGAATCAAAGTGTTGAAACCCTTTAAGAAGCTTCACGAGTCGTACAATTTCATCCTCCTTTTCAAATGTTGAAGAGCCATCACGACCATTGTCGCCACTCGGCTCTGCTGCAATAGACTCTACGTTAGCGGAGATGGAATTTTGTCTATCTTTTTGCTTTTTATTTGAATCAATAATAATGGCCCCAGGGTCATGATTATGTTGTTCTCCATCTTCCTCATCCTCTTCGTCATCTTCGTCGTTAGATTCAACGATTATGTCCTTAAGAATTGTGTGCTTCGAGTCCACGTCATATTTAAAGCTGACTTTTCTTTTTGATTTCCCTGTCATAAGATTGGACTCGTTAACAACGCCTTTCAAGTGAATGTCGTTTCTTTGCTCTACATCTTTTTGAGTCGATGACGCGTAACGATCCCTAAAATTTTTAATCAAGTCATCGAGTTCATTCGAAGAGTTTGCCTCAATAGATCTTGTGATTGAATTTAATATCGGGTAGGAATGCACCCTGTAAATAAGACCATTAGATATTCCAAAATTGATAAATCTTCGTATATCGATGTTTGTCAAATATTTACGATTCAGCAAGTACCAGTCTTTGACAGTCTGACCTTGATTTAATGATCGATATAGGTAGAAAAGGGTTGCCTTTGATGGAATCAATATGGTTTCTTTTCCTGTAGTGTTCTTCGTCTTACCATTCAGCTGTAAGAATGATGGTTTAGTAAACGGTGAAACAGAATTTCCAAAGCTACTAGAATGCGGAGACCCTGACGTACCATCCCTATTTAGCAAAGGTAAATCATTCAACCCATTATTTGTATCGCCCATTATTATATAGGCCTGGCATTTTTCGGCCATCCCGTTCACTTTCAAAAAATCTCCGATAAAGTTTGTTGGCGCATAGATATTGCCGAACTGAAAGATGTCAAGTACTTCAATGCACTTATAATGCATTAGATGCTGGATGCAATGTTTCGTCAATATATAGTCAGCATCAGCTAATTCACTAATTTTCTTGACCGAATTAATCCCATCGATATACGGTAAGATCTTGATCATCGTTGGATCCCAGTTTGCATCAACTAGCAGATGAAGCTTAACTTTTGAAATAGGGACTTGGAATGCTTTAATATTTATGGGTGGAGGTAGTATCGGAAACAACTTTATGTCCACCGAATTAGCGCTATCTAAAGGAATACAACATTCGGAATAATTATTAAGGTCTTGAAAAATTTGATGTATCAATGATTCTATAGATGTCAAAGTTATTCTTTGAGTCCTATAAAGACCTGGCGTATTCATCATATGGTCATCGTTGAAGCTAATTTCAAATAGATTATTTTTTACCATAGGCGAGTTTTCTTTTCTCTTGAAGAATGAATGATCTCGTTCAAGCTTTGATAAAATGAAATTCTGTTCTTCCAAAACTCTAAACATCTTCCCCATCCTCTCTATTGCCGATTCATATGGGGTAGTATCACTGTCATAAGGAAATACAAAACAAAAGTTGAAATTGAACGAATTTCTTGAATAATCAGAGTTTTCAATATTGACAGGATAGCCCAAAACTCGGTATTTTTCTATCTTGAATGATATCAACTTATTACATAGCTGTGGTTTGGGGATAATGTAATTTTTAACAGTATCAAAGTTGAACAACGATGTAATTGAGCTACCACGATCTTTGATGCTTGATATAGATCCTTCCGGCACTTGATGAACAATCTTTGTTCCTTCCGTTGGATGAAATACGGCATAAAATATCGCCTCTATGGGGACGAATCCATCGCTTGAATTCATTTATCTCATTAGCTCTCCTGTTTTGATAACTCCCCAGAAATTACCGTTGCATTTTGTGCAAATAATATAGTATGCGTAAATAATTATTCTACATATAATAAACATTTATGAATACAGTACACATTAATTACGTATAAATGCTATATTGGAGATTGAAAGTTTAAGAACTCGGATGTTCGTTTCTTCCGTTCCAATCACCATTGCTAAAGATTCCACTATTTTGAGTTCTTCCTCCATGTTTTAAATTCATTAAATCATTGATAGCTAGCTTCTCTTTCTTGACTAAGTCATCTTCTGCCGACACCTTGGGATAAACATTAGTTAACAAGCTACTAGAGTAGTTTTCGTTACCCATTGGGTCATCCAACTTCGTCAAAGAGGGCAGCCCACTAGTCAAGTTGAAATTAGGGGTCAAACTCGCCGAACCGTATAAACTGGAAGAAGGAACAGGTAGCGAAGAATGCTTGTTATCTTCCACATTAAAGCTATTAGGGGTTGCACGAGAAGATGTGATTAAGTTAATTTTATTAAAATAGTTGTGAATGACATGACTCTTATATTTGATGAATTTCAAAATTTTTAAATATTTTAAATCTTCATCCATATCCTCATCATCCCAGTCAATGCCGCTAAATGTCGGCATCTCATCCTCTTCCTCCACATCACTATCTTGTTCTTTCAAGATTTCTTCTTTCAATTCGTCATTTATAAGCTTCTTAAAAAGTTCGTCTTCTCTGTATTTCCTCGGGTTTCCCTTAGAAGTATCGATATCGTAATTTATGAAAACCTTTATGAATACGGATACACTTTTGCTTAAAATGACAAAGGAATCTTTTAGTGAATTCAATTCATTTTTTTTAAAAAACTTTAATTGACAAATCAACAAATAAAGCATTTGTAATATGATTGATTTTTTCAAATTTATAATAGTCATAGACAAACCGTTTAGCATAAAATTAAAGGGAGAAGGTGGAATTCTCTTAAGTTTCTTTCTTGCATTAAAATTACCAGTATTATTATTTCTTCCCCTTCTTGCAGAAAAATCATTGATCACAAATCCATCTTCATCGACATCAATTCCTAAGCTTTCCATGACCACATTTTGTGGATTCTTGGACTCTTGAACTTCTGGAGCTTGGCTAATGTGATCAAATATTAATATGAAGTAATTCAATATTTCTTGAGAGATCTTCGCTATCTTAAGGTAATAGCTTTGCGTCAATTCCTTATCAATGATGAAGTTAAGGTAGTTCATAGATCTGATCAAAAGATATTGAAAATTTAATTGGATTTTGATCAATTGTGCTGCAGTATGAACATCGGGAACCTCAGAATCATAGTGGCGAAAAATGCTATCCTGAGACATTTCTGAAAGTGACCTCAAGTCTGGTAATTCATGATATAAGTTGCTTATCATAGGAGGAGAATATGATGGCAAGTTCATTTTAGTTTGCAAGGGATTCAAATTGATTGTCTTTTCTCTTAGGGATTCTCTCCAATTAGATAAGTTCTTATCAATGGTCAAAAATTGAGTAAAATTATAATTTAAATTACCATCATTACCATCACCATCATCATCATTGAGAATCCAATCTAAGTCCTTCAGATGTCCTTTTCGACTATGTGAGTGATGACTATGACTGCCCTGCTTTAAATACTGATAATAATTTGGTGAAAATGAGGAAGGGATAATTATATTCATCAAGTTCAAAAATTCAACACTAGGTTTTAATAAAGTTTCAAATAATTCGTCATGCTCACCAGCGGAGGGATCTATTAATGATGATAACTTTTCTGGTGTCAACTGAAAATACCTATCAATTGTCACCGGATTAATAACGGTTGTATTTAAACTTGGTTTGAACCCAAATTTCAAGTTAAAGCACTTCAAAAGTACCTTGAAGACCCAAAAAATCTTGACTCTATTACGTTTCTGCTGAATGTTCAACGAAAGGTCGTTGAAGAACAAGTTTTTGGAATTTAAGTTAATTCCTAAGATACCAATAAGAGAATTTATAAGTGAAGATAAGACTAATGATTTTTCCTTATTGTTTGTCAAAAGTGAATAAAGAAGGCAAAGTTGATATGTTTGCAACTGACTCACGGAAACATGGAAGCTGTTGAAGAAAGGTAAGAAATCGTATAAAGATCTCACAATAGATTCGGAATTATCCTTAAGTTTGGCATTCCTACTAATCGAATAACCGGGACTTGAATGGTTTAAAAGCAAATTAAGGTTGATTGTAGGATCATTTATCATTATCATGGCATAAAGCTGAATTACAGTCATAAGAAATTCGTTGACGACATGATAATCATTATTCAGGAGGTTGTAGCCATTTATTGTAGCATCATCATAAGTAAACATGAAAGGATACATCGTATGAAATGCGTCGTATGAAACCATGAATTCTTTGTAATCAAATATGGGTATAATTATGTTGTATGTCAAGAAAAATTGCGTTACCTGAATATCCAACTCTTTTTTATTATTGAACAACTTTTTGAAATTATTAATTAATTTGATGAACAAATCATATATGTCAAACGGTAATTGGCTATTTACCAACATTGCATCATTACCGTGGTTGTTATTCCCGGTAAGTGGGTTGTAGATAACGTCCAAATCCTTATTGCTCAATTGATTATAGGTCGCATATGAAGGATTATAAAGATAAGAATTTGGGTCATTTAATAAATAATTATGGGAATTCGTAATCTTTAAAAACGGCAAATTCAAATTAATCAATAAATGATTAAATTGTGATTCAAAGTTAAGGTTGTCATTACCAATTATCATTCCTTTCTCATTTAAATTGAAAATCTGGTCAATCGGATTATTGATTTGAACAGTTTGATTATTCGATTGAGTTAGTAATACTTTGGATCCCTCGGAGTTGGAATTATTTGAGGGCTTGAGTGTATGTGTTACTGTATGACTGTTACCATTATTAGACTCGTGTGACTCTTCTTCACCACATTTAACTTTCAAGAACCTGTTCTCCTCTTCGAGCTCTTTGAGCTTTCTTTCTAAGTTCTCAGTATATCCCTTTGGAAAAGCTCGTCTTGTGAGCTTATCACTGGTTTTGCATTCGAATCCTATCCTGGCACAGTTATGGCAAGGTGTTAATCCGTTACATTTGATTTTCTTAACTCTGCATCTATCGCAAGCTTGAGATACTCTTACTCCAGTTGTAGTAGTTATCAACTTAAAGTTCGCCTTTGCCTGTTCCTTGTCCTCACTCTCGTTTGATGACATTGTTTTACTTTTTTAGGCTAGAATTAATTATCTGGGGGGGGGGGGTACTCTTCGAACCTTAATGCCTCTAGGACCTAGTTGAGGAACGATACAAGCCAGGCTTAGTTTTTGAGCTTTGAGTATCGCGATATTATCGTAAAGCACTGAACTTTTACTAACTTTCTAACCCTAATGATGTAAGTCCCTTTTGTCTAGACCCTCACAGTAAACTAAGTAGTCGTTTTTTCACTTAGAATATAAGAGTTTGAAAACCTTACTTTAGGTCTATTTTTGTTCCTTAAAATATATATGAAGGCTCTTAGAACAACGTCTGTCACTTTAGCCACTCAAAAATAATAAGAAATATAAACTTTCGAATTAGGCCGTTTTGATTTCAATTTTGTTTGGGGTCGGTCAGAAGGGTCATCCGATTTTAAGAACGGTTCCCCAGAATTTCGTGAACGGCAAAAAGGAGAAATGCTAAATTTAAGCTGAGAATGTAAGATTATTTTAGTAAGGCTTGCACAAGTAGAATTAATAAACTTCAGTCTGGAGAAGCTTATTGCAGGAAGTAATTCCAATTCCCTCTTAAGCGATCCCTACCATTATCATTGCCTGACTCAAATTATCTTAGGTGTAAGAGTGCGGTTACTGATGTGATAGGAAGAAGAAAGTAACCTTTCCATTTAACGTGACTGCTTCCTTAAGGTAAGAATGTCGATTCTTTTGCTTTCTGCTTTACACAAACGATGAAAGATGACAAGTTTATGAATTTAGTTAATCTTGTGGCAAAGAGCAGTTTATCCTACCTCGGGCAATTGAAAAATGAAAGTGTTTTATCACGGAAGAATATAGGCTCTGTTCTAATATTGGTAGATTGTTTACGTCTATACATCCTGATTTTCATTTTCTGTCTTAAGCATAAAATATTTTCAAGTATAAGTAGCTGCTCTCTCGTCCTGTACTTGAACACCTATTGGTTCTGTAATCAAGCTCGATGTCTGATTTGAGCAATCAGAGGAGGCATTGGGATACTAAAAGAGCATATCGCTCTTGGTTGCTTCTCTGTTTCTCGACAGGACCAGTAGCATCAATGGTAAGAACCTACGTTCCTGCTGCAATTCAATCTGTTGCCGTCGCTATCGGTAGAGGCTCAGAAGGAGAGAAATGCTCTAACAGGGGAAACAACTGCTTTGTAAGTTTTGGGACTAGTCGAATACATATATCGGCGTACGTATTATACTTGAAGGCAATATCAACAAGTATGGAAGGTATTATCTCCATTCTTTTAATGGGAATTGCTGATTATTCAAACTACAGAAAGACTTTCTTGGTCATTTCTATCTTCTTTTATGGGGCTCTTGCATTGCCGTTTGCATTCTTGTTTAGAAAAAACACTGGCACGTTGAAGGTTTTGTCTGCTCTTTACATCCTTTTGAATACAGACGGCGCGATATACCAGATTTTAGAAGGTTCATATATTCCATTATTTATGAGGTGCTCTAAGACACAAGATGAACGTGAAGCTCTTCAAGATAATGGCCTCCTGATGTTAAAGAAGGGCTCAAAGATCAGTGTTACCGGTCTTCTTTTAGGCAACTGCGGAGGAGTAATTGCCCTATTGATAGGAATTATCATTTCGCACACGAGAGGAGGGCCGATTGAAAATATGTACTACGATTTCCTTTCCGCTATTTCGATAAGTGGTAGCTTTACGCTTCTTTTTGCAGCTATTTCGACTTTTTATTTGCCCAGCATTAAAGGTGAAACACCTCCAGAAAATGAGGTTTTGTTGTGCTTATCTATAAAGCGATTTTGCAGCCAAATTAAGAGTATTCAAAAATATCCGCATGCATTTTTGTATTGTGTCTCCTGGGTCGCGTGGAATATCAGTTTCTCTATCTTTATGAGTGTTTTCATACTTCTTTTCAGGTCTACATTGGGTTTGGGTTCCTCGGATTCTGAATATACTGTTTATACATTCACGTCCTATATTTCAGCCTCATTAGGTCCGTTAATTTGGATGGCTTTATACCGCAAACTTCACATAAGCATCAAGACGTGGGGATATATTTTCTTGACTATATCTTTATCAACGAATCTTTGGGGCTGTTTTGGCTTAATCCCCGGTTTCTCCTTCGGGTTCAAACAACGATGGGAATTTTGGTTTTTTGAAATTTTATACTCCTCGAGCTCCTCAAGCATGAGATCATTGAATAGAACAGCTTATAGCTCGTTGCTACCTTTAGGGAATGAAGCTCAATTTTTTGGTCTTGAGGTCTTTCTCGGTGTTGCAACTGGTTGGGTTGGATCACTTGCAAGTGCGGCTATTCAAAATAAGATGGGCGATGAGAGATCTTCTTTCCTTTTAAGCTTATTGTTGGTATTAATAGCTTTAATTCTTTATTCCATCTGTGATATAGAAAAGGGAATGAAAGATGTGAATAAAAAGTAGTAAAATAAAAAGCTGAAGTCTGTACCTTGGCAAAAAGATGTAAAAAGCCTTTTACTTAAGAATTTTACCAAAACGTTAAAATATTCTTTTCTTGTAAAAATGAATTCAATATGTTCAAGAAACAGTCGCTACAATGTATTTTGATGATAATAGGAGTCAAGTTTAATGATACAGAGAAGCGGTTTGATTAATTTAATCATTGCAGAGAAGAAGAAAGGAGAAACGTATTTCACAAGGGATGCGAAAGTTCAAAAATGGCGCTCTATAGTCATTTTGAGTATGACGGACAGTTTTAGATAAGTTTTAGATAGATGATTCCTTGAAATATTAATATTCACATTTTGGATTTGGCTGTACTTAGTGAAATGCCAGAAATGTATTAAGGTTTATCTTCTTTTTGCATCATTGTGCAATATGCATTGTATCTCTTCCTCAAGGAATCACATGGAACATATGTCAAGAGGTTATTAACGGCCCAAAAAATTTAGAAACAGCTGTCTCTCTAGTTACTTTGATTTTAAATATGTTCCGTTTTCAATAGAGGATAAAAGTTTGATTTTTATGAAAATAAAGAGACGAAGACAAGAAAACGCATTTATTACGTACGCTCATTCATGGTGCAGCAATTTTTTTGTCACAATCAGCAAGCCGCCTGGCTAGCTCAATCGGTAGAGCGTTTGACTCTTAATAGAGAAGCGATCAAAAGGTTGCGGGTTCGACCCCCGCGTCGGGCTTGTCCTATTTTTTTTTTCTTTTTTCAAATTTGATTCTTTTTTATTTTAATCTCTATTCTATTATGTTTGATTTTTAGGTGAAGATGTTAAGAAAATTGGGTGTTGAGCTGTATGTTCTACAATTATAAAAATCAAATCAAACGCTTTCCTTAGCTTCTATTATGTCCATTCATTCAAGTTCTCTTCTCTGAAAGAATTTGTGATTCCAGAACTTCACGTGATGCTTTCGAATCTGATTTTTCTGTTTCCCTCTCTAGTTACTGATAGTGAATTGACGACAACAGTACTTCATTTTTTTTTTGGAATACAATACTGGAGTTGTATAACTTACAAGACATTGCCTTCGCTTGATTTAAATTTTTAAATCTTTATATTTGCATCTCAACGGTCGATCCTAACACTAGAATCATTGAAATCATCATGAGTTATAGGACGTCCACTGCGCTACCATCATCTAAGAAGACTCATTCAGATAAACATAAGCAAATATTGAAACAGTTACTCAAAGAAGGACCTAATAAGACTTGTGCTGACTGTAAGACGTCGGCGCATCCTAGATGGGCGTCATGGAGTTTAGGCTGTTTTATTTGCATTAGGTGCTCTGGGATTCACAGAAGCATGGGAACACATATTTCAAAAGTGAAATCTGTCGACCTAGATGCATGGACTGATGAGCAAGTTGAGCTGATGGTAAGGTGGGGAAATGAAAGATGTAATGCGTATTGGGAGGCGAAATTACCGGATGGATATGTGCCAGATCAATCAAAGATCGAAAACTTCATTCGAACCAAATACGATTTAAAGAAGTGGGTCGCATCTCCCAATATTCCTAATCCTTTGTCCATTAAAACACCCGTTAAGAATGAGCATAAGCACAAGAAATCCCCTTCAATCGGATCCAAGCAGCCGGCCTCTGCCAACGACTCTCTATTGGATGACGACTTTGGAATTTTTACTTCCCTAGGCGGTCATCACTCAACACAAAATTCTGCCCCAGCTAGTACTACATCGATTCCCAATAATTTAAACCAAACGAGTAGAACAGCAACCCCGGTCGCTTCAGCACACTCAACCGGTGGAACCATTAATAATGGTCGTCCTGATTTGAAAAAGTCGATATTATCATTATATTCATCACCCTCGTCGTCAACATCTGGTTTTATTCAGCCTAGAAATACAAATACTCTGAGCCAGGGTAATAATCAGGTTAATAACTTATCCAATTCATTGAGTGGGCTAAATTTCCAGACTCACAAATCAGAATCCACATCTACCTTAAACTCAAGTAACAAGTTGAATGCTCCACAGACGATATCGAAACCATCGACGTATTCTTCCACTACTCAAAACCAGACTCCTTGGAACAACGAATGGACTGGTACATATAGTGGATCGAACTCATCAAACCAGTGGTCTTCTTCTAATAATAATTCTATTGTTGAGCCTTCTGCTGCTACAATAAAGACATCTAGTCTTGATGATGATCTTTTTAAGAACGTTTGGCAATAAATTTAGAGTTTAAAAGGTACATTAAGTAAGTAAGGCATTAATAAATTCAGTACACATTCGACAATTATACTAGATTATATAGCAAATACTATCTAATGTACTTATTTGCTACCAGTAGTTGGCAAACCAACATAGACCTTGAAAGAATCATAAATAAGCCATTGGAAACCAGTTAAGGTACCAATCATAAGAATTCTCACAGGTAAACCATTCCAGAGACCAACAAATCCAATCTTGCTGTAAATTCTACTAAGGGACTGTCCCAAAGATTCACCAGGTATCTTTTCTGAATTGACCTTTGAAACCATAACATCTGCTGGGTGAGAAACCACAGCACAGAAAATACCTGCAATGTAACCACCTAAGAAAGAAACACCAGTTTTTTGAATTGTGCTATACGAAGAAGCTGGCTTTCCCAAATAATCGTAGATCTTTTCAACGGTCTTCTCAAATGTAGAAAACTTGACCATTGTGTAGGGAACCTGTCTGAACCACAAAGGCACTAAACCCTTATACAAACCGCCGAAACCTTCAGCAGCCGTTATTTTTTTATAACCATCAAAAACAGAAGTAGCAAAAGGGGGAATCGTGGTCTGTGTTTTAACTTTGATAGTCTCAAGAGGACACAATGCAAGATCAGCTAACAATTCAGCGGAAGCAGAAGCAGCCAAATAAACACCAGTCTTGTAATTATTGGCATATTCAGGACCTATCAAATCACTGTAAGTTTTCTTAAAATATTCGTAGAAACCATATTTACCAGCACCTTGCAAGGTATATCCAATGAAAGTGGCGCCTAAACCAGTGAAGATAGAATCACCTTTGGTCTTAATAATTTTAGACCACCCTTGAATGTTAGATTTATACAAGCTTGCATCTACTTGTCTACGACACTTCACCAAGTCCAATGGCGTCACTGCCGAATGTGTTGGTCCACAAGCAACCATACCTCCAATGGTACAAGCTGCATAATATTCTGGCGAATACAAGCGGATTCCACCAGTTGACCCCAGGGGGGCCGAAGATCCCACTTTATCGGTCACTTCCTTGATCTTGTCATTTACTGGTTGCGCAATGGCATCTGATAACTGTGATCCCATCTCTAATATTTCAATTTTTCAATACTTTCTATACGAGAATCACTCCCTATTTATTATCTGGGGAGTAATGAGGGTATTTATATGAGTGGATAAGCTTGCTTCTACCACTAATTTCAAACCGCAATTACCGAGACTAGACGGGTTGGCATATCGGCCGCGATCTTTAAAGCTGCGGACTTTGCCCAAGCATAGTAGCCGGATGGGGGAGGTAGCGCCACGTATGAAAAGCCGGAACTTTGTTATTTGTGATGATGTAGAGATGGGTTTGTGTACTCAATGTCCAATGAAGGAGCCCAGAAATGTAATTTACTTTAATTTAATCTAATCTGACCTATATTACCCGTAATTCAATCGAGAAAATCACGACATGAGATACAAGGGAAAACGGCAAGATATGTTCCATTGAACTGGCCCTTATTTTAGAATTATCAAGACAATTGATATCGTACGTTCTACAATCAATTATAGTGAAAAGTCTGTTTCGTGATCTCTCTTTTCTGGTCTTTTTCTTATCAACCGAGCCGCGTCGAACGGACGTTATCACCCGCCCGGGACCCTTTTAAAGAGGTGAACAATTCGATATATTGATGAAATATTCTATACACCTGAAGTAGTATTTCGTGGATGTTCTAGTTCTCTCTTTCGTTGTCAAAGCCCAATCTTAACGGGAGATGGCCCAGTGAACGTTCTCTACACTAACCTCAGTTCCTGCCTTATCATCGTATTCATACCACTCACCTTCACTCAAGTCGACCTCATCGAACTTAGAGGTAGACTCAGTTGCTGAGCATTCGAAACGGCCGTATGGAAAGAATTCAACAAAATCAAGACCTCTTGCATCAATTTCTAGAATAGGGACTAGTTTATCAGACAATTCAGTAGTAATTTTCTCTTTAGTTCTCAGGATAGAAGCAGAGTGCTCATTTTTGCACTGGCGGCACCTAAACACGAAGCTGGCTTCCCCTCTCGACCCAGTAATACCCTGATGGTCAAACCTATTAACCGTAATTGGTTTATCATGAACTTCTCTACAGGAAATGCATTGAATCTTAAAAGTGTATTCAAATGGATCAGATGTAGTGTCAACTGGTTGAAGGTCGGTGACGTTATTCAATTCAGCTCTTGCTTTTAAGTAAAGTTTGCCCATAATGTGATTGATTTTTATAAGGAATATTGAAGTATTCGGATCTGTCAGCTCGTCTGAAATTTTATGTTGCGCCGCTTGCCCTGGCAATTGGAATTTCACTTTGCCTTCATGCTCATACAATAGAAGAGTCTATATCTTACGAAAGTAGAGAATTTCCTGACTCTTCGTAGAACGCTCTCGGAGATTACTGTGTGCTTCCAACAAAATTTGGGGTAGCCTGGAGTTAAACGTTCTTCTTGTAAAGTTTCTGCTAAAATATTATTATTGTTTATAAATTCACAAGCACTTGAAGTATTTTATAATACCATAGATCCTAGATACTCTACAGGAGAGATAAACTGCTTGGATAACGACACCTGTTATAAGCTTTATTCTAACTTCCTTCTGTAATAAGGGCCTTGCGAGTATTCCGAACCGAGACGAAATTGGCTCTTCCTTGATTGTGATCGAAGCAGATCCTGAAAGATTAAGAGGGAGAAACATTGAGATTAGTTTTCCAAATAAATTCTGAAGTTATATCAATATTACTCTCGAGCATATAGTTGTGGATAGATAGGGATACTTCTAGCAGATATAACTTTCAGGAAACCAACGATTGTATTTGGAATTTATCGCTGAAGAATTCATTCAACTTAATATAGATCAAGTAATAATGGCGTCGGTAGGATCTTCATCACCTACCAGACGCTTTCAGCAAACGGTAGAGGGGGAGGACATGGAGGTGTTCGAAGCTGCTAATAAGTTACAGGCAGATGGAAAGAGTACTTTTCTGCCCCGTCACCTCTTGTCAAAGCTTTCGGAAAATCAGATAGTAACACTATCTGGCGCAGCATCCGGCTTTTTAGCTGGAGTTGCTGTCTGTCCTCTTGATGTTGTCAAGACTAGACTTCAAGCGAAAGGAAACCTTGAACCTTCAGCTTCGCATACTGCCAGCTATGGTAAGTTTCTTGGTCAATTCAAAACTATTCTTACGGAAGAAGGCGTACGAGGACTATACAGAGGACTCGTGCCAGTAGTAATAGGGTATTTACCAACATGGACTATTTACTTTACAGTCTACGAAAGAACAAAAGCTTTTTATCCACAGTTCTTAGATCAACACTTTGGTATACGAGCTTACTCAGCAATCCATTTCTGTTCTGCAATTACGGCTGGGATGGTTTCTTCTATTGCCATTAATCCCATTTGGGTTGTCAAAACGAGGCTAATGATACAAACAGGAAAGGGTAAGACTATCTACGATAAGCAGAATGCCTTACTGGGTTCTGCCAAAAGAACCTATTATAAAGGAACTCTCGATGCATTCAGGAAAATGTACAAAGAAGAAGGCGTAGGCGTATTTTATAGCGGATTAGTCCCATCGATATTTGGATTAGTACATGTTGGAATACATTTCCCAGTATATGAAAAGTTGAAGCAGCTTTTAAATTGCACAGACGCTGCCAAATCAAAGGTTGCGGATCATAGGAGCCAGGTTAGCATATTATGGAGATTGATATTTGCGTCATCAGTTTCCAAAATGATTGCAAGTACTATAACATATCCTCATGAAATTTTGCGAACCAGACTTCAACTCCAGGCATCTGAAGACAGTCCCTCTTCTGACATGAAAAGGAAGCATAAGAGTCAAAATCAGGGAAATAGGTTAATTGAGTCCATCGTTTCTATATATCGTAAGGAAGGATTCAAAGGCTTTTACACTGGCTATGTCATCAATTTAATCAGAACTGTGCCTGCTAGTGCTGTGACTCTCGTAAGCTTTGAGTATTTTAAAAGCTATTTACTCAAGCTTTCTAATAGCTAATAGCCATCTATCAAGTTCTATTTGTCAGCATACTTTCATGCATATTTATTCATATCTTAATCCATATTATAGATTTACTTCCCAAATTGTATGTAACATTAGGTTCGCGCCTAAAACACCTGTAATTTTAACTAAACAATTTATTATTATTAAAGTTTTCTAGATTGATCGCTAGCAGTCATCGGGTTTAAAGATGAAGTTAGCTTGGAAACAGTTAGCCTTAGTAGCCCTTCTGTTTCAATCGATTTATGGAGATGTAGGGAGTGATACATCAGATGTTTCTGGAGAACTTAAAAAAGATACTACAGATATAGAGATCGGTGCCATCAGACTTCGAAATAAAGAAATCAAAAACGAAGAAGGAACAAATGAGGATATAGGCGTTGGCGATAGTAAGAAGGATGAATCTTTGGCTAATGAGATTACACTTCCCGATTATTTAAGTGTTTCTGACTTTGATGTCACGACAAGTAAAATGTTGACATTAGTGGAGTTTTTTTCGCCATACTGTTCCCACTGCAAAGCACTCTTCCCTACCTGGAAGGAAACTTATCAGACATACTTTCAGGAAATGAAAGATTTGGGCATTCAGATGAGACAAGTCAATTGCATTGAAAGCGGTGATCTCTGTGATAGAGAGGATGTTAATTTTTACCCCAATTTGAGGTTATATCTGCCAGTAACAGATAAGGAGACAGGTGACTTACAGCAAGGTAGATCCAAGTTTGTTGGGTCATTTCCAAGGACCTTGGCTAGAACGAAGGAGAATTTTATGAGGTACATGAAGACATCAGTAGCTGAATATGCTGACGGAGTTACAGGATTTCCCAGTGCCTCAATTCCTTTGAGCGTGGATGATATGCTCAAGATAATAGCAGGGGAGTATGATGAAGCAATTTTTGTTACATTTTTTCCCGCTACCGATCAACATTGGAATGGAGTCGATGAGACAAACAAAAATACTTTCTTGAAGATGTGCCCAGAGTGTCTCGATAGAAAACAATTATGGGATAAGTTGTCTAATAGGGTATTGAGTATGGTTCGAACTGGCCATTTCAATTGCTTCTCGAATCCAAAGATTTGCGAGGAGCTAGGTTTCAAAGATTTGACTTCAGCTGGGTTAATAACAGAACCCAAATTTGTTATGTTTTTGCCAAAATCGTCAGGATTAATAAGGGTTGATTATAACGGAGAAATTTCTTTGCAAAAGATGAAGAACTTTGCTTTTAAATTATTTGAAAACTATCAGTACGAGACTTTGTCGGTTTCCGCAATGTCAGATGAGGTAGACTTAAGAGAAGAGCTTCCTCATAAACCATTAAAATATCATTATCCTTTGAAAAACAAGATTGCTGTTATATTTTTTTACGATGCTGAGACTGTGAGCGATGAAGATAAAGCCATCTTACCTTATTTATTGGAGTATGTCACTGATTCTCCTTTTAATATTCACTTGGCCACAGGGAAGGCTAAAAAATATGAGAAGACTATTAGGGCTCAATTCGAAAACCTCAACAAATTTGTTAATGACGTAGATGATGCGGATCCCGAATTCAACCAAGCTATGTACTTGGCTACAACATTAACTTCCAAGCCAACTGTACTTATATTCAAAGATAATTCTTTGTTAACCAGCGTTTTTCAAAGCTTTGCTCCAGAAGATATACGAAATCCTAAAAAGCTCGAACAGTTCATCAAAAAAAACCAGTATCCATTGTATCAGGAATTGACGCCAGACTTGTTAGATGTGTACTTTAACGATGGGGTACCGCAGAGCTCAGATAAGGTAGTAATTACATTCATCAACTCAAATAATGAAGATGAAACAAGTAATGCACTTTATCACATGTCTTTAACTGCTCACAAGTACTATCATTCCAAGAAGAAATACTACTTCAGGGATTTATCTAGTAAAAGGGAAACAAAAAATGAAAAAGTAAAAAAACTCATAGAGGCCAACGCTGATAGCGTAAAGGTAATCGATGAGATGAGGAAAGAAATTCCTCATTTTTTCGATAATGATGATGTTCTATTTACCTTTATCGACTTGGCCAGTGTTGACACTTTCGATCAGGTTAAGAATTGGAAATTGAAAAATCGAAACTATAAATCGGGAGATTCGATTATTATAAGTAAAGACTATACTTATTACTGGGACAAAGCTGTTAATGGTGAAAAACTTAAGAATGATCCAGACATGATGCATGAAACATTACTATCACTTCTAGATCCTGCATTAGTCAATAACGTAGAGTTGCCAAAATTATTATTGGGAAGTCCTTTTGGGGACAGTTTTAGGTTTATGGACAAGATTCACGAAAGAGGAATATTAGGGTATGTCTTGTTAATCGCTGGCGTCGTTCTTTGTAGAAGTTTTTTCAAATTTGTTTTAAGAAAGAGACGTACTAGTTCAAAACCCGGCCTCGGCATAATTGGTAATACCTCGAAGACAGATTAAAGAATCAGATATAGGCATAGATTCATAGATAATAAACTAAATCTAATAATTCACATTAATATTTGTCGTTGCCGAGCTTCTATCTCAATCAATTTTTTATAGCAATTGTGTAATGGCTTAATTTCAAAATCTATACCAGGAGTTCCACATACTTCGCTGTAAGGAGGAATTGTAGTATACGGTGCTACAGTAGTACCACTCCTTATCCGGCAACAGTCGTAGACTTCAGTCATTTTTCCTACCATGCAATCAGACTCAATTAAAACTCTGCTCCCTATCTTGGCCAGATCAATGACGCTTCTCTCACCGACAATTGTATACGCTCCAATTTGGACAGGCCCGTAAGAGTCACCTATTGTCGTAGATAGGATCTGACATTGCTTGTCAAGATAACAAAACTTACCTATTTTAATCATTGCCTGCGTCTTTGCCTCATCATTCGTAATATCTGCACTTCCTTTTAGTATAACATTGTCCTGAACTGTGGTATTCCCACTTAGCAAGATTCTTTCTGATCCCTCTATAACTGCAGAACGAGATATTCTGTTACCACTAGAAGTCTCTATCCATCCAGACATACTGCATTTATAAGATCGTATAACTTTGTTTACATAATCATATACACATATGGCAAAATATTGATAAGTTCTTTTTGCTGAATTTTCAACGTGGACGTCAACAGAGGAGATAAACAGAAAGTACAGACACGTAAACTTTTTTTTTTTAACTGGACATTAAATAAATAAAGCCCATAATAGACTTGTATAAGAGTTTGTAAGCTGAGTTGATTGAAGTTTAAGAAAAATGACAGAAAAGCTATTTAGAATTGATTGTGGATACCAGAACTATGACTGGGGAAAGCTTGGATCGACTTCAGCAGTTGCACAATTTGCTGCTAGCTCGAATCCGGCAACCAAAATTGATGAGTCTAAACCATACGCTGAGTTATGGATGGGAACACATCCTTCGGTACCTTCTATTGCAGCTGATCTGGGATTGAAAGGTAAGACTTTGAGAGATATTGTTTCTTCTAATCCAGACGAATATTTGGATAAGTCCATAATTAATAAGTTCCATTCTTCTAAGGAATTACCATTCTTGTTCAAGGTGTTATCAATAAGGAAAGTGTTATCTATTCAAGCACATCCAGATAAGAAGTTAGGTGCACAGTTGCATGCTTCTGATCCAAAGAACTATCCGGATGACAATCACAAGCCTGAGATGGCTATTGCCATTACTGGCTTCGAAGGGTTCTGTGGATTCAAGCCATTAGAGCAAATCGCTCAAACTTTAAAAAGCATCCCAGAATTGAAGGATGTTGTAGGTGATGATATCAGCTCTGAATTTATTTCGTCAATCAAGCCGACGGCTCACGAAGGGTCTGTTGATGATACACTGAATAGGAAACTTTTGCAGAAGGTTTTTGGGCTGCTTATGAACACGGACGACAAAATCATCAATGAAAAGGCAGCCTCATTGGTCAAGAGAACAGAAACAGACCCTGAACTATTTAAGGCAATAGATTCTAGGCTTCCGGATTTAATTCAAAGATTAGACAAGCAGTTTCCAAATGACATTGGCTTGTTTTGCGGCTGTTTATTATTGAATCACGTTTACTTAGCTCCAGGTGAGGCAATGTTTTTACAAGCAAAAGACCCACATGCTTATATTAGTGGTGATATTATAGAGTGCATGGCGGCTTCTGACAATGTAGTGAGAGCAGGTTTCACTCCCAAATTCAAAGATGTTAAGAATTTGGTTGAAATGTTAACATATGCTTATGGCTCAGTTGATAAGCAAAAGATGCCATTATTAGCATTCCCCAGGTCCTCTGGTGATGCTATCAAATCCGTATTATATGATCCACCAATCGCGGAGTTTGCTGTTCTTCAAACGATATTCCTGAAAAGGGCCGGCGATGTACAACATTTTGATGGCCTCAATGGTCCTTCCATAATAATTGCCACAAATGGATCTGGTACCATTTCTGTTAAAGGCTCTTCTGATATACAGAACCTCAAGCGTGGTTACGTCTACTTTGTAGCTCCAAATGTCGAGATTGACATAGTTTCAGAATCCACAGATTCCGAACTCACTACTTACAGAGCATTTGTGGAAGCCTAGAAGTATATAACTGAGCTTTTGTGGTACAGTATTTCTACAGTAAGTTTATAGAGTAATATAATGGTCGATTGTAAGACAAAAGTTTCAGTAGAGCGCGCTCGTGATTTTAGCTGTCATATCGGCTTTTAAAGGGGCATCCGGATAAGTTGATAAAAACTATCGACGCATTTTGTGGGAGAAGTTACATAATATTACTGACGAAGTTATAGGATTATAGTCTTTTACATAATTAAACTCAATTGAAGAGACTGTCTAATGATATACAGCTTAGCTTGAATAGAAAAGAATTGCTCAACACTAAAACACCCCAAAGAAAGCACAGAACTAAATAAATAGAACCCTAAACCATGAGTGAATCTATTGAGCCACCAATTGACGTATCTATTTCTGTGAGCGAGTCTATCGAAACACCAATTGAAGCATCTCCAAAAGAAAAAACTCCTCGCTTTACAGAAGAGAATGACGCTGAAAGAGAAGAGCGTTTAGCTAAGCAAAAAGAAATTGACGCTAGATCTATCTACGTAGGTAACGTTGACTATCAATCGACTCCGGAGCAGCTAGAGTCATTCTTCAATGCAGTGGGCGTAATTGAGAGGATTACAATATTGTTTGACAAATATTCAGGCTTACCCAAGGGATATGCCTATGTTGAATTCGAACTGCCAGAAAGTGTGGAGAAGGCAATTACCGAATTGCATGGCAATACATTCAGAGGACGTGATATCAGGGTCACTAACAAAAGAACCAACTTACCGGATTTCTCCAAAAGAGGCAGAGGAAGAGGCGGTAGAGCATTCAGGGGACGCGGCCGTAGTCGTGGTACTTTCCGAGGTAGGGGACGTGGAAGTGGACGAGGCACCCCGAGAGGCGAAGGTTTTAATGAAGTTGAAAATACAGCCGTGGGAGTGAGCAACACAGGCCCCAGTTCGGCTACTTTTGAAGAAAGTATAACCTTAGTGACAGAAACATCGACGGAATAGTTTGGTTTCAGATGAGTGCAGATTTTTTTTTATTTGCGAACAGTAAAATAATACTAATTATTGCTTTCCGCATTCCAAAGTATTCATACAAAAGTTTGCCTTGATATTGTATTATATAGCTAAAAACTTTATATCTTTATCGCTTAGCATCGAATTATATTTTTTTTTTTCCATTACTGTATATTGCTCTTTAAAAAAAAATTCATACCCTCATCGCAGTCATCATTAAACGTAACTGAAGTAAAACTGTTTGGCCCTTCTAAAAGCGAAATAAGATATTAACTTGGTACAATGACTTCTGTAAGAAAGAGAAAGATGAACCGTTCTTCTGTAAGGAAGAATACTAGAAGAACTAAAGACAAACAGCGAAATATCAATATACATTCAAATCCTATCATAGCAGCAAACTGGGATAAAGATTTGACATTGAAGCAAAACTACAAAAGATTGGGATTGCGCATGAAACTCGGGAAGATTGCAGGAGGTGAGGAGAGAGAAGTTAAGACATTGACCGAATTTAGAAATGAAAGGTCTTTACCGAGTATAGAACCTAAAGATATTGAACAAACTGATGACCCATCCCAGATACCTGAAGGAGAAGCACGCTTAATCAGGAATCCGGAAACCAATGAAGTGGAGAAAGTCATATACGGTACCATGAAAGTATCAAAGTTAGATGAAAAGGAACCAGAAGCAAGCATAGTCGTCAAACAGTTGGAAGAGTACGCAAGAGGCGGTAAAGCAAAGAAAGATAGAATCCCATCTAAAAGAGAACAGGATTATCTTAGAAGTTTATATGAAAAGCATGGTGATGATTATGAGAAGATGAAGTGGGATAAAAAGCTAAACGTACAACAACAGAGTGCAGGAGATTTGAGGAAGAGGATCATGAAATGGAAGAAGGTCAACAATATAAGGTAAATTTAATTTCTTTCATTTATAAATATACATATGCATGTAATTACTATATTCAAGACCAAATATATTTGATTATATCCTCGAGGGAAGATTCTCATCAAGTACTTTATCTATAATGTCACTCATTAATGGTTCCAATTCACAAGATTCATACAAGTCAATAAGTTTCTTTGAGCTTTCTGCATTATCTTGCAGCTCAACCATTTCCACGAATTTTGGATCTATAGGAACGTTACCCAAAAATTTCAAGTCCATTCTTTCGCAAAGCTGTAGACCACCTCCACTCAGAAATATATTGGTGCATTCTTTACAATATGGGCATATGAAACCACTCATATTCTCGATTATGCCCAAAATATTGAAATTCACTTTTCTGCAAAAATTGATTTCCTTCCGAACATCTGCAGTAGCAACCTGCTGAGGTGTTGTTACTATAATAGCACCATCTATCGGCTGTGCAGATCGAAGTTCCTCCGCAATAGCAATATGCTCATCTGATGTGCCAGGTGGGGTGTCAATAAGAAGATAATCTAATGTAGAATCACCACTAGTCCAAACCACGTCCTTTAAAAACTGTCTTATCATCGCCGTCTTCTTAGGACCCCTCCATACAACTGAGTTATTTCTATCACCAAGTAAAAATCCTAATGACATTAATGACAAACTGCCCCTGCCAATATCTTTTTGGTCATCATAAACTCGTACCGGGACCCAACCAGCCGTCGATTGATGTACCTGCTTAGATTCCACGCCAAGCATTCGAGGCATCGATGGCCCCGTTAAATCAATATCAAGAACTCCAACGTTAAAACCTTTCTTCACAAGTGAAAGTGCAGTCTGAGTGGTTATAGATGATTTACCCACCCCTCCTTTTCCTGATAGAATCAATATAACATGCTTCACATTCTTAAGAGAAGTAGGGGGAGATTCTTGTTGTGCTGATTCCATACTCTTGCTCCTTTATTTCATACTCATGTGAAAGCTGATGTGAAAGATTAGTTTATTAGTAATGAATTCCAATAGTGTGCCTGAGATATACACAGGAAAATATTTCATATGGCGTGTCGCTTTTAGATAAATATCGTATTATACTAGAAGTTAGCTCTAAGTGTATCGTATTTGTCATATAGAATGAGCTACAGGTATTCACATGGGGGTGCACAGCAAAGGGATTTGAGAACTCAGTTGTTTGAGGTCCCTCCAAGAAAGAATTCACCGGTTATCAGGAATAACTCGCCTTACGACCCAGTACCTTCATCGTCAGCAAAACATACAGAGTCATTTTTACTGTCTTTAGAATCACAAAACAACGATGAAGTAGATACTATGGGACAGAAAGTTACCGCGTTGAAGAACCTTGGGGTAAGGATGGGGTCTGAGATCAATAAATCAATGAACTTGAACGACGAGATAACGAACAGCTTTGAGAGAGGCAGAGTGTCGTTGAAAAACACTTTTAATAGAATGATAATAATGAGCAAGAGGGCGGGTATTACGTGGAAGATGTGGCTATTTGTGTTTTTCATTGTATTTTTATGGTTCTTCTGGATCTGGTTATTCTAATGGTAATTTAAACATTTGCATATGTATGTAATTATTCAACTAATGCATTCTAAGTTAATATATCTCTTAATATATAATAATACTAGCTATCATTCGGTAGGTAACTTTTTAAACGTGAAATGGATTGTAAATTGTTGGAATCGTGAGGTAATTCATTATTTGCATCGATGCTTGATGACGATTCAAGATCTGAATCCTTTGGTACCTTGTTTCCAAGAATTGTTCCGCTTACAGTGAGCCCGCTAACAGAAACCTCATTCTCTAAGGGAGGTGTCAAATTGAAAAGTGGAGCCACTTCATTTGGCGAATCCTTGACAAAGTGCGCTTTAAGCAGATTCTGAGTTCCTGTCAGACCTTTTTGTACGGTTTCGTTCTTTATCAGCAGGAGTGTTTTGACCTTAAGTATAGAGGGTTTCGGTTGCAAAGTGTGATGTGATGGTTGGTGCTTTGGAGTTGGCGATGTTTCTTGCCTGTAGAACTCTCTTCTAGTTCTCTTTCTGCCTCGTCGCATGGCTTTTCTTAATCTTTTTTTCAATTCTATCTCAGCTCTGAAAAATTGCTCTGCGTTTGTTTCATTCAAGTTGTTATCCAGAGAATCTTCTGAAGAAGAAGATTCCAAAATGTAATCAATATGGCCGTCGTTATCATCGTCATCGTCATCATCATCATCATCGTCATCATAATCATAATCATAATCATAGTCTATATCGAGAGGGCTAGAGGAGTCTTCTCGTTCGTTTTCATCACTCAAACTAAGCTCTTTAAGTCCATTTAAAGGCCCTTTAACATGAGCTTCCAGGTTCTTTTGGTTTGCACAATCACAAGAAGTGATATTTTTCTGTTGGCCATACGTCTCTGACGTAATTGGTAAACCTAAGATTCTTAATTTTTTGAAGTGTGAGGTCTGATTAGACAGTTTGACTGTTGGTGAAGACTTAATATTGGCGTTTGACTGAAATGTATGATCTAAATGTGATCCAAAAGCTAACAGAGAAGGATAAAGCAAATCCAACGGCCTAACTAAGCTCTTGGATGAGTAGGACGACTTCGAGCTATCCTTCGAGGAATTAGTATCATTTGCGCTGTTTGTAAAAATATTAGAATTAGAATATTTGCGATCTTTGAGTCTTCTAAACTTATTAATGCTAGACGACATAAACTCTTCGAATGCTTCAGGATTCATTTCTGTACCATCAGATAATTTCTCTGATGACGCGGTTGATTCTCGGGAAAGAGAGGATTGCTGATGATCAGAGGAGCAGCTTACCTGCTGGCCGTTAAGATCAGGCTGGACATCCAATTTTCGCTCCTCTTTTGCTTCATTGGTCGTTTGTAAGTTCGTTTGATTATTCCTATTTTCAACTCTGTCTTGAGGTTTCCGACTTTTGTTGTATTTGGTGGCTCCTATGGAAAAGGAGGTTTCACGACCTGAGCGGTCGAGAAGTTTAGAAAGCAAGGGATACCGATCATTCCACTCGCTTACTGATGACAGAACCCCTTTGCTTATTAGGGTTCGCTCAATGCTTGAGAGATTCCTAGTTAAAAGTTTTATCTTAGAAGATGCCTCAACTGAAGATATACTTAACTCGCGGATTTGGTCGTCAACAGAGCGGCTATTACTATTTGGACCCACGAACTTCTCTAACTTTCTCTTATTTCTTGAAACAGACTTATTAATTTTTGTTGCCAATTTCGCCAACTTTATGTTCTTTGATTGAAGCTTTTGTTCATTTGCCAAATGATGCTTAATTCCTTTTCTTAAATCTCCCTGATAATTCGAAACAACCTTTAACAATGCATCTGTCACTTCTTGAGACTCCTCTTTCAATTGGTTAGACAAAATGTTTTTGAGTTTAAAATCTTCAATTGATGGTAGCGAGGGGGATGGCTCAAACAATTCTGCTTGATATTTTCTTGGATGGTGACCTGTCAGGTTCTTTTTTTTCAGAAAAGAAGTTTCTTGCATAACACTTTATTTGCTCCAATTCATAAAGTTATCAACGAATTATAATTCAATCATGTAAAAAATTGTTTATTCAATAATTGGCTTAAAGTCTTGCGCTTAGAAATTGAAGAAGGAAATGGGAAAAAGGCGTTAACATGAAAGCCAATATATATTAGAGACGAATTATGTTATCTGAGAACGGTTGAGTAAACAAAATGAAAAAAATGAGGTGAGGACTGCTGCGAACTAATACAAATTCACAAAATCAATAAAGAGTAAAAGAATATTGAAATAGTTACTAAATATTTAATTATACAATGGAAGTATTCAAAATATAGCGATACAGTTGAAACGAATCGACTTGCTTCTTTCGAAAATTCATAATAATTACAGAAAGGCTGCGATATCTAATTTGTGATAGTATATTAATCATAAACAGACTGTTCTGCAGCGACTTCATTGCCGTCTCCAAATGGATCACTTGAAATGGTATCATTAGATTTGTTCTTCGAAAGTTTCTGAATCGATGGATTAACAAGTGTGGCAGGTTTTGCAGGCCTTGGTGGTGGAGTCTTCGGACTTAATACTACGTTTTGTAATCTTTCTGACGTCAGCTCTTCTTCATTATCTGTGCTCGATTCGGTGTAGTAGCTTTCGTCGCTATCGGACATTTCATCATAATTGGGAGCAAGATTCTCCTCGTTATATCCACACTTTGTATCAAAGTGCTTAAAAACATTGACCAATTGTTCATTCGCCGTGATCAAACTACCTAGAAACTCTTCATCCATGGTACGGACTTCCTTGCTTTTAGAGCTTGGATCACCCACGCCTACATATTGCAAGTACCTCAACACTTTTCGTCTGATTTTTCTGCAAATGTTAAATTCCTGTGCTGCTTTCTTATTATCTAATGGAGATTGATCTTTAGGTAGAGTTAAAAGAATGTTGTCAAGAATGGTGGTATGTGTGTGACAGTCAGCTATCAATGTTTTGATTTTTGCAGCCTCTACTTTATAATTAATTTGGGGGATTTGGAACTGGTCATCTGCATAGCGACTAGGACCCTTTTTGGTTCCTCTTCGCTTTTTTTTCTTCTTTTGCTTCCTATAATCATCATTACTTTCCTTTTCGAAATTGGCAGAAGATGAACCAACGCGACTGGGAGGTGTCCCAACCTTCGGCAGCAGTTGCGGTGTAGCTTTTTTTGGTTGTGTATCAAGGGGAGACTCGAACACATTGCTATTTGATGACCTTGCTCTAGAATGAGAGTTTTTCTTCATTGCTTTTGCTCCAGGAATAGATTTCCATAAGTTGCCTAGTTCACTATAACCGTCTAAACCCTCTAACTCAAACTTCCAACCTATTGCCAACGATTTGACTCTGTTAACAACTTCATGATTATAATTAGAACCAGAGCCTGATACAGACGAACCATTAAGTATGCTTCGAAGAAGTTGAAGTAGCTTTGTATCGCTAGCAATGTCTGGGCCAATCTTGTTGCCTGAATTCAAAATCAATAGTTCCAAAATCTTCAAAGCTCGTAATTGCTCTTCAACCATTGTACCATATTTTATCCTTTTCCTAATTGCCCTAGCTGCTTCAACCGAACCCCTGTGTGATTGAGTTCTAATCAATTCAAGTAAATCAGAAAGATAGAGCTCAATAGTCTCATCAATTTCATTATTTCTCCCTGGTGTTGACAATTGGTCAATTTTAACGGTAATTGAAGTATAAGGGGCTTCACCGAAGAGAGGCATTTAGATATGTTGTATTATGGGACTTGAAATGATTGAGCACCTTCTACTTATCTGTAAAAGAACCAAATGTCTTTATTGAATAGAATCCCTATATCTCCCAATCTCGGAAATCGATATATAATATGATAACAACTTTTGATTTCCACGTAGACAGATGTTAGACTGGAAAAGATCAATATATTGAGGAATATATTCAGTGTACCAAAGAGATGCCTTTAATTCAAACAAGATGGAAAAGATCTTTATGGCCGGCTGTGTTAATTCTTTTTGTTGTTTTTTTGATGGTTTGCGAGAACCTGTATCACTTCACAAATTTGTTTGAAGAGGGAATTATGAGAATATCGAAGAGAACTTCAAGTGATGTGGAAGCCGGAAACCTCTTAGAGAAAGTCAGTCAAAACTTTGCAAAGATAAAGCGAAAGAATGGAATAATAGAAAGTGAAGTATTCTCGAGAAGAGATGAGGATGGAGGACGTCCCAGAGCAACGATGCTAGCCGTCATACGAAAAAGAGCTGACGCTCTTCTATTGCTTGAAACAGTGAAAAATTATCAAGATAGATTTAATAACAAATACAATTATGATTGGACCATCGTAAGTTATCGTGGATACTATATTGATGATTTCGAGGCCATATTAGCTTTGACAAATGCGCCTACGAATGTTAGAATAATTAATTTGCGCTATGGTTCTGAATTTCTTACTTATAGACAGGGAATTGACGTGGCCAAAATAAGGCAATATAAAAAGACGCTAAACATCTCAAGGCACTTAAGAGACCAGGTGACAACGGCATCCAAGCATTTCACCAGATTTTTGTTGGGTCACTTCTACAACTTAGAGAGTCTTTGGAGTATGTATGACTATTACTGGAAGGTGCCAGTAGGATCTAGGTTAGATTGTGATGTGGGATATGATGTATTTCAGTACATGAAAGATGAAAATTTAGAATACGGTTGGCTGATATTGCAAATGGATCCTCCAAAATACCACCCGAGTCTCTTGCTGAATGTCAAAGATTATATATATGATCCAAACAATAACTTCATGGAGAAATCAACTCAAACCGCTAATAATTTCCAATTCTTACTAGATGATTCAGTGGCCGACTCGATATCAAGTGACAATGAAGTTGAGTGGAAGTACAAATCTTGTAGCATAAATTCTGAATTCGAAATTGTTAATGTGAAGTTTTTTCGCTCAAAACAGTATCAACACTTCTTCAACTTCATTGATCATATAAATGGAATATATTACGAGAACTGGAGAGAGCCTGCCATCAAAACCATTGCAGTATCGGTATTTCTTGAAAGCAAGTCAGTGAAGTTCTTCGACGATTTAGCAGTCCTGATTCCCGCATTAGGTATCGGCAATTGTCCTTCAAATGTTGACGTCTATTTGAAGAACAAATGTGTTTGCAATCCATTATCTCATGATGTACCATACAAGTACGGCAATGTTAAAATGAAATACGAACAACTCAGCCGAAGCAAGTGTTTTACTCACTACATCAGCTCTCTTGAACTTGATATTCCGGAATCCCTTCAAACTTCTGAAAGAGGGCAAGAAATGTTCTCTGCCTTTGAAGTGTCAAGCTAGATCCCTGTTCAAGATAAAGAACTTTGATGCACTGCATACATATAAATCACGATATACATCACATGATGAAATGAGACCACCTGAAAATTTTTTTACCACTATGTAGTGAAGTATTGAAATTATATATACTTTTGTTTCATAGCATAATAACTTGAAAGAATGTCTGATCAAACGGACGGTAACCAGGACAAACTAACACAGAAATTCCAAAATTCCTCTTTAAACGATGCTAGTCAACAGAATGTAGAACAGCAAAGTTATCAAAATGGATACAATCCAGTTAATGCTTCAACATTTGTTCCTCAACAGAACTACTATCAAGGTGGATACCAAGGTTATGGTGCTTACAACCCTCAAAATTCATATGGAGCATATAACCAACAAGATGTGTACCTGAACTACAATACTCAAGGTACATATAATGGCTATGGTAATACTAGGGGAGGCTACAATAATCAAGGCAATAGAGCAGGTTACAGCGCTTATGGTAACAGAGGATATAATAGTTTTGAAGCAACCCAGCAACCTCAACAACCGCAAGGAATGTCATTAGCCGACTTTCAAAAACAAAAGTCTGCGTCATCAATTCCAGCCACCAAGCCTAAGAAAACCTTGAAGTTGGCAGGTTCAAAAGGTATAACCTTAGCAAATGCCAAGAAGGTTCCTCAGAAGGAGAAAGCTCTTGAAACTGAAAACAAAACTGAAGAAAAATCGGAGGAGAAGCCTGAAAAATCTACGAAGGAGGAGGCTAGTAGTGATACTGCTACTACTGCTGCTACCGATGTAAAAATTTCTAGCAAAGAAAACTCATCCCAACTCGAGGAAGGAAAACCTCTGAGTTCTACAAGTAAGGAAGCCGGTTCTGAGTTGAAGACTGAAAGGACCAAAACTCCAACACCATCTTCTGGAATTGCGGCAGCAGAGCCTTTAGTAAAGGACCAAGAGGATGAAGTCGATGAAGAGGTTGTCAAAGATTTATTTGGCGGTAAAGACCATGTCTCGATCATTTTCATGGGCCATGTTGATGCGGGTAAGTCAACAATGGGAGGAAATATTTTATACATGACAGGTTCTGTTGATAAAAGAACAGTTGAGAAATATGAAAGAGAAGCCAAGGATGCGGGTAGACAAGGCTGGTATTTATCATGGGTGATGGATACCAATAAAGAGGAAAGAAATGATGGTAAAACCATTGAAGTTGGAAGAGCATACTTTGAAACTGATAAGAGAAGATACACAATTTTGGATGCTCCTGGTCATAAGATGTATGTTTCAGAAATGATTGGAGGTGCTTCTCAAGCTGATGTTGGTATTTTGGTTATTTCAGCCAGAAAAGGGGAGTACGAAACGGGATTTGAAAAGGGTGGACAGACCAGGGAACACGCATTATTAGCCAAGACTCAGGGTGTGAATAAAATAATCGTTGTTGTCAATAAGATGGATGATCCGACCGTCAACTGGTCTCAAGATCGTTACAAAGATTGTACTACCAAATTGGGTATGTTTTTAAAAGGAATTGGTTATTCTAAGGAAGATGTTACTTTTATGCCAGTTTCCGGTTACACGGGTGCTGGGTTGAAAGATAGAGTCAATCCAAAAGACTGTCCCTGGTATAAAGGGCCCTCTTTATTGGAATATTTGGATAATATGAAAACGGTCGACCGTCACATTAATGCGCCTTTCATGTTACCAGTTTCAGGTAAGATGAAAGATATGGGTACTATTGTCGAAGGTAAAATAGAATCTGGTCATATCAAGAAAGGTAGTAAGTTATTAATGATGCCTAATAAAGACTCTATTGAAGTCATAGTTATTTATAATGAGACTGAGCAAGAATGTGATGCCGCGTATTGTGGAGAACAGGTTAGATTAAAGATAAAGGGGGTCGAAGAAGAAGATATTCAACCAGGATACGTGTTAACATCTCCACAATTTCCAGTGAAAACTGTTACCAAATTTGAGGCCGTGATAGCAATCGTTGAATTAAAGTCTATCTTATCCAACGGATTCTCCTGCGTAATGCATTTACATGCTGCAATTGAAGAAGTCACGTTTGTTGAATTGAAACATAAGTTCAAAAAGGGTACAAACAAAAAATCTAAAGAGCCACCTGCCTTTGCCAAGAAGGGAATGAAGATTGTTGCCGTGTTAGAGACTAATGAACCCATTTGTGCAGAGACGTACAAAGAATACCCTCAATTAGGAAGATTTACTTTAAGAGATCAAGGTGCAACCATAGCAATTGGTAAGATCACAAAGCTTTTGTAAGGAAAGAAGAATAATAGCTGAATTTTTATACAATGGACCTGGTGTCATAAAATGCAATTTCGTGCCATTTAGCTAAATGACTATATGTTCTAGAGTCTATATTTCTTCTTTTACATCATGTAATAGTTTTTCAAATATCAGTATTAAATTCTCAATGCCAATAATAATATTCTCATCGTAACCTTCTCCTGGGACGTATTTTGCATGAGCTAAGTCAATTAAGCTTAAACTGCTCAACGGAGCCTTTCGTTTAAGAGAAGTACTGCTTTCTTTGTTGAACTCTTTCTCAACATCGGCCAAAATATCGGGGTTCGATGAATCATCACTTTCCTCGTCATCGTCGTTTTCAAAGCATTCGCTTCCAAAAAGAGGGTCTGCTGCTTCATATTTAGAGTCCTCTTCTATTACTTTATCCCAAACTCCTAGATCACCCTCGTATATGAACAACAAAGACCCAGAGATAATTCTCACTTCTTCTTCTAATACACAATTATAAAGCAACTGAAGTCTAGTCAAGAATCTCAATAAAAGCTTTTCCAATACTGCTCTATTGGAGGATATGTATGCAAAATACGATAACAATCCTTCGGCGATATTATCGGAAGTCAAGGATCTCCCAAACATCTTGTTGTACTCCAAATAGTAGTGTTTCGATTCATCGCACACTGAAGAAATGTGATCTGACATCCCATCATATATCTCATCAGGCTTGTTGTCCAGAGACCCATTATATACATTCATTCCACATATTCTAAAGTTCAAAGAACCACTGGTAGTGGTCTCTGATATCTTTTGAAGCCGCTCCCTTTTCTCAGGAGTGGCACTAGAATCTGTAAGTAAAGATCCCAACTTGATGTCTAATATGCTGGGAAGTGTATAACCGTAATACATATTCTGCAACACAATGTATGGTTTGCCAAAGTTAACCTTGTCGTCGCTCTTTTGTTTCTGGTCTTGCAAGCTGTCTCTTTCCATTCTATATTCCGTGTCCTCTATTTCAATAGTCTCATCTTTATCCTTCCCTCTCATGTCACCTTGTGTTAGCGTGCCGACATAAACCGGCATCCAGTCTACTAATTGAGTTCCCTCCTGAACATCAGTAGTGCTATTTGATTTTGCTTGTGTTTCTGCGTAGAATTCTATCTCCTTTTGGCTTGTTATCTTCACAAAGAGACACCCATTCTCCAGAGAGATCATACACCCATCATGTCCAGCGGCCTGTCGCTTGGATGGAACATAGCCTTCCATTTTGTGTTTCCCTACCCTTCAAATGCGTCGTAGAGAAGTCCTCATGATAGATGTTACATCTTATGATTATGCGCAGGACTCTAAGCCTACATCATTTTTGTAATTAATTTTATTTCGTCCAAAAGACACAAATACACCTCTTCGTCAAAAAAAAACGTCAACAGACAAGCACAATAGGATATTATTATCTAGAGTAATTACTGGTGGAATACAATTTAAAAGTAGGTGATTCTATTCTGTGTTTTAATTTCAGTTTAGTTGAGTTTGTTTTCAATTCCTTGTCTCCGCTAAAAGATAGCAAAAGTTTAGACAGCAGTTAGTTTGCGGCTGCCATTTACGTACACTATTGAATATTTTTTTGGATAGTTATCTTTCGATAGAAGCAAATAAAGAAGACATACTAAGATGAGTAACCCGTACCATAACTCCTATGAGATGGGCAACATCAACAAATACTCGTCTAATTCTAATGAAGATGACTTTGTATCTTATATGAATGAGATACAAGATATCAATAATTCGTTAGACCAGTACTCAAACTTGATAAACTTGATCTCCAACAAGCAGCGAAATTTTATTCAGGAACTAGATTTGAATGAAGAGGACTCTGATTATAATTCTAAACAAATTGATACTTTGGTATCTGAAGCTCAATCTTTACAATTGACTTTGAAAAGTAGAATCAAGAACGCACAAACTCAAGCAGTACAAGCCAAAGATCAGACTAAGCTAGACCAAGCCGAAGCGTGCAGAAAAAGGTTCTTGGAATTAATTCAAGAATATAGGTTGGTGGAAGCAAACAACAGAGAGCAGACCAAGACCCAAGCTGAAAGACAATACAAAATCGTTAAGCCTGATGCTACTAATGATGAAATAAAGGCTGTAGTTGAAGATGGCGACAGTCAACAATATTTCCAACAAGCTTTATTACAATCTAACAGAAGAGGTGAAGCAAGAACTGTTCTTAATGAGGTTCAAGTTAGACATAGAGAATTGTTGAAGTTGGAAAAGACTATGGCCGAATTAACACAGTTGTTTCATGATATGGAAGAGTTGGTTATCGAGCAGGATCAAGCTATCCAACAAATCGACGATCAAGTTGGCACTGCCCAGCATGATATCGAGCAAGGTGTTGGTCACACCAACAAGGCAGTCGTAAGTGCTAAAAAAGCAAGAAGAAAGAGATTATGGTGCTTTATTATCATTTGTATTATTTGCGCTATATTAGCCCTTATTTTGGGTCTTTACTTCGGTCTCAGACATTAAAAGACAAAGAACCTTATCACTTTTTGACCTGGCGCTTAAAGTTTTTTTCTTTTCAAGATATATTATTACATGAAATTGTTTTTATGATGAAGAATACTATCGAAAGTATTCATATCTAGATGGTGATCTTACACATCGTTTGTTGTAAAATTAATATTCTTACCTCTCTCACTTTAAAAGATATGAAGCAAAGCATTCATAGTTTCAAATTTATATTAGAAGATAGAATTTAACGTTTCAGGTATTCTATTTGTATATTGTATGTTCGAAGTTAAGTTCCTCTGGCGAAATGATGATCTGTATTAGGAAAGTATCGAACAGCAATTTTTTTTTCTTGTAATTTTCATTTTTTTCAGCTTTTCTTTCTATACTTAGTTTCATAGTTTTTGGACCATTCAAGTTTCTTGCTATCGTTCCTAGTAATGACAAGCCCAAGTGATGTGAAAGAAGAAAGTTCATCGGAAGCTATGCCACTTCCAGATGCTCAGAAAGTGGAGGATGGTGTCAACTTGCCTCAACTGAAAAGACAAAAGTTAAGCATACCTGAGGGAATGTCCAAGAATCAATGGAAGAAACTCCAAAAACAAAAACAGAGGGAAGAAACAAAAGATGAATATAGAGCCAAAAGGAGAGAAAAAAGAAAAGTACTTAACCAAAGAAAAAAGGAAAAGCTCAAGGATGCAGTGTCTACTGACAAGAAGCCAAAACTTCCCGAATCACAGAAACCAACCGAAATTAACATAATAATGGACTGTGAATTTGATGATTTGATGAATAATAGAGAAATAGTGTCTTTATCTAATCAGATAGCGAGGTGCTATTCTGCCATGCGTCACAGTGACTATAAGATCGGCTTGGTCATAAATTCATTAAACAAAAGTTTAAAACATCGGTTTGAACAAGATCTTGCACAATATAAAAACTGGACAGATATACAATTCAACTTCAACGATACGTTAAAAGATATTCTCCCAAAGGATCCCGAAGAGTTATCTAAATATGTTTATTTCACGGCGGATTGCGAAGAGGTCGTTACAGAGCTTAAACCAGGGTATACGTATATCATTGGTGGCATAGTGGACAAGAACAGACACAAGAATATATGCGCTAAAAAAGCAAAGGAGTTGGGATTGCAAGTTGGGAAGCTTCCTATAAGTGAGTACATTCAGCTTAACAGCAGACACGTTTTGGCTACTTCACATGTCTTCGAGTTATGCTGCAAATGGTTTGAAAATGGAAAAGATTGGAGAAAGGCCTTCAATGAGGTGTTACCGCCGCGCAAAGTTAAAAAATCGCTAGAGAAATCAGAGAACCTCAATCCTACTGAAGAATCCCCCGGACTCACAGAAGAATGTAGCCAAAAGATGTAGTGACTAGTTCAGATGAGCAAAGTACAGGATAAAAAAGAAGTTACAGAACAAGCGCGTGCGGGACCTTTGATAGCGTAAGCTCGCAAGAGCGTTTTCCAAAACAAACCTTTTTCCATATGGCAAGCTTGACGGCTCGGCAGGAGCACTACGATCCGGATTAATGTTGAATGTTTTATGCTTTACCCCTTATCTTAGTTGGCTCTTTAAATAGAAATAGAAATAATAGAGACATATCACATACTGGTTCCTAACAATCAAAACTTCCACGCGATAATCGTGTAATTTTCGTATCTAGTCCATTCAAATTGATAAGGAACCGATCATCACTGTATGACATCTTTTTTGCCGTATACGGATTTATATGAGCTGAGAAACGACAACCTCCATTCCTTCTTACATTGTCCGTCTAGCCCAAGCCCGCTTCGACATTTGAACCGAAACGGACTCGCGAATGTCGCGGAACGAGAGACTAGTCCACTGATACTGCGAGTGTTCTATAGCCGGATGCGGGTTGTCCCCTACAACTACCTAAAAGAAAGAGCGATTCGAACATTTAGAGTACATAATCTCCTTACAAATCCCGTCGGCATTTACTGAGTCTCGCGGGCCCGCACGAATCGTGCCCCTATGTCGCAGGTATGTCTCTAAACTGTGACCACTTTTCAGTAGTGTCTAGTTGACAGACGACTGCGCCTAATGAAATTTGGGCTTGAATCTTTCAACAATCCTCATGAGGTTTTGTGTCTCTTTTAGAGGGCGGCTAACAAAATCATAAATCTCTTTCAACTCCTCTTTATAAACAATTGTAATTGATAGTTAAAATAGTAGAAGTGTAAGTATATTATATGAAAATTGGATTCAAAAGGCTAGAAAAGAAGCAAGACAACAGAACTTAGCAATATGGGGGGATATATTCTTATCCAGGGATACAATGGGGGATGTCCAGGCTCACTTCAAAGTGAGGCGAGGTAGGGAGCTAAAATTAAAGCTGGGAGTTAAAAAGTGGATTCCTTTGGGAATCGATGGCATAGCACCTGTTGAATTTTAATCCTGAGCTCTCTATTTCCTATCGTTTGACTAGATCCTTCCTTCAGTGCTCTTAAAGGTCAATAAGGGTTACATATACCGCGTGAGAAAGCCTGTGGGAGATTTACGTACAACTGCGTGGTAGGGGATCAATTTAATGTAGATCGGCCAAATTTTAACAGCAGCATAAGAAGTAGTTGTTACTATTGTCGGTCACCTTGATTTAAAGTAATTTTGGGATATGCATATATTGTTTTGCTTTGATTTATTTTTGTCTTTTCATTTCAAATTTTTTTTTTGTTGATCTTTGTCAATGATCATATATTAACTTTCATTCAGGAATCATGGTTCCTCCTCCAGCTGAAATTCGTAGAAAGTTAGTCATCGTCGGTGATGGTGCTTGTGGTAAGACTTGTTTGTTGATTGTATTTTCGAAGGGTACATTTCCAGAGGTATACGTTCCCACTGTTTTTGAAAATTATGTTGCAGATGTCGAAGTAGACGGTAGAAAGGTCGAGTTGGCCTTATGGGATACAGCAGGTCAAGAAGATTACGATAGATTAAGACCATTATCTTATCCTGATTCGAATGTTATTTTGATTTGTTTTTCTATTGATTCTCCTGATTCATTAGATAATGTTTTAGAGAAATGGATTTCTGAGGTCTTACACTTTTGCCAGGGAGTTCCAATTATTTTAGTTGGCTGTAAGTCAGATTTGAGAAACGATGCAGCTACGATCGAGCAATTGAGACAGCAACAGCAGCAACCAGTTTCTACTTCTGAAGGTCAAGGTGTTGCTCAGAAGATTGGTGCCTCAAACTATTTAGAATGTTCTGCTAGAACCGGGCAAGGTGTTAGAGAAGTGTTTGAAGCCGCTACTAGAGCCTCTTTGAAGACCAAAGAGAAGAAGGAGAAGAAAAAGAAGTGCGTTGTGTTATAAGTATTTATTGCATGTCTGACTGCGTAGAGGATCTAGGAAAGGAGTCAAGAATTATTCTCGTCAGCGGGTTGTTAATGGGATTTGGCGTGTCTAGAATATATCGAACCCACATTTAAAAAAAAAAGAAAATTCACGTTGCTATTATAATAGCAAGACAGATCAATAATGTTGCCGGTCAGTTGGATTTTAGGAGTCTTTTTAACACAGTAAGTTCTTCCTAGTGGGCATAGAGTATTATAGTGCTAATTTGATTTTCGAAATCAAGAAAGTCCCTGCGTTTGTTTATTGGTCTGCTATTTGTTCCCACATTTGTTCCTGTGTGCAATTCGTTGACAACTCACAGCTTGCTTTTTTCTTTGTTTCTTTACCTCTCTTATTCTTTTCTATTCACAATATGCTGCCTTCGCTCTAGCCGAGGTCATGCTAACTCTCCCTTGTCTTTATTTCTAACTCTTCCTATCTTTTGAGTTGAATATATACTTACGATTTTAAAATTTGTAGGCTCTTAGGGCTGATCACGTGATCGAGAATTTATGAGATTTTCACTATCCAATTGGAGTCTCATTATTTTACAGAGGATAATACAAAAGTCATACACTGAAAACTAGTAGGTTGAAGGTGCAGTAAACAAAATATAGATAATAGGTATAGAGAAATTTATAACAGTCACTGAATTCAAAGAATATGTTTCATTTTCAAAGGTCAGTAGTGAGAAGTGTGATAAACACGGAGAGAATCTATGCAAGTTCCCGTCTTTATTCGTCAACAGGATTAACCAAACCGGAGTTGGAAGAGAATGCTATCACAGAACAAGCACCTAATAGAGCTGAAACATGGTCTCCTAGTCAGAAGTCAAGGGTAGACGTAATGGCACAATATCCAGTAAGATTCATTCAAAAGGACTTGAGTAAACAGCCAAGAGCATATGCTGCCATTGATTTAATTGCAAAGCAGCCTATAAGATATTTAAGTCACGATGAAGGTAACATCGCAGTATGTGATGGTAATAAAGAGAACACTTTAATGGGTCATCCAAAAATTTTCATCAACTTGGATAAGCCACAAGCTTCTACATGCGGCTACTGTGGTTTGAGGTATGCCAAAGAAGAGTTCAAAGACATTATCGAAAATGGACATTCTTGATTGCGGACCATTGATTGCAAGTGCAAATTTTTCCGTTATCACGTATTTTTTGTATTCCATAATAAAGATAGTCCATTTTTTGATTTCTAGCTTGAGAATAACCATAATTTGGACAATTAATGCATAAATTAGGTATTAGATGTACCAAATGTGATGGGGTGGTTTTAAATTCCTGATCTCTCCTCTTTGGTCTTGAATTGAGGAAATATGCTTCGTCACACAATTACATTTCATCATTTGTTTCTCTACACATCTTATATACTTTCGAATCCCAAAATAGCTTAAGATTATTTGTAGTTCTTCATTTTCTTATATTTGGCAGTCTGAATAAGAGCCTCGGGATTAAGTGTGACGAGTGCGGATTTGACTCTGGCATCTTTCCTTAAGCCCTATTATCTACCCAAAATATCGCCTATATTTTTTGCAAGAATGACTACTTCTTACAATTTTCCCTACTTAATAGGACCCAGCATTCTACATTTCAAGTTGACTTGACGTTACTGAAGCCATGGAAAAGAGCTGAAGATGACTTTAACTGAATCTATATCAATGGCTGGGGAACAATCGGTCCTGTTTTTCAGGTCATTAACGGCTTCAGATATAATGAAAGGAATCACACATGGAGTATATTATTCTAGACATCACTTGATCCATTCTTATTTAATCGTTCCTGTGGGAATAGTGGTTATTTTTACGATCTTGTATGGATTAAACATATTCTTGACTGATGTTATTCACTTCAGGTTTCCAAGTTCAGTTCTTGGAATGTTGATTAACCTTGTCATAATTTGCACTATGAGCGTATTGTCTGATTTAGATCCAGAAGGGAAGAAGGGAAGAACATTTAAAAAAATAAGCCAATGGTCTAACTGGTTATTGACAAATTATTTGAGTTTAATAAAGCCATCTATGAATTTCACCTTAAAATGGATCAACGTTTTTTTCATTCCTTCCTTTATCATATTGCCATTGTCGTCTCCAATTACGTTCATCGAGTGTCTAAAGATTGCTGGTGTTTTTGTCGTGGGATTTCTTCTATTGCTTTGTATCGACGTTTATCTTTTGTTAGGTTTGCAATGGGTTTTAAGACGATATGGCCTTTTAAGTGCAGAGGAAACTACTGCTCAAAGTCATAAAGATGACGCAGAAGCTGAAGAAGAGATAGAGTTGAGGGATATGAATAGTATCGGATCGAACCAAGTTTTTACGAGCATGAGGGATGATATTACAACAATTGACATAAGCAGCTTGAGATCAGTGAACGAGCCAGAAAAAGGATCTACAAGAGCTGCGACTTTCAGTCAAAGTCCTTTTGATCCTCAAGATGGAGAATCAAGTGTTCTTCAAAGCGTAAATCCCCAATCAATACAACAACCAGAGCCCTCTTACCTCAGATCTAGTGGACCGTCTGTTTATCGTCCCCAATCCGTTGCTACGAGTTTAGGAAGTGTTATCAGCAGGGAAGAGCAACCTTATTCAACTGTATCGGCATCTTCTGATTCTACATCTGAATCAACCGTTTCTTACGATTTGAGTGACAATGCAAAGTTCATAACTATATTCATCACGAAATACGTAGATTGGATATTGTACTTGCTATTATTTTTTGTTTCACTTCCATTTTACTATGTCAGCTCAATTCATGTTTTCTTACCTTATCATTTAGGAATTACGGTGATTTCATACTATCTAGCATTATTGATTCCCCAAAAATGGCCACAAACAAAGAAATTTGCTCATCCAATTTTGATTCTGACAGCCGAAATCCTATTCGTTTGTTTTATTGGCAGCTTGATCTATCATCATGGTAAACCAAGGGGTTTTTTAGATGACTTGGAGTATTACAAAACCGGAAAAACGTATCTTAATTTATTCAACAATAAAGCGATGTTAAATAACGGAAAAGAGGGCACTTTATCTCTGGACTTTACTAAAACGCCAAAATGGCCAGGATGTGGGGATATTTTATCGTCTTTAATGGATGTCTCAATTGTGGCTTTGTCTCTCCCCATGTTTTCATATAGGAGAGATTTTGTCCAGAATTTTTGGGTATTAATGCCCCCAATTGTTGTCTCGATTTGTCTTACTTTTTTCCTTTATCCTGTTTTCTGCTATCATATTGGAATTCAATCTGAACGTGCGATTGGCTTCATTGGAAGATCAGTGACATTAGCGTTAGGTACACCTTTAATCGATTCGTTAGATGGTTCAATTTCTTTGATGGCCGTCTGTACAATTCTAAGCGGAATATGTGGGGTGTTGGTGGGTGATACTTTGTTCAAATTCTTAAGAGTTTCTAAAGGTGATTATGTTACTCGAGGAGTTAGTTTAGGAATTAATTGTGGGGCAATAGCTACAGCTCACTTACTCAATGTTGATCCAAGGGCCGCTTCGATGAGCTCCTTAAGCTTCAGTTTTTTTGGAACAGTCATGGTTATATTGGCCGCTATAGGATCAATTAGAGACCTAATTCATTCTTGGGTGGGATTATAAGACCGATATATAGTTATATATCAAATTTAAAGTTAAACCTCACTGTATATACTTCACGCGTTTTATATACTCATCTCCATTTAAGGTAAACACCTTCTTTCAAAACTATAGACAATGACAGTGGGAGCAACATATAAAGTCCTACTTTTACCTAACGACAAGTGTGAGCAAGCCACTTATAAGATTGTTCATTTACCCACTGATTCGACATTGAAGAGGTACAGACCCTTTTTGATAAAAGATAGCACCATATATGAGCTAATTGAAGTTAAAGGTAACGATGCATTTAGTAAAACAAAGCCAACTTTACTAAACAACGGTGAAGCTGTAAAGTCATATATATTTGAGGATGATACCAATGGACTCGTCATACAATCCTCTAATATGATAGTTGGAAACAGCTTTAATATAGTATACTTATTGATATCGGTAATGTTTGATTACGAGGGCTTTCTGAAGAGGTATATAACCTTTGAAGATATTATGGATACTTTATCGAGTCTCTCTGGCAACAATACTGACTGGGTGACTCGAATTCCCGAAGAAGCATATTTGAGGGCCCTTCCAGAAATATGTGACACCATCTTGGAGAACAAAGAACAGTTTTATAGGTTCTCAAAACAAAAGACTCTTCAGTTTATCAATGAAAAAGTCCAGAAACTTCATCATTTTATCCAGATGCAAGAAAACTCTATCATGTTTAAAATAAAGGCTGAACTACATGATGACGCATCGTCAACTCCAGAAGCAGTTATAAATTCTTCAATTTTAAGGCATTCGATTGATCTCATATGCGATTCTTATTGCCCTAAAATAATCAAAGTGGAATTGATTGAACTTTTCGCTTACGACTTTAAAGATCTTGACTCATATTTAGATGAATTGAAAGCAAAAAGAAAAGAGGTTTCTGTTATTGAGTCCAGTATGGCTGCGATTGCACAGGGAAATTCACAAGTAGCCAAAAAAAAGGCCGACGCTACCAAGAAGAAACCAACGACAAAGAAAAAGGCAACGAAAGTTGCCGTTGGTAAGGGAGCATTGGACGGGTTTTTTAAGAAGGCATGATTTCAAATATATATAACTGATACGATTGGCATTTTTTAAAATATTTACACATGGTAATACTACACACTATTGACATTTTTAATTCTTCGCATCGTTCTCAATACTCTTCTTATTCAAGTTATTATAGATTGAAAGACCACTAGCCATCACATTTCCGATGTCTCCTAAATTGGAAGGAAGAATAATGGTGTTAGTTTCCTTTGCCAAATTACCAAATTGCTTGATGTAATCTTCCGCAACTTGTAAACTAATGGCTTTGTCACTACCTGGAGTATCTTTAATTGCATGGGCGATTTTCTTCAAACCTTCAGACGTAGCTTGTGCCTTAAGCAAGATGGATTCCGATTCACCTTTTGCATTATTGATTTTTTGTTGCATATCTGCTTCCGAAGTTAAAATCTTTGAGCGTTTTTCACCCTCTGCAATGTTTATACGAGACTGTCTGGTTCCTTCAGATTCTAAAATCTCTGCTCTCTTCGATCTTTCGGCACTGACTTGTCTATGCATTGCGTCTAACACATTTTGTGGAGGATGTATATCCCTAATTTCGTATCTTAAGCACTCTACTCCCCAATTATCCTTAGCAGCTTCGTTGATTACCTTGTTGATGTTGGTGTTCAAAGTTTGTCTCTCTTTGAGGACTGAATCTAAAGTCAACGAACCAATTTCGGATCTCATGGTAGTCTGAGCCAATTGACTAATGGCAAATTTAAAGTCTTCCACTCCATAACTGGCTTTGTATGGATCAATGACTTTAATATAAAGAATTCCATCTAACTCTAATGAAACGTTATCAGCAGTAATTGCATTTTGAGATGGTATTTCAATAGCCGATTCTTTTAATGATTGCACGTACGTTATTTTATCGATAACAGGTATCAAGATAGCCATACCTGGGGGTAATATCCTATTAAATTTCCCCATTCTTTCAACTATCCATGCTGTTTGTTGCGGTACAAACCTGATTATTGTGTTGGCAGGTAATCTTTCTTTCTGAAAAAAATTCAAAGAAGGTTGAAAGTTATTAAGACTACTATTTGTGATCAGCCTGACATTGCTGACTGTAAGCAATCTAGCAACTTGTCTGCGAGGAAATAATGATCTTGTCAACATAGTGTATATCGAGCTTTAAATAGAGTTTGGCTCTTGCCACTATTGTTCTTACTTTTTGCGTGAAAAAAATCGCTTTAGTGTACATAAGATCCAGATAGGTAGAGGTAATGAGCATCAAGTGAGCATCAAATTTGCACATTACCGACAACAAATATAAGAAGAGCCCGGCGTTTTACAAGAAGAAAGCTCTACGGATATGTCTAAAGCTATCGAATTGTCTCTAAATGAAAGTGGTTATATACTTGAAGCTTTAAAACAAGGTATAAGACTAGATGGAAGAGAATTACTCGAGCCTAGAGAACCAGAGATAATATTATCGAAGACAGAATACGGGTATGCAGAAATCAAGTGGGGAAAAACATTACTTGCTGTACGTGTTTCAGCAGAGATCATTAAGCCGTATGAAGACAGACCATTCGAGGGACTATTCAATATAAGTACCGAGATTTCATCGATGGCATCTATAAATTTTGAAAATGGGAAGAATTCCGACGACGAAGTATTGATTAGTAGATTAATAGAGAAAGCTATTAAGAGATCCAACTCGTTGGATTTGGAGAGTCTTTGTTTAATTGCTGGAGAAAAAGTATGGAATATCCGAGTCGATTTGAATTTTTTGAATTACGATGGAAATATAATAGATAGTGGTTGTTTTGCGGTGATGGTGGGTCTTTTACACTTTAAAAAGCCTGACATCAGTATTAATGGCGAAGACATAATAGTACATGACATTGATGAAAGACAACCGGTCCCATTGAGCATATTACATATCCCGATATGTATAAGTTATTCATTTTTTAATCCAGATAATAAAGAGGCTAATTTAAAGGGGGACCTCAACAACGAGATTTCAATCATAGATTCAAACGGTAAAGAAGAATCTGTTAGAGATGGTTCTTTGGTCGTAACTGTAAATAAGAATAGGGAGCTCCTTCAGTTAAGTAAAAACGGGGGTTTGCCGATAGATGCATTGACTTTAATGGACTTATCTAGAAAAGCGTACAGCATTGCTGAAAGGTGGACGGACAAAATTAGACAAACAATTAAAAGAGACGAGGAAGAAAGGTATGAAAAACTTAATTTAAGATTACTTGAAGTAGGAGCAAGTAGATAAAAAATTATTTCATCTTGTTATCATAAATAATCATATTGACTACAATCATAGTTTTCATAGATAATTATTTAATTCAAAAGAATTTATAACAATACTAGTGTTTTGAAACTAGTAAATAACTCATCTGTAAAAAAAATAGTTCCTCATAGACCTCGTTTAAAAATAGTATCAACACAGAAGAAGAAAGGAAATAGTTATAAAATGATAAAAAATAGCCTGCGACAATGCCCGAAACCTCTTGAATGTCCAGCTAATTAATGGAAACATAATGAGATATTTTTGAATAATTATTTCAAACAATATCTTCATCATTTGTGAATGATACCTCATCCTTCTCAAAATCTATTTGAGAAGGTAAGTTCGAGTCCTTCCTTGACCTTTTTTTGATGCTCTTATTTAACTTATATCTAATCAAATTAAGAAAATTCAAATGGATGAAAAAATTCTTGACTTTTTTAATCATCTTTCTAAAGTTGCTTGATGTGACCCAACTGTAAAATAAATATTCCAAATAAAAGATGAAGAAAGCTACAACAAATCCAGCAATGACTGCAGAACCGATATGATTAGCCAATGACTTAACAAGCTTAGCATCATCCAAATGCCAAGATGATCCTTCAGCGATTGAAAAAAACGAATATGCGTGATTTTTGTAATCTTCAGGCATCAAAATCCTAACCTTACCAGCTTCAGGGACCCCCCATCTTTTATATTGTTTCCAAATGACCGACAAAAATAATGGTCCTGTCGAATACATAATGGTGATATAAGGAACAAGCCAATTCTTCTGATAAGTTTTCAAAGAGTCTAAGACCTTTAAGAAAAATGGATGTCTCGGAACTGAGCCCATAACATCATTTGATATACCTGTAGGTACAGTCTTACGTACAAACGCAGGGACTGTTAATAATGGGTCCAATTTCCTCTTACACCCATCATCCAAGTCGATGTAGACGCCACCATAATGCGATAAAGCGAAATACCTAATGGCATCTGCCCTTTGAATTGGATATATATAAGAGTCCCAAGTGGGAAGGAACCATGGATATTCTTCGCTGATGAAGTCTCTTGACATCTGATCCGTCCACAATATATATTGATAGTCAGGATGTAAATCAAGACAGGCTTGTTGACCTGGCTTCCACATCTCCGGTATTTCGTCTGTTTTATAGGTTTGGTGTATGATTTTTGGTATAATTGGGGGCCTCTCCAAGACACCATTGCTCGGATGAAGTTCCACGTTCAATAGTGCATCAGTAAAGGAATCGTCATTAAGAAGTGTAATTAAATCAAAGGTGTACCACACCAAAAATATTACCAAAGCAGCGTGTGCTCCAAGTATGTATCTTAACTCTTTCCTCATTTCATGCAAATACTAGTATGGATGGGGCTCTTAAAGAATGAATGACTAGTTGGTCAAATGATTACGCCCGTATGTTTTGAATGCTGGAAATGCCGTTTTGAGATTTCGATACGCTTGTCGTTATCTTAATCCTTTTAAATCCTCTTGATGGTATAATACAAGAGCTCCTTAATTGTGGTAAATAGTCCGTCTCTTGATCGCCTGCTGCTGTTAGCTGCTATGAAATTCCAGAGCGCCTTTTCACCTCAAGTAGCAATATCGTATTGATTGCGTATATTAAGTAGTCGATATCTATAATCTTCCAGCCGTTTAGCTTAGCTGTGTTCTATAAACAGCTTTAAATACTAAGTGAAATTTAGTGGATTTATGTGAGCCCTCATGCTAAATTTTCGTGGTGTCCCCTATTTCGTTGGCCTATATGCACACTAAGGCTGAGCATAGCAAAGAATGACGACAGTGCGAAGAGAATAGAGCGGTAATAGGTGTGCTCGTCCGCATGAGTAAAAATAGCGGTAATAGGTATGAGCTTGTCCGCGCATAGCGTCACCTCTATCTCTTATGGGCAGGGAACGGATCAGCGCGGGGCCCAACTACTGCAAAGACGAGCTTAATTTAGCAGTGGGAGAGAAGGCATCTCCGTTGCCCCTATACTTAGTCGCGCTAGCGTGGATGTGTTTACATGGACTTTGTTTACATTTAAGAGACTTCGTGTTGTTAGTGCGATAGCATGGATGTTTCGGCGTTGAGTAGCTGTCTACGTAATATGATTTAGGGAGTGTCGATACTTTGCTGCATCTTGCTTCACCACCACAAAATGCATAGGGGATGGGATGGCACTATTTCTAAAAAGGTAGCGAATCACCGCTTCAAAGTAGACCAAAGGCGCAATATTTAACATGTAAACCCCATGCTAAATATGCAGAATAGCAATATCACAAGAATCGACCATGGCCGGTATGGACAAAGTAGTAAAGTGGAGCAAGGGATGTTAAAGATATGATAAGCGAGAACCGGAATCTATGAACCGAGGATCACCTTGGCCGACTTAGAAGGGAAAGGAAGACCAATTAAGGAAGCCAGGGCTCAGACCTTTCAACGAAAAGTCTACAGTATTTATTCTTATTCAATAGTGGAGAGTATTATTAAACTATAACCTGGCTTTAACCGGAATACCGTCGCCTTCTAAAAATGTTTTATCAATAATATCAATCATATAGTTTACCGTTGTGTCGTCCAAGAACTTCTGATCTTCGGAAAACAAAGTACTCAAGAATCTATACACAAAAGCAAGATTTGCAGGGTGCAACACTCTGACGTAAGCTTTTGTCTTGGCTTTGTTCTTGAAGATATTAATTAGCCTAAGATTGTTCAAGTAGTACAAACAGCTGAGAAGATATTGCTTGTTGATTGCTTCCACATGATAGTAGTTTTTGCTAGATTGTTGAATCTTTTTTAATAACGTCTTTGTAGTTGGATATATATCTGAGCCATTCACCAGATCATCTGCAGTTGTTGGTACATGTTCCTTGACTAAGCTTGTTAAGTTTTCAATACAGATCAGGTATGATTCAACAAACGGCTTAACAGCTTCGGCAAATATAGCAAAGTAATCCTTATCGATAACTTCGTATTTACCGTTATTGACCTTAATTTTCTTTTTTTCAATTAAATCCTTGAAAAGAAAAGTTACTTGACTTCTTTCATTGTAGTTATAATCAAACAAAAATTCATGTTTCAAGAAACCAGTGAAGACATAAATTAATTTATGAACATTTTTCACGGTTTTCAACCTATCTTCCTTCAAGCCTAATGCAATGAAGCAAAATAAACACTTATGAATAACTAAGTGAATTGTCAAGTTTTTGTAAAATAACAACTCAATAGAATTTTCTACGGTAATTATCCCTGTGTTTAAGTTAATCTTAATGTATCTGAAAAATTGAGGAATTTGGTTCTTGAACAATTCCACAACTTCAGGGGTTGACAAATTTGATAAACCATTCAAAAGCTTGAAGTTCGTATTCGATTCATTGAATCCACTTTCTTCTCTGTATGTTGAGACAAGAAGTTTGAATATGGGAACAAGATCAGTGACAGGAAAAACACTTTTATTTTGGAAATAGTAGTATGCTTGAATCGAACTCCCAACTATAGATATCGGGGGCAAGTAGCTGACATTATTAATTTCATGGAAAATTTTAAATCCCAACTTCTTCAAATTAACTGTTGAGCCATAGCTTTCTACTGTGCTCGCAATATCAGCGACAGAGTCTTGATCAATTAAGTTTTTGGGATCATTAATAAAATTCGAAAAATGAAAGGACAGTCCCAATTTGACAAATATCTTACCACTCAATGCAATATTTGAAGTATCATATTCTCCTTCTGAATTCGCAATCCTCCTAAAATATTTGTGATCGTGGAATTCGTCCGCTTTTGTCAAATTCTTAACACCATTCTTAATGATTCCAATGAAACTCTCTTGTTTTTTGTTCTTTCCAACTAACTCATTTAAATATCCATCAGCCTCATAAGTCCTTTCGTACGTAATGGACACTGGCTGAAATAACATATCAAATGTCGATGACTTGTCCTCATTTAGTTGCTTCAAATATATACTAGTCAAAGTTTTCAAGATGCCGTACTTCGGTAATAGTAATTTTCCATCTCGAGACCTGGTTCCCTCAATAAATACCTCTAAATGAACCCTATTAGTCAAAAAGAATTCGATGATATTTGATAAATTTCTCTCAGTATAAAGCTCATTATTGAAAGATCTTTTAATAAATATTGCACCCAAGCCTTTCAAAATATTTCCAAACACCGCCACGTTCAAGTTTTCACCTGCTATGACCGTAGGGATTGATATTTCGAATCTAATCGCTATCAAATGCAAAATGATATAATCAACATGTGATTGATGGTTAGGCAAAAAAATAATGGACATGGGGTTCTCTAAATATTTCTTAAAAAGGTTACTGAAATCAGATCTAGTAACCCAAACACCATGTGGAAACATCTTCAGCATGAGTTTGATAACGGTTAAGTAACATAGCCGGACAAAATCACGCGACTTATATCGGGGCATGTCGATAGCATTCTGCTTTTTGAAGTAGTCAACCATAAACCCCTTTACCTCACGAACTCTCTTTTCAAAGTCCAGCGATTTGATTAAATTCATGCGTAATTCTCTCTCAATCAATTCGACAACTATATCGTCCAACATTTTATCTGATCTCTCGAGCTGATCGTCCATATAAGCTACCATTTTCTTATTAAATGTACTTGTTTGTTTATTGATTGAGTATTTGTATTCATTGTCCTTGTAGATTTCATCAAATTTAATGTTTCCACCGCTGAAAAAACTGAACAAGTTATTCAACATTCCCCAGCTGCGAGCTACTTTTTCATTTCCCTCTAATTCTACTATCGTTTCTATGTCTGTGGGAAGAGGAAATGTCAATTCTACGTTAGGGTTTCGGGTAGCATCCTCGAGAATGTTGACATCAAATTCAGAATCACAGATCTCCATTTTATTCATACAAATCTCTTAATATGCTCTTGAATATTCGATTCTAGGCGAATTTCGATATTACCAGCTCTTTCGGTTGCAGACGCTGTGCCGTCAGTTGTTCTCCCCCGCGATAAAGTATCCAATATGGGGGACCCAAAAAGTTTTCAAGTTTGACAATCTTAGGTACTTTGAAGAATGACGCTGTTCCTGTTAAGATGATCTACTGTTTCTGTGCTTTTCTGCCCTCAGTCCCGTTTCAGACTTGATGCCATTAACGACCTGTCTCTAATGCTGCCGTAGCCGCTTCTGCTGATGGTATTGCTGCCAAAGGTAAATGCGGGTTCGAGGACCTTTATACTGCACAAATATGTTGAGAAAACCCAACAGTTGCACGCCCCGCGCTTGTAAAGAGTAGTATTACTAGGGATGAGCACTAAAGAAGGGACCTATATGCTACGATAACAGTAGCACATGCCGTGGATATTTCAAGTCATATGAACCCTACAAAATAGACACTAATTCTGAAATCTGGGGTATAAGCGATATCGAGAGCTCTAGTTAGTTAAGTGGAGTACATCATAAAACTGTGAGCTCTTCTATCTCTATGCAGGGAACTACTATTCTTTGCTAGTAATAGAGGAGAACAGTAAAGATGAAAATGCCGTAGGACGAAACTTGGAGGTTTTTTCCTATGCAGTAACTGAGTATTCATTCTCTATGGGGTACATCAATAGACATAGATTTAGAGGAGTTGCTTCCGATGCTTTTAAGCTAGATGACGGTTGTGGGTTTCCTGGCCAATTCTTTCGGAAAAGTAATTCATCAAAATATCGCAAGTCTTTTAGTTAATGTCCGTAACTATGTGAGAAAATGAACTGAGACATCATAGCTAATTTCTCTTAAGTTACTAGTAGATGAATCTTGGCCAATCATACTCTCTGGCCTTTTTTGTACTTCTTTGCAAGGCTTTATAGTTCTTTGTCCGCGTATGTTTCAAAGCATCTCGCTTCCGGTCAGATCGTGATTTTCTCCGCTGGTTCTGTGCGAGCATGAGTTTCGCGGCCGATTGATCCACACCAGACACAATTATTAAGATTTGCTATTTCTCATCAGTCTTATATAAATTTATATTTATACATTCTTTCCCGGCGTTACATATTTATTGATATTGTTCTTACTTAAAGATATTATTCCATTTCTGTGAACCAGAAACCTACCGCTAAGGTACCGGGATACTAAGAGAAAATCTAAGTATAATATTTGCTAATAAGGCATTATTCATTTTAGTCACATCTTCGTGCCACACTTGGGCTGTTTTATTGCGACTAATACTATCGTGACTTTGCCTAAGACTCAATATCCATTCGGTTGTTAAAATTTGCACTTAGGCTAACAGGCATAAGTGGAAGATTCCGAAGGACAAGATTTAGAAAAAGGCCCACGCCTCCGTCTTGTTTTAATTTTTTATTCTTGGTGTGATCAGATTGGTTTCTATTCTTTCGTTTCGAATAGCTTATTGTTCAGGAAGATACCTCATATTGTATTATAACTATTTACGAAGCCACATCTGATGTTGTTAATCAATAGGAAGCAAGTGGATAAGAAGTTTAACGTAGGTGGGCTTTTCAAAAAGTTTCCTTTAAATCGAAGAAACTCGAAGGTATCTCAAAACGCAGGTGAATGTTCTTTTGTCGATTCCAAAGATGGCGATGAAGAGAACGCAACAACAAAGATTTTGACTTCATCTGGAGTGGAGCCTCCATCTATAACTGTCTCTCCACAAGAGCAAGAACTGGGGACCATAGTATCATCTGAGGCGCCGGATCAAGTGGCTGATCCTATTAGATTCTCTAACAATGAAGAGAGATATACTTCTTTCACGTCCGAATGTATTTCTTTACAAAACTCCGAAATGACGCTGGATATTCGATCCAAACTAGACTCAAATTTTGAGGAGACTCTTCCCATCGAAGGTTCTGAACTCGAACTTAGTAATGAGGAAAACGATTTGATAACTTACATAACTGATACTTATTCAGACATAAACTATAATCCTCATTTAGAGGAAAGTGCAAACGACTATTCCTATGGGGGATACCATCCTGTTTGCAAAGGGGAAGTTTATTTCTCTCAAAGTATTCAAGGGCTTGAATACATAACGTTACGGAAGCTAGGTTGGGGTCACTTCTCTACAGTCTGGTTGGCAAAAGTGAGGTACAACGAAGCTTTTTTGCCCACTGATAATGGTAGTGACACTGAAATTAAAAATGAATCTTATGTTGCTCTAAAGTTTGTAAAATCAAATAAGCATTACTTAGAAGCGACAGAGGATGAAACTAATATTTTAAAGACTTTAAACAAGCCGCTCCTATATGGTGAAAACTTATCACTGAATGAGATAAATTATTTTAAGGGCTTCAGGATGAAAAACGGCCAGCCAATTGGCCACCCTGGACATGACAGAATAATGAGATTGCTTGACAATTTTGAAGTTAATGGCCCCAACGGTCATCACATTTGCATGGTTTTTGAGCTTTTGGGCGAAAGTGCTTTGAACTTAATTTACAAGTACAAACTGCTTTATTCATCATTAAAAGCTTCGCCATCCGAAAACCCATTTTTTACTTCTTCTAACAAGTTTGCTAAGTGGGATCCAAAGAATTTAAAGAAAAATACCAAATCCATGTTGACATTAGGCTTGAAGGCCAAGACAAACACTACTCCGCTTGATCAAAAAATAAGGGAAATAAACTCAAACATGTTGATTGATCTGATCGCTGGCTCAAAGAATTGTGGCGGTTTACCTTTGCATTTAGTCAAGCAAACCGTGAAACAACTTCTAGTTGCCGTAGACTATATGCATCATTGTGGAGTTATTCACACGGATTTAAAACCTGAAAATATTTTGGTTCAAATTAATGACATTGATAAGATATTAAAATCAGTAGAAAATAGCAAGGTTTCAAAGTCCAAAAATAAAGGACGAAAAGAATCCTCTACGGCCTCGAGAAAGGCATCAATGACATCGTCATATTCAAATGGCTCGTATCAGAGATCGAAAAACTCTTTTTTGAACGAGTCACCCATAAGAGCTTCAAAGCCTCTAGAATTGGTTTCTTTCAATAAAGACATATTTCAAGAGAATCAGAAGCAAGCTGTGACCAAAAAAAACGGTCATGACAGTAATGACACTCTTTCAATAAAAATTGCAGACTTGGGAAATGCAACATTTACAAAATTTCATTTCACTGATCAAATTCAAACCAGACAGTACAGGTCTCCAGAAATTATATTAAAATACAAACAATGGGGATCGTCTACTGATTTGTGGTCGATCGGATGTATAATATTTGAATTAATCACGGGGGACTTTTTATTCGACCCTCATGAAGGGAAGGATTTTGACAAAGATGATGACCACTTGGCACAGATTATAGAATTATTAGGCGAATTTCCTTCTAAGGAGTATTTGAAGGATTGTGATCTTGCTTCGAAGTATTTCGTCGTAGATCCACATTCAAAGGAAGTGTCTTTGAAAAATATAGATAGATTGAAGTTTTGGAGTTTACAAGATGTGTTAGTCGAGAAGTATAAATTTGAGAAAGATAGCGATGAAGTGATATTGATAACAGATTTGATTTTGAAATGTTTAAAGTATAACTTAGAAGATAGATTTGACAGTCATTCGTTGTTGAAACATCCTTGGTTGCAAGATGATATCAAGGACATAAACTTAGACGATCTCAAGAGATTACGTAAAGACCATAGTGATCTTCCTGGTTTTACATGCGCAACTGGGTAGGTTTCATATATCGAAAGTGAGAGAATAAAAGTTTTTTTGAATGCTAATGTATTTATATATCTATTTCCCCGTAAACTTATGTTTATGGAATGCCTCTAGATCAAACGACTCTTCCGAAGACAAATCCAAGTTTGGATCATAATCAGAAAGCTCATCTCGGCAGTTACCTCTCATTTCTTTGGAATCTTGTTTAGCCAGTAACTGTTTATTTCGCAGAGGTTGAGTGCTTGATGCTTCTATATCCTCTGGCCCTTCCGATCGGTCGTGATAACCCATCAGTTCTTGTTCCTTTATTTCTCCAATAGTAGAAGCCTGTGTCTCTTTAACTTCTGATTTAACAAATAATTTATTTGATAACTTCTTATCGTTTAGTACATCGTGAGCTGATCTCATTTTGAAGTTACCAATCGAATCGTCTTCCTCGAAATCATACGATAGTTTTACTGTCGAGGTCTTCTTCTTTCGCTTCTTCCTTATAGGTTCTTCGATTATTGTTGGTTCTGATATATCTTCAAAAAACTTTTCATGAACATTGATATCAGTTATTCTCGCAGGGTAAACAGGCTTATCGCCATTAAGCTCGCCGTTATTTATTTTAACTGCTGTATAATGAGAATTTCCCACAACCTTCCCAAACACAATGTATTTATTATTAAGCTCCTTGGCTTCTCTTAAAGTTATGAAGAAGCTATCAACGCTGTTTCCATTGCGTCTGTCTTTATCTTGCTTAACAGCAACAATTAAAAAACGTCTATTAAATCTAATTCTTGAATGAAATTCGTCTTCTAGCCCATAATCAGGTTTTTCTGTGGAGGTAGTCTGTATCAAAAAATCCTTTTCTACTTTACCAAACACCTCTCCCACATACTTCTTGTTCAAGCAGTTTTGTATAAATATCTTACAAGTATTTGGAATCTCCTTAGCCCATAATTCTATTTCAATAGAGCCCTTAGTCGTTTCTATTTCTACTTTAGCAGTCGTTGAGGGTTCTAGGTTCATCTCCTATTCTATAATTTAAAGTACAATGATATCTCGCAATGCTATCTTATTTATGGGAAAGACTTTAACCAAGCTTTTACAATTTTCATGGTAACTTTGTTTCTTACGTTCCTTCCTCTCGGGCTACTATTTTGTATTGAAATATCGATACTGAAGTCGTGCAAAATTTGTGTACTAAGGTCTCCAAAACACGAAAACATTACTATTCGATTAATACTTTCAAAGAATAAAGAGTATTCAAGAAACATATAATAATAGAATGGGATCCTTGAAGTCATTCATTAAGGCTGTTAGGAAGGCAAAGACAATTGCAGATGAAAAGGCTGTGGTTAGCAAGGAGTCTGCTGCAATTAGGACTGCCTTTAGAGATCCAAATTTCGATCAAACTGAGAGAAGAATCAACATATCCAAGTTGTTATACTTATATATCATAGGTGAAAAGACTCACTTTGGTCAGGTAGAATGCCTTAAGTTGTTGGCGTCACCGAGATTTGCGGACAAAAGATTGGGATACTTGGCCACCATGTTGTTGTTGGATGAGAATCAGGAAGTACTCACGTTATTAACTAACTCATTAGATAACGATATGCAGCATCCCAATGCCTATGTTGTCAGTTTAGCATTAACTTGCCTTGGGAACATCGCATCTCCTGAATTAGCTAGGGATCTCCATGGAAATGTCGACAAGATTATAACAACTAATAATAGCTTCTTAAGAAAAAAATCATGTATAGTGGCAGCTAAGTTAATTGATAGAGATCCAGAATTATCTGAAATATTCTTGCCGAAGGTACCAACTTTGTTAGGAGACAAGCAAGCAGGGCCCTTGTTGGGGTGCTTAAGGTTAATACAAGCATTGTACTTTGCCCACGAGGAAAATCGACCGAATTTAATCAAAACAATTCCCAAGATAGTCAGTCATTTGAAAAGGATCTCTACGAGTGGATATTTACCAGATTATGATGTTCTAGGTATTAGTGATCCATTTTTACAAGCTACTTTATTGTCAACATTGAGGATTTTGGCATCAGACAAGGTATCAGCCCAAGAGTATTTAGACCAAATCAACGACATATTGACTCAAGTTGCATCTAACATTGAAAGTGGGAAAAATGCCGCTCACGCTGTCTTATACGAGTGTGTGAAAACTATCTTTGCCATTGAGTCTGATCAATCCTTAAGGATTTTGGGGGTCAATTTATTAGGTAAGTTTTTATCTACAAAGGATAATAACACAAGATATGTTGCTCTCGATTCTCTATTGACAGTTGTTAGCATTGAGCCATTGGCTGTTCAGAGACAAAGGACTATTATTGTGAATTGTTTATCGGATGGTGATGTATCGATTAGGAGAAGAGCCCTAGAATTGAGTTTTGCAATATTGAACGAACAGAATATCAGAGTACTTGCGAGAGAAATCCTATCATTCCTAGAAGTTTGCACCGATAAGGATTTGCAGACTTACGTCACATCTCAATTGACTATTGCAGCAAGTAGATATGCTCCAAATGAAAAATGGCATTTTGACACCCTCATTAGAATGTTGAAACTTGCAGGGAATCATATCACTTCTGACATTGTGTCCAATATTTTTGCTCTTATCCTACAATGTAGCAACTTTGACTTGAAGAGGCATATAATGAGTAGACTATTTGCTTCCTGCTTAGAGGATTCCACTCAGTTCGGTCTTTCTTTAATAACAGTCTGGACTTTAGGTGAATATGCTGACTTGATTTTAAACACTGAAATTGAATTGAATGAAGGAAAGAATCATCAAACTGTGACAGACGATGCAATCATAAATTTACTAGATCAGTTGATTAATAATTCCACTTATTCAGAAATTGAAACCATTCAACTTGTCACGTATATATTGACTGCGGCTATAAAATTGTCAATAAAATTGAAAAAAGCGGAAGCTATTGAAAAATTGAGGTTGATAATCAATTCAAAGACGCACGACAATAACTTAGAAATACAGGTCAGAGCAGTAGAATATCAAGAACTATTCAATGAAGACTTATCTTTGAAGAAAGGGTTATTGGCAAAAATGCCGGCTCCAGAAATTAAGCATAGAGAGTCCGTCTCCTTATTTAGTTCGCATAAGCAAAATAAGTCTGGAAATACAAATAATTCACTGGGAATGATTTCAAATACGGACGATTTATTATTGGATTTGATGGACGATATTCCAAATCCAAATCAAACACAAACTTCAAGCGACATATTATTGGACATATTTGGAAGCTCTAACGGAGCTGAATCTTCAAAGCAAGCTACATCGACGAAGCCTACCTCCTCCCCAAAACCAGTATCCAATGGCCAAAAATCGTCGTCATTCTCGTCGTCAGCTTCGCCAATTGAAGTTTTCTCGAATGGGAATATTTCCGTCTTACTAGTCCCAGTGTCTTTCGGAAATGGTATTGGTATAATTGAAGCAGAAGTCCGATCCGTCACTTCTTCCTCTATCACTCAATTTCAATTGCTTATTGCAGTACCAAAGTCTCAGAAGCTTACTATTTCCTCTAACCTGGGTGGTGATACTCTCACAAGTGGTTCAGTCATCAAGCAGACGCTAAAAGTTGTCGGAAAGCCGGATTCTAAGATCAAATTTAGAGTTCGTGCAAGATACCTACTTGATGGACGCAATGTAGAGGATCAATTTGACTATTCTGGTTTCGATCTGACTCTATAATGATAAGCACTCTAAATGAGATTTAAGACAGATATTCTCCTTTATTTCGCTTACTTTAACTACTCTACGAAATGAATGAAAAAACAATCGGAAGAAAAAAAAATTAAGAAAGAAGAAAAGAGGAATCGTTCAGATCCTACATTTGCGATAGATGTATTTATAATCCTAGATACCTAAATATAACGTCTAAATTCTAGCTTTATATTCTTTGACCATGTTTTTGAGCTTTTGAACGACTTATTATTTATTTAGCAAAAAGGGTGCGGCTTTGAACACGAGAAAGCGAACCAACAAATCAAGTGCAATACAAATTCTTCTCTTTATCAATTTTTGAATATTTGAATCTAGGAAGGACTTCAATATGTTTTTAGTCAAAACGATCAATTCAAGAGCTCCATCTCAGGTATTGAGATCTAATATCTCAACAAAGTCATTGAGCCGTCGATTTTTGGCCACAAGCTCTCAGAAAACATTTCCAACAGGAAACTACTTCAAAACTTTCGGTACGCAAATACCAAAAGCAATTGGAGCCTTAGGTGCAATTGTTTTCTTTTTTTACCTTTTTCCAGCAGCGTGTATTTACGTCAGTCATGAGGTAAACAATGCGTTCCCTGACGACACATCTGCCGTCAAGGCAGGTATTTTTGGTGGTAATGCGGTAGCGACTATTCCACAGACATTTGCTCGTTACAACTTCGCAGCTGAAGAAGAGGATGATGACGATGAAGATGAGGACGATGACGAAGATGAAGACGACGAGTAAACTCTTGGTCAATCACAAATTCCTGACACCAAATAGATGGATATTAAAGTCGTATTCGACGAAGTCAGAATTGCAATGAAAATCGAGAGAAAATTGTCAAATAAACTTGGAATCTTCCAATTACAGTACTTATAATATATGAATGCTTCTGTATGACCGCCATTTTCTTGGTTTCAATTCAAATTCGGCTTTTGGTATGTCTTTAATTTTGCAATATGCCTAAATAGCTATCTCAGCTAAATACTCAATGAAAAACATTTACAAGATCTTAAAAGCTCTAATTCTATTACACGTTCTCTGATTTAAGTTTTTATGCTATATTTCTCCTATAAAACACTACTTCTTGGATTCGAAGTCATCAACAGTGTCGCTCTCGAGGTCATCATCGGTAGTCTTCTCTAAACCAAAATGGCCCTTCCAGCCATGCTCAACTAAGTAATTCTTATATAAAATATCTTGTTCGAGAAGATCGCCCTCTTTCAAATGGGGAACGAAGAAATAAGCGACAGTGATACCCGCAAGTCCACAAATGGCTGCAATGATAAAAGTCCATCTATCTCCCAAATTTGTTTGAATTGGTGTGAATGTTTTTGTGCCAACGACTGCACCGACTTTACCAATTGCTGCAGAGAGCCCGTATAATGTTCCTCTGACAGGTGATGCAAAACTCTCAGCAGAAACTAAACCCATACAATTACCAGGACCCATGTTACCAGAGGACTGCATGAGTCCATAGAAGATTATGAATAAGGGTACAATAGCCTTTAACTTGTCATATGCACATCCAACAATAAGTCCAAATACAATATAACCACCGAAACCAAGCATAAGTGTATACTTTCTACCAATTCTATCCATTAAAAACCCACCAACAAACACACCTGGGATTGCTATTGACAGTAATAAGAGATTCCATTCCGCAACTTTTTGTAAGTCAGAAGTATCATTAATGACTTTAGAGATAATACCTGCTGAAAAAACACCATTTGGAAACGTTACAAAATCGTAAAGAAACCACGAGACACAAGTACCAATCATTCTTTTCCAGTAAAATCTGATAGTAAGGAGATATGGAGCCCTTTGTTTGACGATCGCAGACTCTTTATAAAGTAAAGATGTAACCATTTTCAATCTAAAGTAAAACACGGATAATGGAAAAAAAGCACCTATAGCAAACATGGTCCTCCAAACTGCATCAAGGTTAGATGTAATTTGGTATACAATCAAAAAGACACATAAGGCAATTGGACCTCCCATACTCAAAGGGAAATTTGTACATAAAACAAAAACCAACCCTCTTTTCTTGACAGACTCATTTGCAGCCTCGCTAGCAGATACAGAAGATGATGGGTACTCAGCTCCGATACCAAATCCTGTGACTCCTCTGGAAATAATTAACATCCAAAGCATACCATCGATGGTCTTACCGTGAGATGCTGCACACATACAGGTTCCAAGAATTAAAAATAATGTTGCAACTATAATCGACCACTTTCTGCCCATGTAGTCAGCCGCGAAACCAATTACAACTTGACCAAATATGGTACCAACTGTAGAGGCATAAGAAACACTGGTCTTCATATCAGCTGTGTACTCTTTCGGATACTTTTGAGTGAATACCGAGTTTAACATAGTCATGACGTTATTTTGATAACCATCAGATATGAGTGCAAATCCGGCACAAAGAATGATAAACACGTCTCTGAGCTTTACCCCGCCATCGAGTCTTCTTTGCCTGGCTTCACCATCATATACGAATTTCTTTGGATTAGAAATTGCTATCTCATCTGAAGAGAGAGTTTGTGATTGAATGATATTATTCTTCTTTTCCTCTGAATCGTAATTCATTTCTTATTTTGTCTTAAGTTTAACTTCTTTGGCTGCAATTTCAGCAAAATGAATTATTAATTAAATGAAGTTGCTTAAAGAAGCAGAAAAAGTATTTTGAAAACCTATTAAATCTATCTGGAGTCTTAACCAACTCTTTTCTATGAAGTAGTAAACTTACTATTCTTCGATGTGTTCCTCGTCTTCAATTGAAGCTAGAGTAATATTAGTGGGTCGCGATTCCTCAGAATATATAATATCAATAATTTATATATAAATTATCTTGCTTTGTCCCTTCGCTGACCTCAAGTTATCCAATTGAGTGAAACGTCTGGTTGATTGGAGCAACATCGAATCGCCTTATTATTCTCCAAGCTTATGACTATTTATATTATCTCATCACGATTAAAGTCTCCACGTGTGACTCTTGCATCTTATTGTCTGCAATGCTCAAATGAGTGAACGCTTAACTCACAGGTTTAAAATAAATTTTTGCTGCCCGAAAGACAGTAAATTGTTCGAAACGATGCGGCAAACTTGTCAAAGCACCGAACGTGGTCTCTAATGAATATTAAAAAGCAGCAAGGGATGAGAAACAAGGCATGTAATACAAGTAACACCTTGTAATACAAGAACATTCGAACTCTGTGAGAACTGATGCGAGGATGTCGAACAATAGGCCCGCGAGAGGGTGGGTTATCAGAATTGAGCCTCGCGTCAAGCATGAGCCAGTCTAAATGCGGAAAATATGCTATTGCATTACATTAAAGAAATTTCTTTGGAGGTCGGATTCCGAGCAAGGAATTCCTAATCAAGGGCAAAAATTCGGATTTGAAATTGGAGACTAAAGAGAATCCAGTAAGTCGCAAATTGCCTACTCCAACAACACGCATTATCATTCGAGAGAATGCACCTCTCTCATTTCAAAGGGAAGAATAGTCCTCAACAGCAATTCTATGTGAGGTTGCGTCCATTAAAGAGGAAAATCATACAAGAAAATAGACTACAGCGATCAATAACGGTTGTAAAACCGACGCAGGGACCGGCCTTGGCCATGTGGGCTCTAGCTATGAAGATAACGAAATGTGTTCTGCCTTGCTGCCACTAAATGTCAGTGCCGATCCTATTAGCGAGGAATTTACCCCTTTGACTGTTTATCGTGTGCGGAGGCAACACATGTGTCTCTTGTTCTTCTCTATAATTGATCTTCCTCTGACCTTATTCGTAAGGCTTATTGTTAGGATACCTTTGTGACTCGTTTTCGCTTATCGAATTATCAATCATTGCAGTAATAAGCCTATATTTAATTAAAGGAATCGAAAACGTTGTCGCTAACAAGGCTTTCAAATTACATGTGTAGCTATTACGTGCATTAATCTCGATCTTGTGCAACTTGATTCAGTCCCACGTTAGTCTTTCTGCCAGATTTTCCTTTCCCCATGTGGCGCTAATTTTTTTGAAAATCTCTAGCGAAATGCTCTTTAGAAGTTGCCATCTAACACTCACGTCTAATGAATAGAATCATCAAAAATGAGAGCTTGACGATGGGGATAGCGGCTACTGCCGGTAAAGGTTCCCCAGGTTTCGGTTATTCCGGTACCGGTCTTTTCTCAAAATTTTTCAGCTGAGTCACCAGATCATCAGGGAAAATGCGGTGCAATGATATATTAGAAGAGAAATTCTGAATAATCAATTACAACTATTTTAGATCGTACCATCACAGACAGTTTGGAACTTGATAATATTCCTATTTACGGCCATCAGCTATAATCTATTGTTTGCATTCAAAATTATCAAATAAAATAGCAAGTTTAGTTGAGTTGCTTGAGATTTGACTCTTACCAATAAGTTTTATTTATAATTTACAATTATAATTTACAATTCCTAAAGCATCAATATCACAATGCCGATGCTCAAGGATCCATCAAAGAAATACTCCCCTTTCCCACCGATAAACTTACCTAACCGTAAGTGGCCATCTGAGGTCATCGCAAAGGCACCCAGATGGTTATCAACTGATTTAAGAGATGGAAATCAGTCTTTACCCGATCCTATGTCAATGGACGAGAAGAAAATTTACTTTAAAAAGCTCGTCGAAGTAGGATTTAAGGAGATTGAAGTAGCTTTTCCCTCCGCATCTCAAGTAGACTTTGATTTTACCAGATACGCCGTCGAGACGGCTCCCGATGATGTTTCGATCCAAGTCTTGAGTCCCTGTAGGGAAGATTTGATCAGGAGAACTGTGGAATCGATGAAAGGAGCAAAGAGAGCTACTATACACATATACTTAGCTGTTTCTGAATGCTTCAGGAATGTTGTGTTTGGAATGACCAAGGAGCAATCATTAGACTTAGCCGTAAAATGCACGAAGTTAGTCAGATCACTTACCAAAGATGATCCATCTCAAAGCGGAACTATTTGGGACTTTGAATTTTCCCCTGAGACTTTTTCTGATACAGATTTGGAATTTTCTGTACAGATTTGTGAAGCTGTAAAAGAAGCTTGGGAACCATCCAGTGACAAGCCTATTATTATAAATTTGCCAGCAACCGTTGAAATGGCCACTCCAAACGTTTATGCTGATCAAATCGAATATTTTGCTACTCATATATCAAAAAGAGATACGGTATGTATTTCATTACACCCTCATAACGATAGGGGATGTGCTGTTGCTGCTGCAGAGTTAGGGCAAATGGCTGGTGCTGACAGAATTGAAGGCTGTTTATTCGGAAATGGAGAAAGGACTGGTAATGTCGATTTGGTGACGCTAGCTCTTAATTTGTACACTCAAGGTGTTTCTCCTTATTTAGATTTCTCAGATATAACATCTGTGATTGATATTGTTGAAAGATGCAATAAGATCCCTGTTCACGCAAGAACACCTTATGGAGGATCATTGGTTGTATGTGCTTTCTCAGGCTCGCATCAGGATGCAATAAAGAAAGGTTTTGTTACTTATGACAAGAAACTTAAGAACTCTGGCGGTAAAAATATTAATTGGAAGTTGCCATATTTACCATTGGATCCTCAAGATATAGGCAGAACCTACGAAGCTATTATCAGAGTGAACTCGCAATCTGGTAAGGGTGGTTCTGCTTGGGTTATATTGAGAAATTTAGAATTAGATTTACCTAGGGGCTTGCAAGTTGCATTTTCTAAGGTTGTCCAGAAGCAAGCAGAGTTGAAGTCAAGGGAACTTACCAATGCAGAATTGTGTGATTTGTTTAAGAAGGAATATTTTATTAATTACGAGAATGCCATTCACCAAAGGTATTCTTTGATTGACTACTCTCTTTCAAGCACTCAGAAAGGTGTCAGAACTATTGAAGTTGAACTTCAAATCAATGACAAGGCAACTAAAATAAGCGGTAAAGGTAATGGTCCTATCTCGGCATTTATAGATGCTTTGAAAGAGGACCTTAAAATGGACCTTGTGGTCAAAAATTATCATGAACATTCTTTAGGCAAGGATACGAATGCAAAAGCTGCAACATATATTGAGGTACAAACACCTACAGGCTCAACTCAATGGGGAGTTGGTATCCACGAAGATGTGTCGCAAGCATCATTTTTATCTTTATTGTCTATCCTAAACTCCTTACACAGAGATAGCTCAAAATAGTTTATAAACGATAAATATTTTGCTTTCTTACTGAAAAGAAAATAAATTGCGCTAACGTAGCTTAATAAAACTGCCAATGTCTTTAAATAATCACTACTTATATAGTTTTTGTCTAATGTGTTTTATGAAGTTTCATTATATTATAGTACTTCATATAGTGGACTATCAAATAGTGAACTTATTTCAGTTTTGAGAGAAAATAAAGGAACTTTATTCTATTATTGTATCGGTCTGAAACCAACTTGTTCAGATGACTCAAGAAAGCGAAAGCATCAGTATTTCCGATGCATATAAACAAATACACGAAGCTGAAAAACATGCTGAAAAATTAGAAGAAATGCTAGAGCTGTTAGATAACAAAATGGAGACCATTTTGAAGGAGGCGGAAGAGAAGAAAAAGGAAGATACAAAATGAGATCAATCTACTAGGAAGGAAATAGCACGGCTATTCATGTCTATAAATATAAATAAATTCATAATTTAAGCAAGCTGCTCTTTGAGAGAAATTCTGGTTGATCTGTAACTTCAAATGGATTAGCGGGCAACTTAGGATTGATCACGTATGATTCTCCTTCTGTTTTGTTTAACTTTGGAATATCTATTTTTGCTGCTTTACCTCCTTCAAGCCACCATTTGTGGATTTCAGAACTTGGTGCTGGGAGTGCCTTGTTGTTGTTAAGTAAAAATGATAAGTTTTGTTTTGTGAAAAAAATATCATTGCCAAATGTTTTTCTATAACTTTCGTACAAACCATTGAGTAATCTCTCTTTCATATTTTCGTTTACAATGTTCACCGAGCACATGAAAATTCCATAGACGGGTCTGTGGTCTGAAAACACCACCTCGGGCGCTGAGTTGTATAGGATTTGCTTCAAGATCTTATTTCTTGAGAGACTTAATATCCTATCAGTCCAAGCAGGAATTCTTTGTTTTTCACTTGTATCGTACGTTTGGGTTCCATTGTCGAATTTATAAGTCGGTGGAAACTGGATTTCCATCTCGTCAAAAAATGGGAACGTTTCACCCTTTGCCATTTGCACATTCAATTGATCAGACTCAAACAACTTTGCGAAATCTTTTCGTTCAATTAGTTCTTTAACTAATTCGTTAGGTAAATCTATACGAAAATTAAAATCACCCAACCATATTACTGCGTCATGATCCTTAATTCTTCTATTCTTAGAAAATTTTAAACCTTTAACTAGAGTCTTATAGTTTTGATGTCTTTCATCAACGTTGCTCAATCCAGCTGCTAAATGTGATGATATGAAACATAATTCTGTATTGGAGTAAGTAAATCTAACCGCAACTCCACCTTTATTGGCACTCATACCTCCCAATCCAGTCTTTTTATATGATCCCTCTACATTGGAAATATTCTCCAATTCTTGTTCTTGGACAAACAAGAACAACGCAATACCCCCAATTTGACCAGTCCATAGGGAGGCATATCTTTTGCCAGACATGTTCAATTCATTTAATGAATTACGCAACTTCTCTTCCCAGAAATATCGATTAGCAGAGTCAGTATTTACCATCTGTGTTGCATTAAGTTCTACGATCTCTTGTATTCCAATGACAACCAATTCATAGGCTTCGGCTATATCTTTTAGGTGTGGAAACAACCATTCTTTGATGCTTCCGTTATAACATGATCCATTTACGTTAAAGGTTCCTGCAAATATTGAAATATCCTTAGCCGAGCTGAATTCTTTCGATCTTTTTTCAAGTTCATGCATAACATAGCTATGCATCGGATTATGCAAGCTGATACTTTCCTGATCTTGCAATCTTCCAAGTAGTTTTAACATAGCAGTCTCATTCGGCTTAGTATCAACAACTCCACTTAAATATTTCTTGGGCAACAAAGACGATAAGTTTTTACTTGCGGTACTCGAGGCTTGTAATTTAGCTGAGTTGGAAACAAAATTAATGGTTATCTTCGATATAAACTCTTCATTTTCTTCCCAAAGTTTAGCATGTTTCGTGAAAAGTTCATGATTGACTTGAATTCCAATGTCTCTAAACGCTAATTCGATTACTAGTTGAGTAATGACTTTGGAAATAAAATTGGCTTTGTCAAGGGAATCAAATGATGTGACTCTGAATACTCCGAGTTGTTTTCCAGTGAACGATTTTTTCCCACAATCATAAAACGTTGCACTATAGTCGATTACAGAGTCAACTAACAATGGAATAAGGTCATAAGGCTGGGCAGCAGTATATCCTAGCTTCTTCATTACGGATGTAGATATAGGCATATCGGTAGATAACAACTTATAACTCGTTAAAGCTCCTAGTTCTTCATTGTACTTTGCCACTTCTTTCTTTTTTCTATTGAAATATTCGATATGCTCTTTAAACTTCACATTCAATTGCCCTTTGTAAGACTTGTAATCCTGAGATAAAGAATCTATGATATGAACATCACCGAATTGATTTACAAGCCTGTCAAAATGGCGTGTGAATGCATGCTGAGACGCTTCAAATGATCTCGAAAATACCACCGTCTTGTGCTTCTTTGATATAATTTTGGACTTTGAAAAATGGTTTTCTAGCTCCCAATGAATAGGAACGTTTCCTCGTATTATAATATATGAGAAGCAGTATTTTTCAGTGTAAACGATTATTTCAGTCTCAACAAAATTTGAAACAGCTCCATTATCGTCACAACCCCAGCATCCAAAAAGAGGCCCACTTTTAATGCATGATTGCTTGGAAATAAGAGAAAGCATAGCTTCTTCATCTCCAACAGTGGTATTCACTGTTTTTGCATATCCTCTCGTTATTGTGACCAAAAACCCACATTTGTCAAATTGGAATCTCTCCTTGGGTGATAGTCTATTTCTAAATTCTATGATTTCTGAGTTCATGTACCCATTCCATAAAAATCTTTTGAAATAAGGCAAATCAGCTACTAGCAAAAAGCCTTGAGGCTTGTTAAATCCTCTCTCTTGAATATTCGAACAAATGTCAAAGTCTCTAGAATAAAAAAAAGTTCCCAGAGAAAGAAGCTTTTTCACTGAAGAAGCTGGCGTATGTCCCCGCTCCTTCTCCTGCGGATTATGGTGATGATGAATTTGAGGATAAGCCAGTGATGGCGATGTAAGGTTCTCGTCTTGAAAAGTTCTATTAAGCAAATAGTCATACTCGTCATTATTCAAACAGTAAAAATCAACCTCTGTAATCTTTTTGACCATTTCCCCGGTCTTAGGTGATGCAATTGAGACTTCCCTTGTCACGAAGCCTAGATATATATTACTTTTTACATTTAGCAACCCTAAGAAACCAAGGAATTGTTTGTTTTGTCTAGTAATAGTCGGAGTGATATCCCTGTACTTTGTTGGATCCACTGTATCCATACTCATAAATTCCACTATAACGTCATTTGACAGCTGGTTGCCACTACCGGACTTTGAACCATCTCCATCTGCGTTCTTTGCATGCTGATGGGAGCTTCCGTTCTTGTACTGAGGAAATGGGTGCCTTAAAATAAGTACGTGATTATTGCTAGTAATGAAGAAAGTTCTAGGATTCTCATTGAGGTATAGCTTCATCTCTATATCCTACCTCTTGCACCTTTCTTGGGTACCTTTTATCTATGCTTACTTGTACCAGTTATCAGTAGTTTGTGTTAATAAAATTCGTGTCGGACCAAATTATAAATAGAAACGACTCTCTTTATTGATAGGTGTTTAAAAATAGAGCTATACAAAAGTCATGTAGAATAGAAAAGATTCAAGCTTAAGCTTATTAAACTCCAATGCTTTAATTATTATTACAAAAGTTACAGAACCAAGCTTTATATTTCAAAGCAAAAGTAGATTTTCCATTTCCTTTTCTAATTGCAGAGGATTAGTAGACCATTCAATATGCCTTCCTGGATTTGTTCTTCTTTAAGTGTGATTCCGGGACCCAGCTCTCGTCGAGTGGCCTAGCAGTTGTTGTTGCCGTAGGCTTTGAAGAAGTCTTTTTAGATTTTGATGAAGGAATCACATTACCTTCGAGGTAGCTACGACCCCATAAGCTGTAAACAACATAGAGCACACCACCAAGTGTTGCTAATAAGACAAACTCCAAAAATAATAATTGTGGATTCAACAATGAGACTGGTTGATCTTCCACAGTGGTTAGTTGGCCCCTAGCTTGTACTTGCCTCAATTCTTCATTGATGGCAATGTAAACCATTGGAGATAAGATATAACTACTTGGAATCAAATTCACGTTGATAACCTGCTCAAACGTACCCGATTCTCCAGGTTTCAAAGTGATTGGGGTAACTGCTGCTGATGTTAAGTTCGTCTTAACCTCAGAATTCGTAGGATCGCGGAAAGATCCACCAACTCCCACAACAGATATGTCAACATCATCGTTATTAGAAACATTAAATTCCAATGAGGTCTGTTCACCGTTAGTTAATTGAGCCACATCGTGATTGGTGATTTCGGGAAGTTCTTTGATTCTGTAGTCAACAAAAAATTTAACTTGAGTTTTACTATCGGGCACAATTGCCGAGGCGCCTAAGAGCGCAGTGGAAGCAATGGTAAGCAATGTGAAGATCTTCATAGCTAATCTGTATATTTCTCTTATAATCTGAAAATCTCGAGTATGCTCTCAGTTTTGATGTTGTGGCAGTTTCGTCCGATGCATTTTGGAGTCAGCTGATAATCATGTGATCCAAGATATGGCTCCAATTTATATATGTAAATTCTAGATAGAAAACGTAAAGTATTGATACTCTATACATAGGGTTTAGGGTGAAAGAGAAAGAAGAACCTGGTTCAGAGGCTCTCAAGAAATGATAACTTTGCATATAAGTAAGAAAAATCGAATTCTTTACTGTAATCTAAAATTTCCCTTCTCCCCAAGGTTTTACAACTCTAGAAGGTTGGAGGAACCAGATAATGTGAGACACAGTAATAGTAAGTTCTCTGTGTTTAAAGTCGGAAGTGACGACTGGAAGGAAAGAAAGTCTCTGCGTTCTAAAAAAATACAAGAGGCTTATTCCGAGAAAGCTGAAACAAACATAAGTTTAGCTAAAAACTTTGTCAATCAACGAGATAAGATGGCTGAGCTTCTTAAAGATTCTTCAACTATGAGTGAATTATTCAAAGAAAAGAAAAATAATTGGCATAACCTTGCTCACGAAGAAGACCCTAGAGTTTCTACGTATGACAGCTTAAGTGACACTCTAGGGGGACTATCATACACAAATACTGAGCTCGAAAATAGCATGATGATGATATGCACATATTTTATAAATTCAGTCATAGTAGAACTCAACCTAAGAAAGGTTTTAACGAATGAGGCAAAGTTCGATTCATTTTTATTCACTCGTTCACTAATGAGTAGCGTAAGGTCTACAAATGATTGGACTGAAACTTTTCAACTATTGATTAAACTATATGATATAAAAGAAGGAACACCGAAATCTCTAGATGATTTTGTCAAAGGCTTGGATAAAATCGGTGTTGAACTGTTGATTAGTGATTTTAAAAGTTCCGATCATTTCAATTCTTTAGAAATGTTGAGGTACTTTTTCTGTTACTTTAAAACTTCACAACATCTAAACTATGATGAGTCTGACACAATAAAATTCGTCAAATCATGGTATCCCATTAAATTTCAGAGTCCTGAAGTCAACAATTCAGATTACATAAAGGGATTCGATAATTGCTTCGAGAAGTATAAAGCGAACAATGATCTTGGTCATCTCGAACTTGCATTAGATCTATCAAAAGTCATTATAACATGCTCTAAATATACTCCCTCAGTCAGCATATTCAAATATTTATTGGATAAATTAGGTGAAATGGGTCTACTCAGTTACCAAACAATAGTGTATGATAGTATTGCCCCTGTTAAATACAAAGGATCTATCTTGGGGACCCCTTTGACTAAAGCTTTGAGGCCTCAGAGAGTAGCGGAACATTTTCAAGATCTTGTAGAATCTGATCCTGGACTTCTTGAATCATTTATCAAATTCCAAGTTCCGAGAGGTGATGTCACTACTCTCGTGAAGTTATTAGCATTCTACCGATTGAACGAGGTGATGGATTATGTGGCCGTCTTAGACAGGTCTAATCTTTCTAAGGTCATTTCGAAATCAAGGTTTTCGAGAAACCTGACGATGACTTTCAAAACCATAATATTTAAAACAGATAGAGAAATTTTTGTTTCAAGGGAGTCAATATATTCTGCTATTGAAGCATGTATTTCATTACATGCATACAAGTATATCGATGCTTTAGTCGATAAATTAATTGTGAATTCTGTGAAAAATGATGACGAAATTCAGATAGCATTGAGTTTGGGAGGTAATCCTTCCATTTTCTTGAAAGGTATAGACCCACCTTTAATTATAGCCAAAGTGTTGCCTCCAGATGAGCTATCATCAATTATATTTGATAAAAATCTATTCAAAATATTGTTACGAGCTTCAAGAGAATCAGACGATATTGGCAGGCTTATGTGGCTAACTCCACACTTAGATTCTTATCTAAATCGTTCTCTTGAAGTTAGTGCCCCTCATATAGATGCTATCAAAGTGCATTTGAGAAATTGTAAAGACGAGGTAGATGAGCGGTTCACGTTAGCGGAAGATAGTTCATTGATTGATATGGCATTGATTTCCGAAATCTACGACGCGATGTCTGTTCTTGGTTTGGATGGGAAACTTGTTGCATATGATAAATTTTTAGATTTCAAAAATACTCACCCTAAACTAATAGACTCACCTCCAGAAAGAAACCAAAATGAAACTAATGCATATTCCTCGGAAGCGAAGGATCAGTTCTATTTCACAGCTAACCCAGCTAGTGATAAGAAACTTTTGTAAATAGTATTCACGTAGAAAATATCACGTGATAAGCATCTTGAGTCGTCCCCATGTAGATTTTTAAATCAAGGCATCTCCAGTAAGAATATTCAATAAAAACTCCTACAAGAAGTTTTAGGGATATATAGTGGTACAAATACGAGTATAGGTCAATATTTACTGTGGTCCTTAATCTAGTGCTTTGTCTGGTTTTATGTTCATAATATAGGAAGTGCTATAGCTGTATACTATTTCTTTGAAGCGCTATGAAATTTTTAACAACTAACTTCGTCAAATGTGCTGTTAAATCCTGCGATTCGCTGGTAGAGTCCTTTCCTTTACAATACAGCGAATGCCAGTTGGTACAAGAGGAGCAAGAATATAACCCCGAGTTTATCAGTCATATGCTAGAACGTCTAGAATGGGACGCTGTACTCAAAGTCGCAAACGATTTGGGTCATACCAGTTTGCCTACGTCGAAACCCGAAGGATTGGATCCCATCATGGAGGATGACCAACCTATCTTGAAAGATTTACACAGCCTCTTAGTCGAGACTCAAATAATAGAAGGAAAAATGACTTGTCGCAACTGTGGGCATATATACTACGTTAAAAACTCGATTCCCAACTTTCTCCTTCCTCCACATCTATGTTAGACACTTATTATATACTTATACTCATATTAAATACTTATACTTATACTTATTGTTGAACTAGTATGCTTTATATAGTGTTCTTATTTAAGCTATTATTAAGTTCTTTATAGTTTCTCATTCTCACGTGTTTGTTGCTCTTCGAGACATTTGACAACGATATTGTAAGCTGACTACGTGACTGAAACCGACATTCAACCAAACGAGATAAAGGATTACGTATAAGATCAATTACACGTCAAAAATAAGTAGGTTTCAGAAGTTTACTTAACCAAAGAACTGGGATTTTGAAAGAAATTAGAAATTCGTTTGCGGTCGTTTATCATTTCTTTTGTTGATCTCCTATAAATTCGGAAGACCAAAATAGGGCCCCACTTGATTTCAACAACTGCAGAGCAAGCAAAGATCGCATGTTTCTTAGGGAATATTAGAAATAATCACTAGGCAATAGTATTCTGGTATGGTAAGTGCTTATAGTTCTGTATTCCATATCAATAACAACTCAGCCAATGACTCTACTGATAATTTGAATGAAGTCAATCGCTCTCTGGAAAAAAGTGATATGCTGGAGAAGTTGATGCCACCACCTAAATTTGAACATAGAGACAATGAATTAGGCTACGGAAGCGCTGATGGAACAAAAAATAGTAGAAACAATGGGAATGGGGCTGGGGCTAGCGTTGGTGGTAGAGCACATTCTAGATCGTTGTCCTTTTCGAGATTGTTTTTCAATAATAAAGATTCTGACTCTCATATAGGTGATTCTGTATCAAAGGAAGAAGAGTATCCTGATGAGAATAAAAGACTGCCAGGATTGGCTAAATTGAAGAACTTGTTCAGATTTTCGCCTAGTCCTAGACCTAATTCGTTGGATCTCTCCAACGTCGATGGTTCCACCACTTTACCCACACCATTAAGTGAACCCATCAAAGAAGAGAGTAATACGACTACTCTGAAGAAGCCTTCGCAAGATGATGCAAACAAAAGTGCTACCACCACGCCCAAGCAAGAGCAAAATCCAAAGATGAAATTTCTATTGGGAAGAAAGCGGTCTGTATCTAGTCCTATAAATATTAGATCGAACATGAATACTACCCCAGGCTCCCCTCAAAAAACTCCAAAGTATTCCGGAAGGTCAAACATACCGAAGATTACGGCACAGCAAGTCACAAATGATAGTCCGGTTGTTTCATCCAATTTATATTTTGCTCACCAAGGTTTACCTCCTCATTTCAAAGGTGATCACTTACAAAATAACGTTTCTGCAAATGATGAATTATCAGTTTCCTTGCGTCACAATGATTCGGTTCTTTCTTTTAATGAAAACGCATCGTTGAAGCCTCCAAGAGCATGCTACAGCAAGTTTTCTAGTAGTGATGAATCTATCTCAGAGAACGAAATTATCGAGGAAGAAAATACATACTCCCCCCGTATATCCAAATCTACATCTCCTGGTGATTTTAAGAAAGGGAGCTTGGAGCCACCAAAGGTCGACTTAGAGAGCTCACAGCAAAATCTTATTCGACCACCTCCGTCACCGCTACAGAGGACTATAAGAAGGGTTGCATCTGCTCCGTTGGTCCATATGCTTTTAAATGACTCAGGTACGAAGCTTGGTCTGTCGCAAGTAGCCAGTGTGAGTAATGAACCGCGTGAATTTGACTTAAATGAGCATATTGGTGAATTGAAGATAACAAGTAGACCAAGGACAAATACTCAAGGAAGGATGTACTCTAATGCTTCTACTAAAATATTGGATGCTCAGGTCGATGAAACATGCTTTGATAAAATGAGACTTTTGGGAAAAGGAGATGTTGGTAAGGTATATTTAGTAAAGGAAAAAATTTCGAATAAATTGTACGCAATGAAGGTTTTGAACAAGAAAGAAATGATCGAAAGAAACAAGATAAAGAGAGCATTAGCGGAGCAGGAAATTTTAGCTACAAGCAATCATCCCTTCATTGTGACCTTGTATCATTCATTTCAATCAAATGACTATTTATTTCTTTGCATGGAATATTGTATGGGCGGTGAGTTCTTCAGAGCTCTACAAACTAGAGAGACAAGATCAATTTCAGAAACTGATGCAAAGTTCTATGCAGCTGAGGTGACTGCTGCTTTGGAATATTTGCATATGATGGGATTCATATATAGAGATTTAAAGCCGGAAAATATACTATTGCATCAATCAGGACATATTATGTTGAGCGATTTCGATTTGTCAAAACAGTCTGAAAGTAACAAAAACCCCGAGATTTTTTTCAACAGATCTACACATGGATTAGCAGCAGGCGGTAATGGGCCGACGCTTGATACAAAGGTTTGTATCGATGGTTTCAGAACTAATTCATTCGTTGGGACGGAAGAATATATTGCTCCTGAAGTAATAAGAGGTAAAGGGCATACGAGTGCGGTGGATTGGTGGACATTAGGTATCTTTATATTCGAAATGTTGTATGGAACTACTCCTTTCAAAGGAAAAGATAGGAAAAAAACGTTTGCCAACATTTTGAAGAAGGATTTAAAATTTCCGGACTCTCAACCAGTGACATCCCAATGTAAAAATTTGATTAAGAAATTATTGATAAAGGACGAAGCCAAAAGATTAGGCTCGAAAACAGGAGCTTCAGATATAAAAAACCATGCATTTTTTAAGAATACACAGTGGGCATTATTAAGGCACCAAAAGCCACCGATGATTCCTGTCCTTAAAAAGGCTCAAAAGCAAGAAAGACACGTTGGAACAGAAAGCGATGACCTCCAATCTGCCACTACAACAACTCCCTCGAATGACCAGCCCAAGAAAGTAGATGGTATTGACCCTTTTGCTAGTTTCAGTTCAGTCACGCTACATTACAACGAAGATTCATGTCCATCTAATGATCAGTCTATGATATACAGTGCCGACAACTCTATCTACACCAGTGTTTCTTATACTATGACGAACAATGGTTCTTCAACGCATAAACAAAAGAGCTTTTTAAAAAGATAACCTGCTGCAGAATGTATTTAGATTCTATTCAATAGATGATGTTATTATTGATAATTACATTTAGTTTCGAAATTGATTCTATTGAAAGTCATTTAATGTACTGATCGAAAATATATATGTTGCATGTTTTACCGTAAAAGAATATATAACCCGAATGTTTTGCCTTAATGGATGTGGAGATGTTATTGAACAATTTAAGAAGAATGCATAATGATGTTATCAACACAGAACTAAATCAATGATTGATAATTTAACACCAGAACACTGTGCGGCATTATTTTCATCATATAAGTTGTAGAAGTCACCAGATTTACATTGATAAAATTCAGTTTGATTTCCCAAAGCCAAATAACCATCAGAAGTAATTGACCAGCCAGCAGCATAAATAGATCCTGCTTGAGGCGGTGGACCATCAAATTGGAATTGCCTGTTAGCAACAATTGCACCTATTCTTCCCTTTGAGTCGGTCAAAACAGAGTTGCTCAAGGTCATACTCAAAGAGTTGTCAGTAAGACAAGCGGATGGGATTCCTGAATCATCGTCGGATTCAGCTGCATCAGTTGCTTGAACTTGACCATCACTTATCTGAGAAGCAGCTGTGGCAGTAGCAGCAGCACTTTCTTGGTTTTGTATTTGACCGTCACCAATTTGATTGACAGCTGATGCGGTTTGATGCTGAATTTGACCATCACCAATTTGATTGATGACGGAGGCAGCAGTAGTTTGATGTTGAATTTGACCATCTCCAATCTGGTTAACAACAGAAGCAGCAGTAGTTTGGTGTTGGATTTGGCCATCACCAATTTGGTTGACAACAGAAGCAGACAGAGGAGCCGGAGTCTCCAAGCTTTGAGATTGCTCTTGAATTTGACCATCGCCGATTTGATTAACTGAATCTCTCAATCTGAGAATATCTCTCTTCTGGGCACCACTTGATGCAGAAGCAGTAGTGGAAGCGGAAGAAATAGTCTTAATTTGAATACCAAACTTGTGATCGTAATCAGTTGTTGCACCTGACGGAGCAGATGCTGTTGGTGTCAAAGTTGTCCATGGTTCAGAAGGAATGGTAGCAGAAAGACTTAAACCTAAAAAGGCGGAAGTAGCTAAAACTGTTGAATATTTCATTTTGAACCCGTTTTCTGGTTTATCTTGTGATAATAATTATATTGGTTTGAATCGAATCAAGATTGATGCTTTCTTTTATAGGCAACATCAATGAAGAACAGGTCACCCCTGAGCAGATCAAAGGCTATGATCTGATCAAAACAAATGGCTTGCAACACTAGGTCTTCCCCATAGTTAAGATATATTAATAAACCATTCTATTGCTACGGACCTTAATGTTTACTTAGAAGATGCTAGCATGGCTGGTCCCTTTGCATCCGAAGCGTACCTAAATTTCCTTCTCCGTAGCGACAGCCAGCAGCGTCGGCAGTGATCCCTCAAGTGCTACCAACGTTCTTCATCCGAATAAGCATTCATTGGCTCAAATAATGGCCGTGCTGGTTGCAGCCTAGTGCTGGTTCTGCCGATTGGCCCCGAAGTTGGCTGGCTGCGAAACCTCAAATAAACAGACTGTATATAGGTGCCAACATCGAAGCTGGTGCCAACTTTGAAGTTTTTCGACGAAGAAGGACGGGTAATAGTATAAGCGTACCTGAAATTTGAGAGTTTCAGCGATTCGAAGAATTACGAACACATTGTTTGAAACCTACTTTGGCTAATGAAATTCAACGGCTACCGGTGTTCCTTAAGTGACAATAGAAGTCATCCTGTATGGTTCAACGTGAAATCTCTCAAACGTGCAAACGTGAAAAACATGCAATATTCGAATCTGCAAAAGTGGAGCCTCCTAAAACATCATACCCAACAAACTGGATCAGCTTTTATGCACCGCCCATCTCCTACTCGCGCAATTTTTGCAACAAATATGGATACTACGGCTGATCAGATTAAGCTCCACAGTATCTTTCAAATTGCTGTCGGTATGCGAGGAGAAGTTGTCTGATGCTAGTTGACACAATCATATCTGTCGCGGGGACCAGCTTCATGGTTGACCTGCATTCCATGACAATTAGCTTTTTCTCTCTGATGGTAAGCTTCGCATATGCGGTGCACACAATTTGCATTTCTTCTGCACATTCTGACCGGTTCTGTCTATGGTGCAGTAATATTTTATTCTTTCTGCGATCCAACTGCGGACATTCGTAACCCACTCGTAATTTACTCTCCCCCTCCCTTCAAGGTGCGTTCTCGGTGGTCCAGCCAGTCCAGCTACTATCCTTTGATTTCTTCCTTCCTTCTCAGTTATGTCTTGAATCTACGCCTTAGCTGAATGTGATAATGGCATTTCATTTCATTAAGTACAAGGCGTGGTGTCTTCCTTAAAGACTTCCCGTTTCACCGAGGAATTTCATCGTAACTGAAGTGCGTTATCTTCATCAGCTCAGTTTGTGCCTAAACTCGCTTGTAAATGCCCGAGTTTAGCCCACAGTTTCCTTTTGTTTCGAGGCGTGAATAATAGATCCCACCCGCAACTCGTAAATAATTATTTGGCTTTTCATTGTTTCCGCCTAAATTCTTAAGTGTGCACATTCGTGAACGGTGCTGATACAGTGAATCCAGAAACGGGAATGAAGAATGAATGACGATAAAAAAATTCTGAGCAGTATCTACATTTAACTAATATTATTACCATTACTTTTACTTGTAGGAATAGGAGATCGGTATGATAGAAGTCGTGAGGAAAGAAATAGAGTAAAAATATTAGCGACAGAAGCATAATTTTACAAAACGCAGATAAAGAGATCAAAATAAAACAGATATAAAGGTCGAGGCTTCTAATAGACACATTTAGTAGTGTGACAAGGGAAACAAGCAGAGGCGTTAATCACTCGTATAAATCAAACCAGAAAAGAGGAAGAAAGCAGGTAAGCGGGCTAGAGACTTTATAGAAATCAGGTAGCGATTACCACATCGACGGGCAAGAGTACTTGGACTTGCCGCCAAGATTATCAACGAATTGTCGAGCTGTTGAGTAAGAGTTCATTAACCATATTGATTAATTATGTACTATGTCATTTGACCGTGAAAAAGAAACAGGTGAAGAAAAAGAGCCAGAAATCCAGTACAGCTTGGGTTCTCTGGCTAATTACGGGGCATTACCTGCGGGATCTTTCCGCAGCGTAACACCACAGTATCAACATCAGCAATATCAACTTCAGCCTCAGCAATATCAGTATCAGCATCAACCAGAACAGCAAGCTTTTGCTCCGACATATACAACATTCAAACCACCTTCGAGTTTGGGTGGGGATGCGGTCTCGTCAAGAGCTGAAGATTCGTCGATAGTTAAGCCTCCATCAAACGAACAGTTTTCGTGGAATGTCATAAAGCAGCAACAGGCGCAACAAAAAGAGCCGTTACTGCAGCAACTGCATCAAAACTTACCGTCATCTCATCCTCAGCTGCTTGGTCTTGGAGCCGAACAGCCTTATCAACAACCAAGCATCAATGATCTTACATACTACGCATATAATCCGTCCGTTGGTGGATTACCATTCCACCAACAACCCATGAGTCAGAGTACAAATCAAATTGAACTACAGCAGCAGCAACAGCTGCCACCACTGCAACTTCCACAGCATATGTACAGGGGACCTTTGCCACTGCAGGGACATGCTACGCATCAGCAACCCATTCATCTGCGACAGGTATCGCATTTACTGGAATCTCATCCTTCTGCTACTCCCCAATATCAACAAATGATTCATACGCAACTCTCTCAGTCGTTGTTGTCACATAATGCCCCCGTACAGCGTCCCCCGGTGATGTCTCAGATTTCATCCAGTCAATATCCAATTCCACCATCATACGTCCCAATGTATCCCCATCCATCCCCCCCTGCAACTCTGCATCAGCCTGTGCCATCGGTTGATCAGCGTAGTCAGGATCCGTTCAATTATTTGAATTCGGGTATGACAACAGCGCTTCCTTACGGTGGTACGGATACCAATGTATCTCAGCAGGGAGACTTTGTGGCTGGTTCAAGTATGTCGGGTTTATCGAAATCTGCTCCTTCTTCGTCGTACATAGATCCACTTCAACAGCAAACAAGAACTCGGACAAGGCGACGTACGGCTACTGTATTAGATATGACTCCCGAAACGGCCCAACGAAATAGATGTAGAATTTGCAACAAGCAATTTCGACGACCTTCGTCTTTGAAGACTCATTATTATACTCATACCGGGGAAAAAATTTTCAAATGCCCTTGGAAAGATTGTGGTAAGCTATTTTCAGTCAAATCGAATATGACGAGGCATTATAGATTACACGAAAGGGATCAGAAAATACACCCAGAGCAAGAAGGAGTAGACCAACAGAAAAGATCATAGCTTTATTCAAATAATGTCAATTGCCTTGATGGCTTCATCGGTCTTTCAAAAAATAATTTGTATTATAAGTTTTGATTCATTACCCTCTGTAAAGTGTAGTTCAAGCCAGCTTCTTGCTTTGGTTAAAGACTTGCAATGTAGGATTAATTCGTTCAAGGCGACTTAGAATAAATCTCTCCTGCTTGTTCTGCATCGTTACACCTTTTGGGTAATTTTATAACAGTAGATCCTGTTTGTTGAAGATCCCGCCCTGACAGGTACTGCGTTAGCAAGATTTCCGAATTCATCTTTTCTTAGCAGATTTGCACCTTTTTAAAAGAACCTTACACCCTTTGTTTTTAGTGTCGGGTTGATAGTCTGATTATATAATAAATTGACATAGTGTTTTGTGTAATGTCTTGACTTTTCGCTCACCCAACCAGAGTTCATTGAAATCAACTTATAATACTCCTACAAGAGTTAGTATTAATACTTATAAAACAACATGGCAGCGCATCATGCTTTAAAGTACTTAAGACATGCAGCACCAGTTCATCCCCATGTTGATATGAAATTTAAGTGGGGTTCAAAGATTTTGGGTGCTACGATGTGGTTTTACATATTTTACAGAATAAAGGAAGATGGCCCTGTGATCTTCGGGCAGAAGTTACCATTTGAACACCATTAGATTGGGATATGGTTGAATGGCTTCCTTACGGTATCTTGTTAGTGAATTCTACAACAGAGTCCGTGTATATTATGCATTTGCGAGATAGTATTAAATAGTCATTGACTAATATATAACATTGAGAATAAATATGGGTGGACATTTATATTCTATCCTATTTGTATTAATGCGATGCTCTTGATCTATATTCTGACCTAGAGTTGTACCGACTGCGTCGTCTTCCTCGTCTGTTAGGTTTGACCGATCCTCTTTGGCTACCGCGTATTGGACTTCGTGAATAGCTTCCATAGAACATATCCGAACAATCTTCCTTTTCACGAACATAAAAACTCGTTACATAATCGTGTGCTTCAGTGTCAATTTGCTCTAGAGTTTCACTGAAGAGTTCATTTTGAGTCTTGTAAGATTAAAGTCGACTCTATTCCTATAGTGCTTAATGTTCTCATTCTCGTTATAAAGTTTGAAATTAAAATTGAAACCTTGGCTGTTACAATGATCTAGCTTTAGATGTTTAGTCTCACTTGAAAATCATAAGGTTGAGAACTCTTAAACCCCTCAAAAAATGGTCACATAAGTTAAAATGCCATAAGTTATAGTATGCCTGGAAATAACGGAAACTCATATTTTTAAAAATCTTCTTATTCATATTAGCTTCTTCTTTTCTCTCTTCGTATAACGTTAAGGGAACAATCTTATCCATAGACCCGTCCATGGAGATTGGGATTTTATCAAATATACTCAAAACTAATACTATCAGATCCCTCAAATGTTTATTATTTTCGCTTTGCAAAAGCTTTAACAAATAATTTTTGATCGAGTCCCATATCTCCCCTAACATGATGCGAAGTTTCTCGACTTATAGTTAGAGTGTCCGCTTGATCCCTCTGATCCATCTACGAAACTCATTCCATTCTCCATAACAGGATAATGGAAATGCAAACCTTAGCTTATCGTAATATCAGAATTGATGGAAATTGCTGAATGCTTTAAGAGCGGAGTCTTTACAACGGGATTGTGACATACAAAGACCTTGATAGAAGATTCATTATCATCTTTGGTTGCAGTTGTGTAAAATTCCGCAATTTGCAACAAGGTGATCCACAACTCACCAACTTTTCCACTTACCAAACCGTTGCTCAATTCACCATTATCAAATAAGCTATGAATCTTTACGGTGTCACTAAATCCAAATAATTGAATACCTGGAGAGCCGTGAGGTGTCTCTAACTTATAGCTATGAAGGTGATCAATAATGAATAAATTAGGAATTTTATTTTTCCACTTTGAAGCATATCAACTATCCTAGGATCGTCCAAGGACCCTAATATTGTGTAAGCTGGACAGGTAAATCTCAACTCCCCCAATATAAGCGCTTTCAAGTGACTTATCTCGATATGTTTTAGCCTTTCTTGAAGATTCTTAGCTCATCTCTTAGTTGCATGCTTCTCGTTCCTCCAATAGTGCTAATATCGCTCAATTCATCTATTTAGACTAGTCTCCAAGATATTCAGAAATGCAACTATCTGCTTCAATTAAGACACATCATCATATTGCTCTATAGTATTCGAATCCCAAAATCCAAAATCCCCAGTATGGATAATATACTCAACACATCTCCCTTGCTTAATTTCTTCTTTGTAAAGCTCCGCAAATGACTTCAACCTTGCTTGAATGTCTGAGAGGGCCACTAGACAAACCATATGCTTTGGTATCATCTGCTATGGTTCCTACGCCTTCCATTGGCTTCTAATGACCTCTGTGTCAAAAATTGAATTATACTTCCTAAAAGAGTGTTAATTAATTTATTTGATTAGGACATAAATATACGCGATAATATATTCCACCATTTATCACACTTATTCTAAGTGAAATAGAACTACACTAAGTAGCAGTATGTTGGAGCCCCTGGTTCGACTTCGGAATGCTGTGATTGAGGGAAACTTACCTATCACGAAGCGGTTGTTGTCCAGATTTCCCGAGCTTTGGTTAAATGTTGATCCAACTCACGATGGGTGGTGTAATTTACACTATGCTTCTTTCTACGGAAATTATTTGGTGTGTTTTCATTTGATTACTTTCATAAATAACCACTTGAAGTCATTGAGAGAAAGCTTCTCTCATCTTGATCTTTTAACATTTGATCAATTCACAGTTTTGCATTTGACTTGCATTCATCATCATTCTCAAACATTGCATTATCTACTACAAGAATTTCCGGGAGCGATATGGTTAAACTTTCAAGGCGGTCCCTTGAAGCAGACTCCTTTGCATTATAGCTGTGTTCATGGATTCAAAGAGGGTGTGACGTTGTTGCTAGAGTTTGGTGCCGACTGGACCATGTCTGATGGCGATGGGAACACATGCTTACACTACTGCTTCCAATATGGGAACTACGAATGCATGAGAGCCATCTTGAAGTTCATACTTATGAAATTTACGGATAAAGAAAAAGCGATTTCCGAAATTGATAAATTGGAGGGTGTTAAAAACAGTCATGGGTGGTTAGCAGCTGATTACTCTTTGTCATTCGATCTAGTGACAAAATACAAGTCATTAAAAGAAGTCCTCATCGCGTCCGACTATGGCGTTCGTGGCTCCTCAACAATTGCCGAGTTAGAGTCAGCCAATCTCCCTGCATTGGAACCCATTGAATCTTTGAGTTCCCAGTCTTCCGAGAACAAAGTCTTGTCTAGTCCCATCGTGCCAATGTCACATTCTCAAGCTCGACTGCAAACTCACGCACGAACTCATTCAACTAAAAGTGATACTAAGACGTCGGATGAGGAGGCTCAAAGTAATGGAAGAGCGCATTCGAGATCATTACCAACTATAAACTCATCACCTTCTAAAAATAGACCAATAACGGTTAGACAGAGATCAAACACTGCATTTAATAGAGCTCAAGATACTCTTACAAATACTACAAGGACGCAACCAGTACAGCAATCTCCACAAACACCCACATTTCCATTGCACAAGACTCCTTCTTTAAAGTCTGTCACAATTTCTCCGTCCGTGAGGTTGCACTCTGCGTCTGATTCTTCTCCTAATTCAAATTCCTCCATCCCAACAGCAAATGATATCTCAGCAACAGGTGCAAACAAAATAACTCAGGCATCATCAGTCACACCGCAAGCATCCATCAACGAAAGATGGCCTGATGTGAATTCCAGCCCCAGCAATGTCATCCGTCAGACCATAATAGTACCAGATGCAAAAGCGACTCCTGAAAGCTCGGACATGTCAGTGGGATCTCAATCTAATACGTTTACATCTTCCCCTAGTCCAGTGAGGAAACGACCTCCAGAAAGGACCTTATCGAGAAATGCTTCTACAAATTCAGAATCTTCTCTATCCAGACTATCCTTCCAAAGCAGCAAAGTATCTATTTCTGAAAGTCCTAGGCGTCCCTCACTTTCATCTGCGTCATCCTATGAACGCAGACCTGAATTCAGACGATTTTCGTCACTGTATCTGAATCTAGGTCCAACTATATCGCCAGTCAAATCTTCATCAACATCGACGTTGGAGAGCTTATCTGAAGGTAGTCCTGGAAGCTCAAAAAAGTCAACGGTCAGTAGCATCAGCTTTAACAGAGTGCGTTAATATGAGGCGCGTATATAAAATGTAAATCAGACTATATCAATGAAATATAATATAAGCTATATATGACGAATAAGAAAACGGTTCAGCATTCTATTAGTCGGTTCTTCAAAGCTTCCCAAGATCAGGAGCCTGAGCCGTTAGATCTGTCTCATGGTGCAAAATCTGCCGTAGAAAAGCTCACTCATTACTCTAATAAGAAGAAGAGCACCAACCATACTTTCGTACCAAAGATAAAGGCATCGGACCACACTTCAAACCACAATGAAGAGTCAACTGATACTGTTGCAGGGAAAGGAGTGACAGAAATAAAATCAAATAAAAGACCAAACACGGCATCTGACCACCATGGCAACGTATATACAAAGACGAGGAAGAGAACGAAATTGACACCGCTTGAAACGCAAGTAGCTGAGTTCAAGGAATTGCATAAAGATAAGCTCTTGATATTTCAGGTTGGCTACAAATATAAGTTATTTGGAGAAGATGCTAAGGTAGGTTCAAAGATATTGAATATATCCTATATTCTTGATGAGAATGATTCCAAATTCTCCTACTGCTCTTTCCCTGTTTTCAAATTGCATATTAACCTTAAGAGGCTACTAGTACATGGCTTCAAGATTGGGGTTATCAAGCAAGCTGAGACGGCAATCGTGAAGTCAACTGATAAGTCATCAAGTCCTGACTTAATGAAAAGAAAACTAACTGGTGTATACACCAAGGGAACATATATGAATGACGAAGTCGAATCTGAAGGTCAGCATTCCATTAATCTAGAGGAGAATCAGGACTACATTGTGTGTATCAACGAATCAAACGAAAATGAGTTTTCGATGGTTGCTGTCAACCCGCTAACTGGTGATGTTATATACGATTCGTTTAAAGATGCTCTTGGGGAGAGTGAGCTCGAGAGAAGATTATCATATATGACACCAAGTGAAGTTCTTATATTATGTGAGGAAAATGAAAGGATTAAAGAGATCAAAAGAATTATCACAATGGTGAGTAATGAAGCTTCGATTATATGTCGATCGCCAAAAGACTATGCGGTCTCGAGCAGCCAGCTTAGGGAATATTTCAAAGAAATCAACAATGGGGAAAGTTCTCACTTGATCGACTACTATACTGTCAATTATTCCAGACCTGTTCAGGCTTGCATCAATGAACTTATCTTATATTTATCTGAATTCAAATTAAGTGCAATTTTCAATATCCCATCTAATATATCCAGTTTTTCAGATTCAAAGAGACACATGTTACTTTCGAGTGATGCCATCCGAGCTTTGGAGATCTTCCAAAATTATACGTATACTAATTGCAATAAAGGCTCGTTATTATGGCTTTTAGACCATACCAGGACTCGGTTCGGTACTAGATTACTAAGAAAGTGGATATCGAGGCCCTTGATTAACAAAATTGAAATAGAAGAACGGTATCAGGCAATCGATGACTTGCGGTCGGGTTTCAATCACGCTGTCGATTCATTAAAAATCCAGTTAGATAAAATAGGAAAAAACTTAGATCTAGAAGAGATGCTAATGAAAGTTCATCTCTCATCTAGCTATAAGACTGGCAAAATTAGCAGAAATAGTGTCTACTCAATGTTAGAATGCTTCGCAAACGTTTTGAAAACTATCCAGACATTCCATTCTCGTCTAATGAGCTTAGAAAATACGATAACTTCACCTTTACTATTAAAAGTCTTCGAAGGTTTAAGGACAGCATCTAGGTCAAATGTTGTGTTTCATCTACAAAAAATGATAAATCCATCATTTCAACTAAGTAACTATAAGGATATAAACGAGCAAAAGATGCATTTTTTCAACCAGGATTATTACAATTGGGAAGATATAGCCATCCAAAAGGAAATGATTTCTAAATATGAAGCTTTGCTTCAAGATGAGCTAAAAGAGATCCAAAAGTACTTAAAAAGACCTCAGTTGAAGTTTGTGACAAACAAGAATGAAGCTTATTTGGTTGAAATCAGAAACACACAAGTAGATACTTTACCCAAGGGCTGGCAGAAAGTGAGTGGAACCACCACTGTGTCTCGATTTCGGACTCCTGAGGTAATTCGACTTTACAAACTGCTTCAATATCATAATGAAATGTTGCTCTGTAAATGCGACGAAGCATATTGGAATTACTTGAACCAAATCAATAATAATTATCAATTTTTTCAAAATATCATCAAAGAGCTAGCCATATTAGATTGTCTATTCTCATTCAAGGCTGCAAGCGAGTTGGGCTCTAATGTGCGGCCCCATCTAGTTGACGAGCAAATTATCAATGTCACAAACAGCCGGAATCCCATAATTGAGAATCTATCTCATGGCAGAAACTATGTGTCCAATAATATCAACATGGCCTACGATGAGAGGAGGGTTCTTATTATTACGGGCCCCAATATGGGAGGTAAGTCGTCTTATGTTAAACAGATCGCTTTACTTGTAATCATGGCTCAAATTGGATGTTTTATTCCATGTGAATCGGCAACAATGGGCATATTCGATTCTATTTTCATTAGAATGGGAGCATCTGATAATATATTGAAGAAAGAATCGACATTTATGACTGAGATGTTAGAATGTTCCAATATTGTTAAAAATGTAACTAAGAAATCCTTAATTATCTTGGATGAAATTGGCAGAGGTACCGGTACCAGCGATGGGATTGCACTAGCTTACTCGATCTTGAAATTCTTCATAGACCACTCTCTCAAGCCACTCATCTTGTTCATTACACATTATCCATCCTTACATACATTAGAAGATGAGTATGGAGGAATTGTTAAAAATTATCATATGGGATACATCGAAAGGTCCAAATCAAATCAAAAGTATCCAGACATTTTGTTTCTTTACACTGTCGTTCAGGGAGTTGTGAGCAGTCTGTACGGTTTGAATGTCGCTCGTTTAGCTGGCTTGCCTGACTCCGTCATTTCAAATGCTTTTCAAGTTAGCGAAGAAGCCAAATCTAAAACAGAGTTAGAATTCGACGAGAGATTAAGTGTGAACTTCATTAAAATCTTAAAAGATTTGCAGAATGAGCGTCCAGTACAATTGGATATACTTCAAAGTTTATTAGGATTTATATAGCCCTTAAAAAACATATAATTATATCTCTAAGATTTATCTAAGCCAAAAAACTTCAAGCAGGCTTCATTAAAAGCAGGCGGATTATCTAGATATATATGATGCCCAGCATTCTCTATTACTTCAAATTCAGATAAGTTTTTATTTTTTTTAGCTATTTCTTCATGAATATGACGACCGCCTTTGTCGTTCATCCAATCTTTGTCGCCATAGAGCCAGAGAACTTTGAGATTGGAGGAAATCACAAAATGAACAAATCCTCGATCACTTAAAGGCAACCTCGCTAAAATTTCATGGTTGATCAATTTGGTAATTGCTAACTCGCCTGATCCTTGAAATTGGTTGAAGATAGAAAAAGAATAATCATGCAACTTCAAGATTAAATCTATAGATTGCTCGCCTGTCTCTGATTTGAGGTTCCTGAATCTTTGAAAGGACCAATAGGAAAGGATTTTGGAGTATAGCGGCCCGAATTTTTGAAGAACTTGAAATGGTGAAATACTATGTTCCCACAAAGTTTTTAGTATAAAATTCTTAGGGAATCTAGGTTGCCCTAATTTCTCCCATAATTTAATTAGTTCATCGTGCTCAATACTATCACCTTGCTTCGTAATTAGTTCCTTAAACGGATCTCCTCCACTCTCATGAGTAGTAAATTCGTAATTCTTTTCATTAAGTAAACTATGGGGATTCGATTCTGTTCCCATTGGACTAACAAGTATGACTTCCTCAACAATCGGGGATTGGCTCTCATCGACTTTCTTATACTGGTTGTTATATTTCATCAAATAGCAGCAGGATAAGTACGCTCCCATTGAATGGCCTATCAATTTGAAAGTTCTTATGTTTCTTTTCTTTCTCCAATTTTCTATCTTGTCAATAAACCAGTTTTCAATCGCAATTATTTGATCTATTTCTTCCTCCTTATTCTTAGTTGTTTTCAAAAATTCGGGTGGGAATTTGGGTCTTGAGGAGTTTCCGAAACCAATTAAGTCTATCGCGTGTATTCTTACTCCTGGTCTCGATTTCAACAAGGATTCCACGTTCTTAATATAATAGCCTAGTGCAGCCATGTACCCGTGAATCATAACTATATGTATTTCGTCTGATTCTGGAACGCATTCTAAGTTATTCTCAAGATAAAATTCGTGAATAAATACACCAGGTTCCACTTCAACGTCCTTTAACTCACTGTAAAGTTTGCCCTCCTTTAAATCAGATGTATCTGTCTCATTTTCGATATCAGGGTTCTTTATAAAAATATCATCCGAAAGCATTGCACGGAACAAATCATATTCTATTCGCCTATTCTTTCTCCTGGAAGCTTCAATATTCAGTATGCTACTTCCAAATAGACTATACAGCCCGTTCCACCAATCCTGAATTGACGCCTTCAAAGATATTGATGACTCTTTAGTGGCTGGCTCTCCTGAATCCTCCGTTACTAGAACACCATCTAAGTCCTCTTTGTTAGGATCCCCCATCACGTTAATTGAATCTTTTAGAAGGGATGTCATAGTCCTCTGGCTTGTTTAATGATAAATATTACGAAGGAAGGAATTTTTTATAAAGATCCTTATCTATATACGGCCATATCGAGAAACGACCTTAATATAGATTATAGAGAGATTTTACATAATACTGATTAACTACGTAAGACAAGACTACGTAACTCAAGGTGAAAAGTGACCTAATTTGTTCATATGCTTTTTCTATTAAGTCTAAAGATCTATTTTAAAAGTTATCCCAAGCAAAAGACGGGTTTTTCACATTAAAAACCACATTAAAGGAGACATATTCCATTAGTCACACATTAGAAACAAAATAACGTAAAAAAAAGGTACATTAATCTCATCGATACGCAATATCAAGACGCCTAAAGCGGTCTCCATAGCTGAAAATCCTACTTTCTATCGATTTCAGTATATGCCGGTGGTGCTGCGATTGGTTTAGAAGAAGAACCTTCTTCCACGTCGTTAATGGAGCCATATGTCATAGCAGGAGCAGATGTAGCAGAAACTTGGTCGCTTATTACTCTTTGGCTGTCATTATCACTCTGGTGGTGATGGTGGTGATGGTGGCAATGTCTTGGTGTCTGGCTCTCTAAGTCTCCAGAATAAACGTAATAAACCTTTGATTCTAACGAATAAGGCGGGTACTTAGCAATTATATACCATGAATGAATTAAACCTGGAAAGTATCCTAAAAAGCATAACAAAATGTTAATTAACGAATCACACGAGCAGAGACCCCGTCTGATCCAAACTGGTAAAGGAGGAAACAACACGGAGATCACCACAAGAATAATGTCACTAAGACAACCACAACAGCCCATATTTGATGTATGTATTACTTCGCTGATTCTTAATATAAAGGCTTTGTTCAATAAATAAAAGTTTATTCACACCTGATGATACTTGAATGTAATCCAATTGAAACTGAAATTACTCGTCAGTCGGCAATCTCTAATGATTATTATTGCTTTCAAGTATTTGATATTACTTTTTAAGCTTGAACTCTATAATATATAATTCTAGTTTACTAAATCTTCAGCAGGAACGAAGGAGTAATGAGATTTTTTATATTTAATTTCTGTTCTTTTACGGTCATTAAAATGATTTCTTTTTCCTCAGAAACCGGTGAGCCGATCGAGCAGAATAAATGAGTGCGCAAAGATGCCATACACACTTAGGCTGCACGACAGATCGAGCAAAAAATCTTCGGAAATATTCCGTTCTAGGTAGCTTAAAGCTAGGGGCGAGCCGTACCACAAATATTTATGGCTGCCGCGGAAACGAGCTATCTGCTGAGCTTTGTTAATTTTTTAACTCTGATTTGCGGTCAGACAATAATTAAGACAATAAATATTTTAGTCTGTAAAGTCGTGACATTATTAAAGCGTCTTTTTCCGCGGTGATCCAGTGTTGCAGCCAGAGATTCAATCTAATACAAAAGTGGATGTCGTGACTACGCTAGGAATTCTTTGTTACTTTGAAGATGTTATTCAGCCTTTTGTTTCATCCGCAAGTGACATTCTAACAGAAAATTTGAAAGACATTCCAAAAAGGACTAGTATATATACATGAAGTAATTAATATATAATATGCAGTATAATATTTTCTGGCTATAACTTTGCCATCAATCACTGGAGAGAGTAGTCACCCCAATAGAATCATGTCAACTTTAGCGCTAAACATTACCTATAAGGGTATTACGAAAAAAGTGGTGAGCTCTAAAAGCTCAACTGTCAATCAAGTTGTTCTGGCATCGCTTATCAAATTCAAGGTTAATGACGCCGAGTATGAGGGTGAATTGATCCATGGTGGAAAGAAGTTAGATGGTTCGCTTGCTTTGAGACTTACTCCATTGAGTAATAATGCAAAGGTTACCTTGAACTTAAAACAAATTCCCACAGATAGCATTGTCAGCATAAAGATGTTGGCTACTTTGCCCTCTTCCAACGAATCAATAACGCTTGTCGTGAAACTAAATCCCAATATCGCCCTCAACGAGTTAATTGATTTGTTTGAAACCAATCATGGCACAAAGCTAAGGGGGTTTGATCAATATAATGCTCAATTGACTGTTTTAGGGACTAGGATTGAGGAAGCAGATTTCAAAAATGTGAAACTCCGGTCAATTATTGGCAATGTTTCCAATACAGTCGTTCGATTGAGTTACTTCAATGCTGACAGTTCAGAAAAAGAAAAGGAGCAAAAGAATATAGTGGATACTCAATTGAAAGAGCAGCAAATTAGGTTGCAAAATCAAAGAAAAGAAAAAGAGAATAGCATGGAACAACCCCTTGTGGGCGTGGATGATAAGAAAGTCTTAACACTGACACAAGATATAGAACCCGCTGATCAAACAATTGATATACCAAAGGAAGAATTGAATAAAGAAGATACTACACTGACGACCACTCAAGAGTTAAGTGATGATTTAGAGTCAAGTGACAATGGAAGCAGGGATAACTCTTTTCAAATTAACAACGCACCCGAGTCGCTTTCTCCTCAATTATTTATGCCATCTGAGACTGAATCACAGAGGTATGAAAATCCAGAAGTTGATTATGACATGACAATAAACCAGGCTCAGTTATATCAGAAATTGATCAGAAAATCTGCAAGTGCCTCTAGAAGTCAAGCTCAAAGAGCTGTTCCTAAAAAATTTTTGATAAGAGTAAGATTTCCTGACAGATCAATTTTACAATTAAATTTTCCAGATTCAGGAACTACAAAGTTAGGTCATTTAATCAAAAAAATTGATGAGTCCATATTACCTTCATTCATAAACTCTTATAATTTAAAGTTCAGCTATCCCCCTTTCAAGAAATTGACCTTTTCCTACACAGAGAACCAAAGAAAACTAATACGCATGCCAGAGTTTCAAAATGAACGGCTAATGCTAATATGGGAAACAGAAATGCCAAGCAAGGGACCATACCTTGTTGAAGATCTTGTTAACACAGCTAAGCACTCTTCAGATCTACCTGAAGTAGTCTTGGAATCCCATAGAGGTGATTTACCAGAGGATAAACATTCCAGCTCTGTTCATAATACTCAAAGTCTGGTTAGTCATAATTCAAGCAAATCCCAAAAAACAAAAGGAGTTCCAAAGTGGTTCAAACTAAAGTAAGAGAGTGTATGTATAATACTGCATTGATGTAATTGATTTCCTATTAAGAGTATTTAGTAAATCGTATTCATTTTAATATTCTAATCCATTTTCAAAAAAGGCTTCGACAGCATTACCGAATCTAGTACCTGCTTCCTTCAACTCTTCGTCGGTAGATAATGAAGCGAAAGTTATCCTGATAAAATTAGAATGTTTTTCACTAAATAGTGGATCAACCGCCATTCTCTCTCCCAAAACCACCTGGACACCAAACTGCAAAAATTTGTAGTCTAAAAGAACCATTTTATCGGCCACACTCACTCCAGGAGGGAGATTTATTGCAACGGAAGCAAACATACCAGCTTCGCAACTTTTAACGGTTAGGTAGTTTTTCTTCTTAGCTTCTGATTTATTTAAAGTAGCAATTAGGACATTCCTTCTGTGACCATAAGCCAATCTCATTTTCAAAATCCACCCTAAATAACCGTGAATACCTCCAAACTTTTTAACGATAACGTTAAGAAGTATTGACTGCGAAGCGCCAGATGGAGCTCTTGTGCTTAAGCTAGAGTATAAGTCTAACGCCGCAATAAGACGCTGATGGGCAACAATAAAACCTAGTCTCAAACCTGGGGCAAAAACTTTGGAGAAGGATTCGACTCTAATCACCCTACCATGAGTGTCAAACTTTAAATAGGATGGCGTCAATGTGTGGCTCAAGTACTCTTCTACAGTTATACTATCGTCCTTTATATTTTCAACAGACGGATCTTTTAAAGGAGGCAAGGTTAAATAATGATAAGGATCGTCTTCAACAATCAAGAAATCATGAATGATAGATAACTCATAAATTTTTTGCCTAGTTTCCACCGATTGGGTAGACCCTACCGGGTTCTGAGCAGTCGGAATGGTGTAAAAAGCTTTAGGCTTTCTCCCTTTGAATTCTGGTTTCAATTCATCCCAATTCTCTAGTAATTCAGTGAGATATTCAACATCGATATCTGGTTTTGGTTTATCTAAATCAAACTTGACGGGAACAGGAATGCCACCTACATTCTTTACCGTCGAACATATTGGAGTAAATGTGAACTCTTCCATCAAAACTGTATCACCAGGATTAATGATTGTTTCCATGACTTTATTCAATCCCTCTGAGGAGCCGTTTGTAGATAAAACTGACCAGTTTTTATAGCCAGGGTCATGAACAATCTGCACAAAGTCTTTCAAAAATTCCTTGAACTTACTTGCCCCAGCTACTTCGCCATATTGTAATGCCACTGAGAGACCCAATAATTCTTCTTCATCCTTCGTGATCACAATGGAGCCTCCTTTCTCTTCTTCATTAGCAAATAAGGTGTCCTGGAAAGGATATTCATCCACATCAATAGTAATTCGTCTGATTGGGAAGAAAGCTGGATCTGGAACACCATAACTCAATGCCAACGGCTGCAGATGAGCCTTAAAACCCTTGGGTTCGTTTATCGAACCAGCGGACCTAAAAGATGGTATATTCTTTGTGGTTGCTTTCTTAGATAAAAAGCCTTCGACGTTAAATTCTTTGGTAGAAGTTGGAGACATGATTGATTCACAACAATATCCAAGAAACAGAAGTAAGACTTATTAATGTGATATATAGCTTCCCCATCGTGTTAGTGCCGTATCAGTAATATTGTCGCCACACAAGGATTGATTGAGATAACAATATAGACTACGGCTTCAACTTTCCCGATTCGTATCCCCAATTAGGTAAGTGCCGATAATTTTGGAGCCAGAATCAGAGAGAGACAGAGGAAGAGAAGAGAAGAGAAACGGAAGAAGAAAGGCAGCAGACAAAGAGTGATGCTATTGGATACTATGGCTCTTATGTCGCCTTTTTCAACATCCAAAAGTACCTGCTTTTCAAATTTTGGAGTTAATTGAAAGAAAACGGTAAAGATTACTAATTGCCTTTTTGCTTTGTATCTGTGATTGTGGCTTGTGAAGTGATGCAAATTTATGAGTCAGGATTAGGTATTCATCTAGAAAAACAGCTTTTGTGTATTGATATCTAAAATAGAAACTGCCAAAAATAAATGGTTCACAACATCCAGTTAGCGATCGATCTGAAGTACCAAGAGATATCATCTTTTCTGCTTCTTTGGAGAAGATCCGTTTAGGTTTTCGAAGTTGTCTGGAGTAGCAGGTTTTTCAGATGCTTGAATCTTAGGAGTAGATATTTCTTCGTGGAAATCTTTTATGATAGAGTCAACATCATCTATGGTGAGTTGTCGAACATCTCCTAATTTCTTGATCTTATTGGTGATATCCTTGCATTGTTCGTCTGTGAAGTGCAAATTCAATTGATCTACTCTGGATTTGATTGCATTCCAGCCAGTCAACCTGTTAGCAAAGTGTATATATCTAGTCAATCCAAAATCTGAAGGTTTTAAAATTTCATAAGTCGAAGGATTTGCCAAGATAGCTTTAGCATGAATACCAGCCTTATGGGTAAATGCGCAAAAGCCAGTAATCGGGTTGTTGAAAGGAATGTTTACTTGTACGGCTTCAGCAACTAAATTCTCCAAATCTCTTATTTTATGAAGCTTATATTTTGATAAGACGTAATCGCGATCAGCAGCTATCATACGTGCCATCAAGCCTCCTAGTGGTGTAATCCCATTACGTTCTCCGATACCCAATACAGAAACGTCGATTAAGCGAGCACCGCCTTCTAAAGCAGTATAAGCGTTTGCAATTGCACAACCGGTGTCATTGTGAAAGTGACATTCAATGTCACAGTTCACAACTGATTTCAAAGTTCTTACGAGCTCATAAACCTGTCTTGGGTTAGCTCCTCCCACAGTATCTGCAATACCAACTCTGTTGACGCCAATCTTATCAACAGTTCTGTAAATGTTCAAAAGGTCAACTAGATCCGACCTGAAAGAATCTTCCGAAGAGAACCTAATTTCTATCCCCTTCGATTTGACGTACTCAATCACTTCAATCGCTGATTGGGCAATATAACTCATGTCTTTGCCATGAGAATACTGTCTTAAAAACAGAGACGTTCCGATGACTACGTCCACTCCATCAACACCAGTTTCTACAGCGACCTTCGCATCATCCATATGACATCTGATATGAGTCAAGATCTTAGACTTCAAACCTAATTTACAAATTGCCTCGCAATCCCTTCTGCTCTGTTCAGATGCAACTGGAGAGGTCAATTCAATATAATCGGCGCCAAAATCGTCAAGTGCCTTTGCGATTTCGATTTTTTTCTCAGTACTGAAGAATGCATTGGCAAATTGCTCTCCTTCCCTCAAAGTGCTTTCAATGATTTGAAAATTGGATACATTCGATAAAAAATCCCCAGGATTAGGCCCATATGGGTTTGAGTTTATTAGCTCGTTTGATTTATGTACATCTTCACTAACTTTTTTAAATCCCTCAGGTTCTGACATTCTTAAAACCCTTTCTATTAATCAAACTCGAATTAAGTTCTATCCAACGAAATTGAATGTTTATATTCTCAATTCAACCTTTTATGTGCTGAAGAGCCAAAGGTAGCAAAAAAAAGAACTCATCGACAATATAACTTTACAGGCAGATAAGAATAATTTCATTCGCAAGTTTACTATAAATCTTACGTAATTTGATAAAGGTGTGATGATAATGGCGTACAATTCCTAAATATCCATATTCATTATTCCGAGACCTCTACTGTACTGCTCAGAACCTGAGTAGTTGTACCTAAAGCCCAGGTAGTTAGGAGAAGGCAGGCTCGTAATATGGGGAGTATCAAAGTTATTGAACCTGAAGCCATGATAATTACGTCTTTGATTATCATCAGTTATATTAGTATTTTCGAGAAGAGACAAATACAAAGCATATTGTATCTCTTGCTCTTCTGTTTCAAATGGTATGCTAGTACCATTTTGTAAATTATATAAGCGTTGATTACCCAGATGTTGATTAATTCTCGTATCTCTTCTGATAGGCTCTGGTATTAGGTCGGGTATAATTGTATCAAATTCTTTGTCGTCAACGTGATGGATCTTCCAGAGATCTACTTCACTTGGAAGCATATTATATTTTTTAAAATTTGCTATTGAGTTCTTTAAAACTTTATCATTCTTCACAAGTGTCTTATTAACTCTTAATACAGGTGCAAATCTTGGGTCAAAAGATATTAAGTCCAAATATTTATGAAGAGTGGGACGATATGGAGGAATTTCATCATCGAAGAAACCATATTCATCAAGTGGTGGTTCCTCTGTGCTATTCGGACTTGGCTCTCCGATATCCCGATGTGAATCCATGCTATCATCTCTAAACTGTAAGATTGAAGGAGTAGTAACTGAGCTAGAAGTGCCACTAGTGCCCTCATCAGATGAGGCTAGGTAGATATACCTTGAGGGACTTATTATTCGTGGAGTACTGTAAATCCTTCCTACAGGGGATATTGAGTTCAGCCTATTTGTAGGAGCTCTGCTTTCAATCTGACTATTAATCTGATCGGAGCTAGATAGTCCTCGCCCTGAAACACTTTCCGAAGGTTGTTTTCCAATTTTCTTCTTTCTATTGAAAATATGCCCCATAATGTTAATCTTTGAATCTATATGTCTATCTTTATGTTCAATGGAGCCCTCTAGTGATTGAAAATCTAAGGATATGAAATATCCCAAAAATTTCCAAATCTCGCAGTTCTATATAATTTCCTATTTTGTCCTTTCCTTTCACTCCGAGCCAACAAAAAGGAATGAAGTATTACGACGTGAACGGCACTTGTTGAGATGGCTTGGGGTAAGAGCAACTACAGAGAACCCCATCACATAGCTAATAGGGTATTTTACTGTTTGTGAGCCTAGTCGGAATATAGATGTGTCACAAGTGTGCTTTGAGAATATGAATAGATGAAGACAAGTTATATAAGGAAAACTCTACATTGAGATATAACATACCAATGTCATATATTAATTCATAAATACTGGCACATTGTTAATATTGACTTATACACCGTAAAAACTATTCGGCTACGCTTTGCCACTTAAATTCAATTCTTCTTAAGTCCGTCAATTTGGTCTTCCAATTTGGAAATAGTTTCCTTCTGTTTCTCTAACTTTTCTTTCAATGCCTTCAATTGTTCCTGCTCGTGCTTCCTGATATAGACGGTTTCTTGAGCTCTTTCCTTGTCACTAAAGGAGTCGTTTGCTTGGTTAATAGAACCCTCCGTGGCAACTACTCTGGTCATAGAGAAGGATCTAACGGAAGATCTTAACGTTTGCTTAGTCAATTGGGACAACATTTTAATTGATTATTCTTTAAACCTGTTAATAACTTAATTGCTGTTGTTGAGACTCTTTGCTCTTAAAGATTTTTTTTAACTGGGGGTATCCCCTACCAAAATTTTATGTGCCTTCTATTGGATATGTACATATGCAGGATTTATTAGCCTAAGCTACCTCTGATGGTTTCTTTGACAAGTACAAATGAGCTTACGTTTTAATCTATAAGAATGACATTAATTTAGCCCAAAGGCTATTTTATTTACAGTAAAATTTTTCTGAGCCCGCAATTTAGGTACTAAAGCTACATATTTCTCTGAGGGAGATACCTTGAATACTTGTGTACAGAAGCCAAGAGGCCACAGCTTCTTGCTCTCTTGATAGCAATGCCTAGTTTCTTTTGGTTCTTTGCGTTGCAGCCTGTTACTTCTCTTGGAAGTATCTGACCCGTGGAAGTTAAGAATCCGGACAATATCTCTGGCATTGTATATAAATCTAATGGATCTATTCCTGCTCTATCAAACTTGTCTATTCTGTTTGCAGAGTTTGCTCTTGTTCTTGCCTCTCTTCTCTCTATGTCTAATTTGTCGCTCGACAAATCAAATGGATCATACGTATCTCCAAGAGAAAACTTCCTGGTATATTGTGAGTCAATATTTATAGGTGGCTGTGTGTTTTCTTGTAACGATCTCGCAATCCCGACTACCTTACTTGTTATTGACGACTTTGAGTTAGCCGTAGCATTCTCTGAACGCTCGTTTGACCATGGTTCGTTACTTTTCATTTCAGGTGATGATGGAAGACCTTTTCGCAAAACACTTCTGGTATGGATGTAGCGGGATCCGGACAGCTGTACCCTTTTCATGCAATTATTTATATTAATCCTATTGCAAAGCATCATACCTATTCACGCAAATAATATTAAATAAGTGTCTCTCTATTTTTTCTATGTATGTAGTTTTAGAACGGATTTTCCTTCGCTTTTTCAATCTGATGGACACGGTGGTTTTGTGTAATTGTTGTGTCCCATGGACCTTCGGCCATTTAAATTTTGATGATGAAGACTTTTCTGAAAGTTCTCAGAACAACCGTAACAGTGGGCAAAATAACGGTTATTAGGCGTAGTAAAGATATACGCATATTACATATTCCGTAAAAGAACTTCGATCTATCGAATAGGGGTGTGTTGGGAAAGTGCTACTTATAATTTCGAGGAAGACAGCTGTGTTTTTGAATAGCAGCGCAATACTAATAATAATACTATCCATCATAATAGATCTTTGAAAGGTTGAAGGACTTTTTAATTAAGTTTTAAATTTCTTTTCAGCAAAAATCCTGATATAAATAAAATACGATATGGGTGAAAGGGGCCCAGAGCAGTGGCTAGAGCAAATCAAAAAATGTGTTGCTTTGTCGGAACCAGACATGAAGCAGTTGTGTGAACTAGTTAAGGAACTTCTTATGGAGGAGTCTAATATTCAACCTGTTCAATCACCTGTTACTGTGTGCGGTGATATTCACGGTCAGTTCCACGATTTATTAGAATTGTTCAGAGTTGCAGGTGGTTTGCCATCTAAAGATAATAATACCAGCTATGTCTTTTTAGGTGATTATGTCGATAGAGGTTACTTTTCGCTAGAAACATTCACTCTTTTGATGGTGCTTAAAGTGATGTTTCCCCATAGAATTACTTTAGTAAGAGGAAATCATGAGTCTAGGCAAATTACCCAGGTTTACGGGTTCTACGAAGAGTGTTTAACCAAATATGGCTCTACTACTGTCTGGAAGTATTGTTGTCAAGTTTTTGACTTTTTGACCTTAGCTGCTATCATAGATGGGAAGATTTTGTGTGTGCATGGGGGTTTGTCGCCAGAGATAAGAATGCTAGACCAAATCAGAGTCTTGAGTAGAGCTCAGGAGGTGCCTCATGAAGGAGGTTTCTGTGATTTGGTTTGGTCTGATCCCGACAATGTTGATACTTGGGCTGTTTCTCCGAGAGGTGCCGGATGGTTGTTTGGTGCTAAAGTAAGCAGAGAGTTCAATCATATAAATAACTTAGGTTTAATCGCTAGAGCACATCAGTTGGTAATGGAAGGTTTTCGATATCATTTCAAGGAAAAGGATGTTGTAACTGTGTGGTCGGCACCCAACTATTGCTATAGATGCGGAAATGTTGCCAGTGTGATGCATATGGATGATGACTTGGAACCAAATTTTAAGATATTTAGTGCGGTTCAAGATGGTGACTTGACTGTTAAAAGTAATCCTAATAAGCAACAAAGAAGCGACTACTTTTTGTAAACATGCATCATGAGATAGCATGGCTTTTTACAATGATTTTAAAGTAGAAAATGACAGGTTTCTTTTTTTTTTTTTACTATAATGTGAAGTCTCTTCGCATGGACGAATATGAACGCATGATGACTTATTGCATTAATGATGAAATTCATTTAACGAGGAAAAGAATCTTTCAATAAAAGTCGACATTATAGATACTCCCAGTTTTATTTATTGTTTTTTTGTTGGTCGATTAAGAAACAAAATGAGAAAAAAATAAATGACTTCCCGCGTTCCTCATCTTTCTTCAACTGAATGATGTATAAATGAAGTAAGAAAGAAGGACTTAAGTTTTAATATACTTTTAATGATTAAGATAAGTTACAATTTTTTAAATATTTCTCGTCTCTTGTCTTTTTTAATGTATGTCTATTTAAAAGTAGCAATGCTGCTATCATTTCTATTTAGTATTTTTATGCTTTATTTTTCTTCTTCTTACGTTTCTGGCCTATTATTTGTTTAACATTGTCAGGTACCTCCGATTTATCGGCTTTCTTTGGTTGGGGACCTTTGTTAAGATTTCCTTTCTTTTTGGAATCTTTTCTAGACTTCGATGTCTTATACTTTTTAATGTCCTCCTTTCTCTCTTCTTCTCCATCGTCGCCCTCTTCCCTTCTCCTTTTGCTGATAGCACCAGAATGACGGTGCTGTTTGATCTTATCTCTTCTTCTTTTTATGACCTCAGCATTCTCAATTGCAAACTCTACTATAAGCTTTCTCTTAGCTAAGCCCTCTAACTTAGCCTTTGCCCTTTCTTCTTCAGTGAGCCCTTCTAATATCTCAGGAATCGACACTTCATGTGCATTTAGCCACCTAAGACCCATCAATGCGGTCTTATGGTCTCTAAATTCTACGAAACCATATCCCTTACTACGACCGGTTTCACCTGATCCTTTGACTTCTTGAACAACCTTTGCTTGTCTCACAACACCTTTCTTTTTAGATTTTTTCTCGGCTTCTGGATCTAAATTGTCCTTTTTGTCCTTGAGAGATCTACCAACTTCTTCTTTTGACAACGGTTGTCTCTTTTCTTCTTTGACCTCAGTTGCGAATTGTACAACTGCTTTACGGCCCAAAGACTTGAGTGCTTTTGAATTCATAGCTCTTGGAAGATTCCTAATAGCCAATCTCGTGAGTGATAAATGCAAAGTAGGGTTTTTCTTTAGTTGTTGCACCCTTAATTTATAAGACTGCTCCCTCATTTCTAAATCTGTCTTTGAAATATATTGTGCTAATTTAGAGTTGGCCGTTATTCTTCCTTCATTCAAAAGAAACAAATTACGCTTATCCTTCTCACCTGGTGCTTTACCTAAAATCTCCTGTCTTTTCTCCAGGTTTCTCTCGGCTAGCTTTTGCGCTGATCCTCTATCGACCGTTGAAGATACTGACAAAATACGTCCACTGTAGACATAATCGGGGGAAACATCATCGGCAATTAACAAGGACGAGCTGGCTACTGATGGAGCATTTTCCAAGCATTTGGTATAAGAATCTTCATCAACAAATGCAACGAACGCCGATCCTTTGGCTAACCCAGTTTCCTTATCAATTACTGGTAAGGCATATTTTACTGGTCCGAATCTGTTAAAATGCTCTTTCAAAGAAGCAGCGTCAGCATCATACGGAATATTCCTTACAAAAATTGAAAACGGTTCTTGTCTGTTCTTTTTAGGGATATCAGGTTTGCTATCATTTATCTCTAATTCTGCATCTTCTAGCTCTTCGTCACTGTCATCTTCCTCGTCTACTTCATCTTCATCCTTGTCTTCATTCTCATCCTCTTCATCTTCGTCCCCTTCATCTTCTGAAGTCAATTCGCTGTCCGAATCTGAATCTTTATGCTCAATCTCTTTATGACTCTCATTATCAAGCCCCACTATTTTCTCTTTTTCAGTACCTTCACCACTTGCTTCAACAGTTTCTTCTTCCATTTCCTCGCCTTCGCTTTCCTTCTCCGAATCTTGCTCTTTGACTTGTTCCCATTTAGATTTTTCGATTGCAAAATCTACTGCCACTTCCCTTCCATGTATTTGCAACCCCTCGGATCCCTTAACAGCACGATCAGCTGCGCTCTTTTTATTCATCACAACGAAGGCAAAGCCAAGCATCTGGCCGCCTTTCTTCTTAGGAATATAAGCATCGAAAACGCCCCCATACTTAACAAATATCTTTTTCAAGTCATCAGGATTCTTCAACGACCAAGGTATATTCCTGATTATGAGTCTAGCCCTTCTTTTTTCGACTGGCTCAGCTGGGACTCGGTTCTCCAATGTGCCACGTTTATCTTTCCTATCTCTTCTCTTAGCCATGTCGACTCTTAAAAGTCTCCCTTTGAATTTCGTTTTTCTTGCTTCTACTAACGCTGTCAACGTATCATCATCCAATGTGAATGATACGAACCCGAATCCTCGTGATTTCCCATCACTGCCATTGACAATAACAGCATGCTTCACAGGCACAAATTGTGAGAAGAATTCTGATAATTCATCTGATGTAGCCTCATAAGGGATAGAGCGAACAAAAAGTGTCTTTCTGTCTAACCCGTCATCCTTCTGGTCAACCGGAGACTTAGTCTTATCTCCCTCTTCGCTCATGATGATTGGATTTTGAAGTTGTCTTTTGTAGACCAACGAAAAATTCCTTCATTCGATGCCCATCTCTTCTCCAGCACTAAATTTTCAATATGCAGGTGTGTTATACAAATGATTTTACACGCTTTATTGATTCAAAACAAGGAAAACATAACGGCCCGCCATTGACCATATCAACATTAAATGGAAAAGCCTAAGAGATTAAAAAATGTCCTTCCTAACACATATATTCCTTTGTTATCCAAGAAGAGTTTGGCAGCGATCTTAGGGCGGATGACAAAGAATTCGTTAATAGATTTTATGCGTGTTTGGCCCTCACTAGTTAATACGCAACCACAGCTTGATAAAGAGAATACTGGAAATAGTCAACAGGCCCTAAACGACATGGTAATAAGAGAGGCGATAGATCTTAAGCAACAGGCTGGAAAAGTGCCTAAAAGAAAAATTGTTGACAAGATAATATTCGAATATTGGTGGAAAGGTCTTAATGTCTTGCAATTATCTCAGCTCGATTGTCAATTGATTGTGGATCGCCCAAATACATTTTACTGGGTATCATCTGTTGTCAAAGATGCTTTTGGTAATGAATCATCTATTCTGATAGATCCAGCAAAATTTTTGGATCTTCTTGCAAGGGATCTAAGTAATACTTTTATGACATATATCTATGTTTGTCGTCACCCACGTCTACCCTTGATGCTATTAAGAGTTCAAATATTCGATTTAGAATCTTTTGATACCCAACTGAAGCCTCATATATCCTCCCAACGGCCCTATTTTATTGCTTTTCCATTGAACTCGCCATATGTGATACACTCTCTAAGTAACGATATTATTAGTAATATTGTGTTGCAAGCCGTTGAAAAATGCTTGCCTCAAACCTCAAGGAATCTTCTCAAGATCATCAAGGAGGATTCTCCTAAACCAATAAGGTCCTTGGAAGCAATGCAAGTGTTGTATGGAAGTTCAAGGTTTGGAAACAGCTCGGGAATATGGGCGCCTTATGCTGACGGAACCGTGGATATGCTTCCGTTAAATGCCATTGAAGAACATAAGGAGCTTAATCCGTCTATTGAATCAGATAGTGGTTTGTCAAAACGAGAGCAAATAGCAAATCTACGCTTCAAAGGATCTATTGATGGTTCTTTAAAATCTGAATATCCATATGACGACTATAAACAACGCAAAAGAAGGAAGGTGATGATTGAAGCATCTGAGATTGACAATGAAGATGATTACGAAGAAGCCAAAAAAAGCGAATACGCATCTATTGCGCCAATCCAATACACAGAAGTTTCACTTCAAGAAAAAATTAGAGATAGCTATTCTTCTATAACCATGAAGTTTGTGGGTACAGATGTATTTGCAGGTTTACATGAGCTCTCTGTTTCCACGGACGATATTTTAAATCCAGCTATCGTTCCGCTGTGGCTCTCCGGTGAGGAAAACACCAAGATCATTGTGAAGGATGGAAAAGTCTTGGCTACTACTTAACGTCCCAATTTTTTAATGAAATCTTCAATTAACTTTATTGCATTTTCGTCGTTTGCATTGCTAGCTTGACCCATCACATATTTGAGACTGTTAACATCTTTGTTTTTCATGGCCTCCTTACCTGCAAGAGTGAAATCTTTATTTTTAACAAATAATTTTACTTTATCTGCGTAGTTTGCATCATAATTCAGTATATATTCCGATAGATGGCCCTTTGGACAGTTGGATGCAAAACATGCTTCTATTATACGCTCAAATGGAATCTGCGTCTTCAATTTGTTCCCGTGAGAATGGCTAGCTATAAAATCATGTAGCAAATTAAATTCCTTTAGTCTGCAACACGTTTTTAGTACTAAGTACCAAAATTTTTCTTCCTCGACTTTAAACTCTCTAACGATCTTTGATGCGGGTTTTATTTGATTCATTTCAATTAATTTGATTAATATTTCGCTTAATGAATGTAACTGGTAGAACTCAATTTGATATGTTTCCGTAAGTCTAGCCTTTAGATCAACTATCTTCAGTTCTTTGCGTAAGATATTGGCTTCTTTTCTCTTTGGCGAAGAATTTATTGATTTCAATAAAATAGTCTTGTATTTCTTATGGTCTTTCGTGATCATTGATTGTTCCAATCGTAACATATCAAGTTCCGTCCTTCGGTCTTCTTGCCTGTAAAATCTTTCTAGCAATTTTTCATCTTTCATTCCAATACTTTCAATCCAAAAATGAGAAATTAGATCCCCACTAATGTATAAGCTGTCTTTTAAAAAATCGACCCCCTCTACCTGTGCGGCCAAAGAATTAGAAATCAACTTCTTTTGTTCATTTTGGTTCAAGATCTTTAAAAAATGAGCTTCATTAAAATTAGATTGTAAATATAGCAAAATTAATTTGCAAAGTTCATACTCAACTGTCTGAAAAGCCATCACCAAAGCTGTCTCGGGATCTTCGTTCAAAATTTTGTTAATTCGCTTGGAAATCGATGGTTCCAAATTAACCAACAATTTGCATAAATTTAATCGCCCTTCTTGGTAGGCGACGTCATATATTTGCAGGATAGAGACATTAGTCTTTGCAAGTTTGTGGGCTATATCCTTGAACAAATCTGTGTCTGTTTTGGCTCGCTCGTGTATAATTTTTGAGCAACACCAATGAATATAAATCATATCTTGTAAATTCTGCAACAGCATAATTTTTACTATTTTTATAGCTAGATAATGCATCTTTCTTTTAAGGAGCATTCCGATTATAGTCTCCCACCCAACAATGGACAATTCATTGAAAGTTACGAAAATGCCGACATCAATAGATCTTAATTGATTCAAAACCTTTAATGTATTTACCGTTTTCAAATAATCATCAGCATCATATGCCTCATCATTATATGCCATTCCAAATGAAGCTGCCTTGAGGAGTCTTTTTTGCCAGAAGGGTGAAAAGTCATCCAATGATGCTTCTAAACAATCATCCATTGCAGAGACTAAAGAACCTTCAGATTTTAAAAACGAAATATTAGTATAAGCCTTAAATGATTGTTGGCCAAATTTTTCAACACAATCTAACAAGATACTACTAGGATGAGATGATCCAATTTGAAATAAATTTATTGCGGTGTTCGATACTCGTCCCAAAAACTCGACCTTATTACTTGTGAAAACTTTCAAGCCATCATGTTCGGACTTAATTATAGGAATTGTGAATGTTAAGCTCTCTTGATCTTTAGTCATAAGTTCAAAGTCGTTATCATCTTCCTCAATTATATCATAGAAGAATGAAATTGATTGCTGCCCAGGTCCTATCAAGGTCAATTCATCTCTAGAAGAAATCACTATTGCATCATTTGCGCACCATTCAACTTGACTTGGTGAAAAAGCTTCCTTTGAGATGTCGTATTCCAAAAGGACTTGGTTGAATTTACTATTCGTAACAAAAATTGTTGAAACTTTATCGTTTACCAAGGCAACTAAATGACCATTCGGGGAAGCTGATATCATGCTGAAAGGGCCATCTGTTAAATCATGATCTAAAATTTCGAAGAATCCCGATTTCATGTCGACTACTACCGACAATACAGTTTCGTTGTAACTAGCGAGTAAAACAAACCCATCCTGGTCTGCTCGCAAAGGCTTTAAACAATGGAATTTTGACACATCAATTTTCGAGAAGTGTATTTCATAGTTCTTAAGCGAGTCTAGATCTGTTATTATAAGGCTATCTGAAAGTTTCATTATAAGAAACTTATCCCAAATTTGAGCTTCTAAAACTTGGTATATCCTTTCATTCTCGTCGTTTTCTAGGTTAGTTATATAATTTAGCTTAGGCCCATCGGTCATATCTTGAGACGTCAAGCTATTGTTAATAGGCTCCAATTGAATAAGGCCCTCTGTAAAACAATATTCGTCGAAATTACCATCAAAGTCCTTGTAGTACCTAAATTTCTGGTTGCTCAAAATTACCAATAAGTCCTCGTTTCTAAATGCAAATTCAATTATGTGATTATCTGCCGTATTATTGTAAACTAAAGACCAAAGTTTTTTACCTGTGATGGAGTAAACATCAATTAAGTTAGGAAATGAAGCTTCTTTCGAAGCTAACGCCATAACCGTAGAATATTGAGATATAACTACTTTATAATTAGTAGATAAATTCTCAATTGGCCAACTCAATTTTTCATAGCATGGCCGCAAGGCATAGTATATGTCCTTTATCTTCTGCCATCCTAGAGAAGGGTTTGTCGGCATTTGATATTAGTTTCTTGTAGAATTAATAAACTTTCTACTAAGAAAGTAACATATATTTAACGCGAAAGCCAAAGCGGAAAGTAATATATATCTCAAAAATATAGAAAGACTAGAAGCAACATATCTTGACTATAAAAACTCCCACGAGATGTCCGAAGAGCCGCAGAGTGAGCAGTTTGTCACATTAGTGTCGTCAGATGGATATAAATTTGTTATTTTGAAGGAAGTGGCCCTGATCTCATCTGTCTTGAAAAGTACCCAGGGCTTCCAAGAAGGAGAAACAGGCAAAATAAACCTTGATATGGATGGCGATATACTTGAATGTATCGTGGAGTACCTTTACTACAACTTCAAGTATAAAGAACAGGCTGAACACAATACCATTCCTGAGTTCAATATAAAGACACATCTTGCATTGGAGCTTTTGGTGAAAGCAGATTACCTTGATATCTAAAGTAATAAAATGAGCTCCTTGTGGTCTGTTGCTATCTATTTCGGGCCACACTGTTGTGCATTTGTCTAGGTGTAACTTCCATGCCTTAAAAATCTGGACTTTGGCATATCTAGTCTTTTGAAGCGTCGGTTTGACTTGATTCCTCGGAATTTAGAGACTTTTTCACGCAAGGCACTTTACTATATATCCTGAGTACAATCACTGGGCAGCTAGTCAATATGGTACTCAGTAACCACTACTTAATCATGTATAATTCCTCCGTCTCTGTGTATGTCCATCCTGCATATTGTCAAAAGATGATAACGTTAATAGATTGATTTATAATGAAGGATATGTTTAAGTAAGGATTTAATACATAATAAAAGTAATGAGTAGTAGTGAGTTGTTAGATTCCCTCACTTCTGAGGTGGAATCTTTTACGAATACAGGCTATAATAGTGTCAGTGGTCTCTTGAAGGAGTCTAATAATTTCTTGAGTTATCTTAAAGAAGTTGAATCATCGTTATCGGAGGATCTTAAAACAGAGGAACAAAAAACCAAAGATCCCCAATCTCTTTCGAAATTCGAAACTGAAGCTAGTCAATGGTATAAGGAGTCAATATCTCAGCTAAAGTCTTACAATACTTCCACAAATAAGTTTCTGAAGAATATCCTCAATAACTCAAAGTTTAACATAGATCTCGATGAGGCTTATACTTACCCCTTGAATTTGAATAACTATCCTGAGAGAGTTGGAAAGGGTTCTTCTGCCTATAATGGTTCTGATATATCCCTCAAAGCTATAAAGGCGGAAGGACATGAAGAGCTTCTAAAAGCTATAATTTTACATTTATTAAAAATTGGTCAATGTGACTTAGTTAAAGAAATGGTGAAGGAATTAGATCATGATGTGGTAATTGAAGAAGAGTTGCTTTCCAAATTTAAAGTATTGAATGAAATTGTGGATGATATAATAATGAAACATGATATTACGAGAGCATTAAATTGGTTCAAGGATAGGTATAATAATAGCATGACATTATCCAATTCATTGAAAAATATACCTTCTCAGCATAACTCTTCAAGTGATCAAATCGAATTTAAGTTTCATATGTTGCAGTTTGCATTATTGTTGAATAATGGTTCGTCATTTAATTTAGATAATGCTTTGCAAGCTTACTTGTATTCGAAAGAACATTTCTCGAGGTTTTTCGTTGATTATCTTCACGAAATTTCTCCTATGTTGACATTATTACTTTTCAAAACTTCCAGAGACGATGACGATGATGATTACGCTAGAAAGCATATGGTAAACTTGCTTTCGGAGTTTACAAATAAAATGAAATTATGCTTCAGAATGGATCAGGATAACAATAGGACTGTGAATGGAAGCTCTATGTTCGTAGGTGAGCTTTTGGCAAACTTTGAACACTTGCATTCAAATCCGTCCATTTTCGTCAATCTAGCGAATGAGTTCATTTCGGAATATTGTAAAGACTTAAAGCTTTCCAATGATTCATCACTTTTTCAAAGTATATTGGCTGGTTTTATCAATTTGCCAAGCTTCTACAAGTATAACAAGATTCAGATGAAATTGAGCAAGATAAAGAATGACCCTGAAGTTGAAGGCTCCAAGATAGATAGACCAACCATCCTTGAAGCCGATTACAGTTATGATTTACCTTTTCAATTGCCGGATTCTAGTAGATTTCTATTCAAATATCATCCGATATTCATTTGTCCAATATCCAAGGAACAATTAATTCCAGTTACAAATAATCTTCACTATGACTCTGATGATAAGCACAAGAAGAAGAAAAAGAGATCGACCCTTGATCCATCTTCCAATACAGCTCTCAATCTGGTAGTTGTTTTAAACTTTTGTCAGCACCTCGCTTTGAGGGAAAGTGTATGGCAAATATCAAAGAAAGGCACAGAGATTTTTAACTGTCATTATTGTTACAAGAAACATAAATTCTCTGATGTAAGTGAAGCTTACTTTATAGATTTGTAATAAGTCTATTTATCTGACGAAATAAACGAATATTATTATAGGATTTGATCTTTTTTTTTTTTATTTTTTTTTCTTATATGCCTATATCTGAAAATTAAAAGACATAAATATTTACGATCGATGATCTTCAACAGCTTTCTTCTATAGAGATTAAAGTTTGAATATGACGCGGCATAAGAAGTCGTCTGGGAATGCGAAGGCCAAGCTTCTTCTGGGGGAAGAATCTCTTTTGGGAGATCCTTGGGTTCCAATATACGAAATGCCGGTAGAATTTGATGCTCATCACTTTGAGTCAGCAATGTCAAATTTAATAAAACAACCAAATATAAACTCCACTGTAATCATGAGAGCAGATATATTAAAGGAAAACAAATATGATCCAAAAGAAGGGGATTACACGTTTGTAAGTAAATCAATTAACGAATTTCCAAAGTTCCCTATGTCAGACACTGAAGAAGGAGAAATTCTCCATAGGTATCTTCAAGATGCCGAGTTGAAAAGCATGCCATTAGGCAACTCAGCACTTGAATTAACCATCAAATCAGAAGTGGTTAGGAGGATTATCCCCAGAAATCCCTTTAAGGATTATATAATAAATCAGACTTGCATAATATTGACTAATGAAGACACTGTCTTCGTTGCATATATTCCACATATCCAATCGGAAGAAGAAACACCATTTTACCTTCCTCCAGTTCGAGCAATTGGTATTCTTTATCATAAATCGAAATTATCGATCCACTATTTACCTTTTGATTTCAAGAAACAGGATTCTTTAAGGTCATTAGATTGGACAGAACGTCCTATAAGAATCGCGCTTAGATTGCTAGAGACATCTAGTAAACATTCACAGGGGGCAAAAGATGGATATGAGAAACGCGTTTTGCATGACTTAGTTGTTCCTAAGGTGGCTTTTCAAAATAGGTATATCAGCTTGAAAAGAAAGTACTCATCGCAACTAGTCAGTCAGTGGTGTGAAAGCACTGATCCAAAAAAACATGTTTTTGAAGATATAGCGATTGCTGCATTTTTAATCGAATTATGGTCTCAGAACTATAAAAGTAATGATGAGTTTGAGTTTAGAGATTTGGGATGCGGTAATGGACTCTTGGTCTATATTCTATTACTGGAAGGTTATAAGGGACAAGGTATTGATGCAAGAGCTAGAAAATCTTGGAGTATGTATCCACAGGAAGTTCAGAACCAATTGAAGGAGCAAGTATTAATTCCTGGAGTCTTGCTAAAGCCACATCCTGCTGTACAAAAGCTCGCACCACACATTACCGACAATGGGAGGTACTTCCAAGTTCCCGACAAGGTCTCAAGCCATTCCGAACCTTTAATGACCTATCATTCTGCTGCAAACCTATTACAATCACCGCATATTTGTACTACAGAAACCTTTCCTCCAAATACATTTATAATAGGAAATCATTCTGATGAATTAACATGTTGGATCCCTTTATTGAATTTTCCCTTCATGGTAATCCCGTGTTGTTCTCACGCACTCAACGGTGCAAAAGTACGCTATAGCCCTTCCAAAAGGAGATCTCCACTGTATCCAGTGAATGTTTCAACGTATTCTGCCTTGGTTGACCACGTTGAAGACTTATCGGTACAAATGGGGTGGTTAGTTGAGAAGGAGATGTTGAGGATTCCCAGCACGAGAAATGCTGCTCTTATAGGAACACAGAAAGCACCTGCATTCCTCAACATCTCAGAGGATTCTATACAAACTAGGGTATTAGATATACTCGTTTTAGAGGGTGGTGCAGAAGGATGGGTAGAGAACTCGATGGCTCTCATGAAGAAACCACCTAGAAGCCACTAGTTTTTTTGTAATTAGTATTAATATTAGGAAAGGAAAACTCAATAATTCATATTTAATTACGGCCCTTGTATCCTTATGACCCCATTCAGTTGCTAATTGAACGGAATAAATATAAAATCCATATTGTATGTAGCTCATTTTGACTGATTTCGGAAAAGCTTCCTGTACATGAATTTTGAACAAATTCGTAGCATTCAAGGGAGATTTACATTGAAAGCTTAGATTAAGACCAGGGGTTGAGCATTAAGGGTCCAAAGCAATTGTATGACAGTCAAATATGCCTGAACCAGCTTCTCAGTATGTAATTTATAATGATTTATTCATGTAACTCTTCGGGATAAATTAGCTGATACTAACTATTTAGATTTCAACAACTTGAAAAATTAGGTGAAGGAACCTATGCTACCGTCTACAAAGGAAGGAATCGTGCAACAGGCACTTTGGTGGCATTGAAAGAGATTAATTTGGACTCCGAGGAAGGAACGCCCTCTACAGCTATTAGAGAGATCTCTTTGATGAAGGAGTTGGACTGTGAAAATATTGTCACTCTCTACGACGTGATTCACACAGAGAATAAGCTAACCTTGGTATTTGAGTTTATGGATAAGGATCTTAAAAAATACATGGAGACGCAAGGCAATCAGGGTGCATTGGATATGAAAATCGTGAAATCGTTTATGTTTCAGTTGCTAAAAGGAATTATGTTTTGCCATGACAATAGAGTACTCCATCGCGATTTGAAGCCTCAGAACTTATTGATAAATAGCAAGGGACAATTAAAGTTGGGAGATTTTGGTTTAGCTAGAGCTTTTGGAATTCCTTTCAATACTTTCTCTAATGAAGTGGTGACTTTATGGTACCGAGCACCCGATGTTTTACTAGGTTCGAGAGCATACACCACATCTATCGACATCTGGTCTGCTGGCTGTATATTCGCAGAAATGTGCACTGGTAAACCACTTTTTCCAGGATCGGCTAATGATGACCAGCTAATCAAGATCTTTAAGTTGATGGGAACTCCAAATGAAAGAACTTGGCCAGGAATTTCACAATATGCTAATTACAAAAATAATTGGGAAGTTTATGTACCACAAGATTTGAGGATTTTAATCCCAAACCTAGATCCATTGGGTTTGAACCTACTTCAAAGTTTGTTGCAAATGAGACCGGATGCAAGAATAACTGCTAGACAAGCCTTGCAGCACCCTTGGTTCCACGAAATCACAAATCCAAATCCAAATCCCTTGATGCATCATTTGTCAGACCCTTATCAGCAACAAGCACAGCAGCACCAACAACTGCTGCAGCAATATTAAGAGTTATCTAGAGATTTGATGATTATTTTTATTTTTCTCTTTTATTTCTTTATTCTCTTTTAAATTGAATGACTAGGCATCTAAAAGTCTATTAATATACAAAATGGCCTTCTATAAAATTCGCTATAAATTCATTAAACGTAAAATATCATTACTTGGGTGGTCATTAAATCTCATTAAGTATTGAAACAAATCGTAGTTTTTTATCTCCATAACAAAAAGCCACAATTCACTATCATGTTTCTTGTGGTTCTCTTTATAATATATGGACAACAAATGAAGTAAAGATTTGTTGAGGTCTTCTTTTAAGTTTTGGTCCTTTGATTCTTTATAATTGTGTACGATTCGAAGGTACTCTATTACCGAATGAGTGTCGACATTTTCGTCAGATACATTACAATCGATTAAAAAGCTGAGTACTTCAAATAGCAGTATTTCTCTGTTTTCGTCAAATGATTTAGCAACATTGACAAGAACCTCATTGAGCTTGAGAAAATTCAAATTGAAAGTTCCATTTAGGCTCTTCACAATTTCAAAACGTTTCCTCGAATGCAACATATTGTTATAATAACACTCAGGAAAATTCGAGGCTTTTTCAAAAGTTCTGTAATTGAAAGTAGAAGAAACCGCTTGTGAAGGGTTGGGAGTTTCTGTACCGCCGGAGTCACGATCTAAAGTGACAGAATTTTCCATTAAGTTATCTCTCCCTGTTAATAGATTGTTGCTTTCACTTCTATTCTCACTGTTATTGCTAATCAGCTCTGCATTATGGGTCAAGTTATTTAGGTCATTCGAAATCGCCGCCAATAAAGATTCGATTAATCTTGGCCGTTCGCTTATTTCTTCTAAAATTTGTTTCTGATCTAACACTTTGAATTCCTTGGTCTTTAAATGGCCTATCAAATCGAGAGAAATGAACTTATACTTGAAGAAACTGCTAAGTAGCCCCTTAGAGAACTTCTTGAATATCTCTAAACAGCTAATGAGCTTTATTACATTCACGTTCTCATTGCTGGCCGGGAATCTTTTAATATACATGTCTAAACTTTCCTCGTAGTCTTTAAAGTCAACCTTTTCATTCAAATTAAACTCAAAATACGACCTAGAAAATCCATCAACTAAAGAGAGATTTCGCCAGCTTTGTTTTGACTCAGATTCGTGCCTAAACCTAAGAAGGTTGTTTAAGTACTTATTAGCAAGTGGCAAGTTGTTTCCTTCTAGTCCTGTAGAAACGAAGATTCTCAAACTTAATTCTTCTGGCATTCTTTCTAATATTGATCTCTTCTCTTCGTATTTTCTATTAGTAATCTTCTTCTTACCTGGAGGCTTTAAGCTTGAAGAATTATGATTTCCTTTGAGAGTCCTTCGCCTTTTTAAAGGCTTTCCAGGCTCTATAAAACCCATAGTTTGGCGCTTATCTAGGAATCAAGGTTTTTTTTTTGTTTATTCAATATGATGAGCACTGCTCATCATAAATTTTTTTAAGAAGCACGAACTATCTACGACATACACTTTCAACTTAAGGCATTAACATCTTATTTCAGACTAAAAATCTTATCAAATAAAAAGAGAACAGAAGCGAAGACATGAAAGTTTTACTATAATTGGGACTCTAATGGTCTTTGAACTGGTCTTCAGTCACACCTGCTCCCATTGCAGCAGTAGAAGTAACACCACCAGAGGCTAACTTCAATAAACCATCGATGTACTCAGCACCTGACCATTTCTGGTGCTTGACGACTTCAACACCTTTCTCGATTTCTGGTTGTTGAACATATTGACCATAAGCTCTCATTCCAATTTGAGAGAATTTGTTAGCGAAGTCGTCAACAGCCAAGGCCGTAGTATGCAAACCGGCTAAGGTAATGAATTGCCAGACGTAACCTAATTTACCTAATCTCTTGATGTAAGTTTCTTGCTCATCGGCAGGCATAGCCTTGTTCCAGTTGAAAGAAGGTGATAAGTTGTAAGCTAACCATTGGTCTGGCCATTGGGACTTAACACCGTCGGCGAATTCCTTTGCTTGGTTGTAGTCTGGCAAAGCACTTTCCATCCAGATCAAGTCGGCATATGGAGCGTAAGCTCTACCTCTCATGACGGCACATTGAGTACCACCTTGATATCTGTAGTAACCTTCTCTTGCTCTGGCGACGTCCCAGTTGAAGTAGATGTCCTTACCTAATAATTCATAGGCTAACTTCTTAGCCTCTTTGTGAGAAGACAATGATAAAGGATTAACCTTATCGGTAAACTTCTTGATTAATTGATCTTTGTTGGAATAGTTACCTGATTTGATCTCATCAATTACAGCTTCATGGAATAACTTCAAGCCAGCCTTCTTAGTCCATTCAATTTCAATATTAGCCAACTTTTGACCATAAATACCTTTAGCTTCAGCTTCGGCCATTAATGAAGATAACTCTGGAACATCCGGGTTGGTAGCACCAATGATAAAATAATGATCTCTATGGTCAATGGTTGAAGTGATCAAGGTAGCAGCTTCAGAATCAGTTCTGGCAACACACAATAAATCCGAGCCAAGAATATCGGCAGATGCTCTGATAGCAACTAATCTGTTAATGTGTTCTTGAACTGGAACCAAAACCTTACCGGCCATATGTCCACATTTCTTAGTACCTGGGGCTTGATCTTCAATGTGAATACCGGCAGCTCCTCTTTCGACAAATAACTTGGTTAATTTAATAATAGCAGTCAAACCACCGTGTCCAGTATCAGCATCTGCAATGATAGGTCTCAAAAAGTCTATGTATGGAGTCTTTGCCCTTTGTTCCTTGGTTAAACCCAATCTTTCTTCTCTTTGCTTCCTGTCATGGAACAACTGAGCAAACCACAAGTGTTCGACCTTGTTGGGGACAGTATCCATAGGGTAATCAGCTAAATCTGGAGATGGCTCGTTAGATGTGGATGCGGTGGATGAACATTGCCATCCAGAAACGTAAATCGTATCTAAGTATTTGGCCATTTGAGCGACTTGAATAGGATCCAAGGCACCAAATGTGAAAGAAACGGTCTTGTTCTTATCATGCTCTTCCAACAATTTGTACAATTTCTTAGCCTGATTGGAAGATGGATATTCAATCTTCAAGGTTCCTCTTTTGGATGCAATATCCTCAGCTTGGTAAATTCTTTTGGTCTTTCTCCAACGAGGTTCGGACCACCATTTCTTGATGTCCCTAACTTGTTGTTGGTAGAATTGCTCCTCCTTGTTTATGTCGATCTTGGTATAAGCCATGCTTAATGTTCTTATTTCTTAGCTACTTTGTTTGTAACTTTTATGCAATAGTGCTAATATCAGCGTATTCAGAAAGTTGGGATTCACTCCTTATATAGTTTCTGCTTTCGTCCACCTCGCCCGCTACTTACCCCAGATTTGCGTGAGTGAAAAATAGGTAGCGTATGAGTAAATGCTGGAGCAAGGGAAAAGCTCCGCTTGTCCATTCCGGTCACCACCCGGTGCACAATTTATTCTATTCCGATCCCATTTATATGTTAGTCACGTGTAATTTGCCTTCGGACAAAAGGAGACAGTGTATTTAGCACCTACATATCTTTGCAATCAAATTACTAGGTCGGTCTGGCCGACCGGTTCAAGAGGATTTTCGGATACCAATACTATTGTGACCCCCGTTTCTCTCGGAACCTAACCTCCGAGAGCCTATTTAATAATGATTCCCGGCTGATTGAATCTTACCTCCGAATGGATTATATCCGCTTAAATCCAACTAAGCTCCTTTATCTCCCATAATAATTGGCATTCTGGTTCTCACCATAATTGTAAGATGGCCATCAGCTTTTATAGGTATCAAACATAAACGTAGAGAATAAGTCTATGAGTAACCTAACATAACCACTTCACAGCTTTTTCTTTGGGTGATATCTTCCTAATATCTTTTAGCCTGAAGAATGATTGCTTACTTGCTCTCAGTAGTGACCCTATTATTGCAGCCAAAGTGAGCCTCAATGACTCAAGTCCGCCATCGGTAACCGGTTTTCTTAATCGCCTTTCTGCCGAGGTTCAAAAAACATCCACCGACAGCGGTCACGAGATTTCTACTATATCCGCTAAACTACGCATAGAATGTTGATGAATGTTAATTATGGCACGTCGTGTGATATCTCATCGCTCGGATCTTTTCTCTCCTGTGTTTATAATATCTTTGAGAGCCACATTAGCGCTCTATTGTGTCTTTGGGGACCTTGCAGTAGCGGGTAATGTTGTTTACGTCCTGCATGTTAATTGATACTCCCAGCTGTAGATCAGCGACTTCATTCTTCCATCTTTTAGTGTGAAAGGCAGTGATTAATCTTCGGAAGCTAAGCATCAGTCGCAAAAAGCCTTGTTTACTCCCCTGTACGTCAGAAAGATCTCTTTTGAAAAGTTGGATTGTGTGCAGGAAATACTACCTTTTGGTTTCTGCCAGCGCCGTTGACTATGCCCCATTCTAAAGATTTCTAGATAATATAATTATTGGTAAGATTAAGTTGTTATTTGTTTTTGATATTAAAAAACTATTGAATCATTTACGTTGGATTGTGGTGTATTGATTTATTTGAGGTGCATCTGGGCGTTACTATTTAAGCGACAGTATAGATCTATTGTTTTTGAGTTGCATTTGAGTTATAAGGTTGATGTCAAATGTCGAGTCTAGTATCGCCATACTATTTGCAATATTTGGAATACCTACCTGATTTGCAGAAAACGGCGGGCGCTCTTATCACGTTCACGCCGTTGTTTTCATACGGAGCAACATGCTATGGTATTTATAAAAAGAAGAGTAGCGTGGGTTTTTCCATAGATATATGTGCAACAATGCTTATGTGCTCCATATTGAGGATATTCTATTATATTATCAGACCATATGAGATTGCAATTTTGAGGCAAAGTTTTGTGATGATCTTTATTCATTGTATATTGTTGAAAATATCGTTACAATATAGACCCCTGTCGTATAATCCGAAATGCTTGCATCAGTTTCCCATATTCAAAAATGAATTGAATTCAAATTTACCCAATAGAATGAACCTATCGCTGAGAGATCACGAAAGTTACTCAAGCGAGTCAAATCTAGAGTTAGCAAAAGATATTGCTGCAGACTATTTGCATTATTATACTGTGTACTTCAAAATTTTCTTTACACAATTTTTAAACTTCTTTGATGTGTATTACATGAGGCCCATGCTTTTTTGGCAGTGGGTAGAGGTAAACAAATACTGGGAATTTTTGTTGAAATTTTCTGGGTTTTTTGGTATTTTAACCGTACTATTTATTAAAAATCAAAATTTTGGCGCTTTCATTGGCTTTTTAAGTTTATTTATGGAAAGTTTGTTACCATTGCCACAAATCCTATTGTTAAATAGGCTACAATCCATCAAGAATTTTAAAAGCGTTTTATTATTAAGCTGGTTAGGTGGCGATTGTACAAAAATTGGCTATTTATTACTTGGAGCAAAAGATGTCTCCATAATTTTTATACTTGCGGCGTTGTTTCAAATGGGCTTAGACTTGATAATAGTATTGCAATACTTCCATTTTCGCAAATTAGAGCAAGAACCAATAGCGAAAGATATTGAGCTTAATACTATGGTTTAATTACATTGTATTTATGTACAAATTCTTTGCATTAATAGATCATTAGTTTCATATAAATTTATATATCCAAGTAAATAAAATAATGGTTGAAACTTTATAAATAATTTCTATTTATATAAGAAGCACCCTATACTAATACGTATTCAACGTTTTCCTTAGCCTCGTTGATTAAATTTAATGCATCTTGACCAACCAAACCATGTTTAACTTTAATGTGTCTAGATAATGCGTCTCCACGAGAAAACGTTTTCAGCTTTCCGTTTCCAGGCCCACCATTAAGTCGTCCCTCACATATCACACACCTAAATATTTTCTTCTTCGTTGCATGTATAGTTTCTTGATGTCTTATTAAATCATAGGGTCTCGAAAATTGCTTATTACAAGGATGACCTGTCGATGGATTAATGAGATCACATTGGTGGTTGGGATTGGATGCAGAAATCTCTGCCGCCGTTTTATGTTGGTGGCTTTCATCAGGGGATGGAGTATCAGGTTCTATACTTGCAGAAAATTCTCTTCTGGGTATAGGGGATTCCGTATTATGCTCGAGATCAAATGGAGTTGCAGTAAATGCATCATCGTCATCATCTGCTTCTATATCCATTGAGCCATCGTCATTTATAGTTCTATCAATGTTATCATTGCTTTTCGTTGACTCATAGTTATCAAGAAAGCCGCCCATTAAGTCATCCTTTGATTTTGAGTTATCAGAATTCTTGAAGTAGTCGTCCAAATCCATCACATCATTTCCCTTCATCATCAAGTCATCAAAGTCACCTTCTTCATCATAAAAATAATTGTCATCTTCATCTTCAGATATATCTTCTTCCACATCTTCATTAAAATCGTCAATCAACAAATAGTCGTTTTCATAACCTGGTATCTTATCGTTGAATGCTGATGACTGGTTTGGAACAAACAAAGATGAATCCGAAAAATCGTCATAAAACCCCTTTTGGTTGATCAATTGTGATGGCTGAATGTCAGGATTGAACAATATGTAATCTTCATCTTTGAGATTCTTGGAGTTATCATCCGAAGTCTCCAAAGTTGTTATTCTTCTTCTTCTACCAAAAGGAGGAACAAAGCTGTTCTGTTTTTGAATTTCCTGTGGCTTAATGTATGAATTCACTTGAGTATCCGGATTACCGTAATCCGTGAAAGGGTATATTTTTGTCTGGTTTGAATATGACAGGTTATTGTAGAAGTCCTCATTCACAGGAAAATCTGTCGCAGAGGCCAACTGAGAAGAACTTATGTTGTTCTTGGTATATTGATCAATAAATGAATCAGGAATATTAAGCAAACTTGGTAAGTTTGACCTATTGATACTACCGTTCGCTAACTGAGTATTAGTAAGCACGGGAGAAGACCTTGTTGACTGATTTCTTGGTTTTGGAGCATCTTCCCGTTGTGATTGCTGTGATGGCAGTTGAGATAATTGCAGTTGAGACTGCTGATTGTTACTAAGTTGAATAGGACTCATTGGTAAGTGATATAAATCTTCATCCATTACGTCCGTAATTGTTCTTTTCAAAGTTGGTAAAATTGCTAAGGAGGTCATATCTATATTTGTATCCTCGAACGACCTTGAATTTAAATCTGGTTCTTGCAAAGTTGGATTTTGAGCCTCTTAACCTTGAAGATAGTTGTAACTTCTGTAGCTTTTACTCTTGCTGCTGTTTACTTAATAGCTGTCCCTAATTACTGAAGAGCCAGACTGAGCGTCAATTAAATAAGCCAGCAAACGATACTTTAGAATTTCTTGCTTGTTCTCTGTTGTAGTCTCTGGGCTCCACAAATAGATTGCAGTGATGATTATCCAGCCAACAAAGTTTAAGATGAATAAAACAAGTGTGGTAAAAGTTATAGAACTTTAATTCGGTGGCGCCGATGTGACTCTTTATTTAGTTGTGTGGTCGTGTAAATTCCTAATCGGGTCTCTGACGCAAACAAATTTGTCAGCGATAGCGACGGAGAAGAAACCTATTTAGATGTGTCCTTTCCCTTACGACAAACGCACCTGAAATTGTGAGGTGCAAAACTGATTTCTCCGTGTGTTGATCAGAAGCTTTTGGCTCTCAATATTCGCTAGTGTTGTAATGTGTTACTACTATTGTAGCTACCTAATATAGTATTAACTAGTATAAAAGAATATATCTGCTAATTTAAAGTTACTTAGAAGCTTTGATATCGATATATATGTGTATATCCTTATTAGTAATTTGTGATGACCGTTCTTTTATGCAGCGGAGACTTTGGCATGAATTTGTATGAGTTGTCATCCCCGAAGCTTCGAGAAGTAAGTACGACCATCTAGTCTGACGGACTGTTATCACCGTCTACCGGAAATTTCCTAATACGGAAGCTCGAGCGAGATGTCATGTGATGATATCAAGTTGGTAGCTTTAAAACGGCTTGCAGCCACCCTGGCCCTTGACACTTAAATCTGGCAACGATGTGTCATTTAGGTATGAAAAGAGTATTAGTTATTGTTTCACTTCTTGTCAATCTATCACTTTTTCCATTTGCCCTAATATAGATGGCGACTACTCTTAACGTTGCTTCTTGTGATGGTATAAACGTGTGTCATCGGATTAAGGAGTTGTTATCTATGAATTCTAAAAAGCCTAGAACTTTTTGTGATTTAGTTTACTGTTTCCATGATCATTCTATATCATCCAGTATGCCTCATCCCTCAGTTCCGTGACTTATTTCTAATTCGAAGGATAAATGGCACATGATTCTTAATAGCATTTTCAAATCTACATCTCTTCTCTTAAATCATTATTGAATTAATAAATAGTATTAATCTTTCATGAAGATATATACGAGGTGTTTGTTTATTATTTAAGGCGTTTTCAGGACTTATCGAGGTGTTCCTTCTCTTCTAACTTTCTCTATTCCCTTCTCTGCCAATTCCTTGTCCAAATAATAATACCTAATTAGTGAACCCTCATCATTTAATTCAAAGACCATAGGAACTCCAGTAGGTACATTAATTTTGCTGATGTCTTTGTCGCTCACATTATTCATATACTTTATTAAACTTCTAACAACTGAGCCGTGTGTCACAATCAATACTGTTTTATTTAACTCGATTAAATTTTTTTGTAATATTTCAGAGGTGAAATATGGAATTAGTCTGTCCATTACCATTTTCAAAGACTCTCCGGTTGGTAACTTATCCTTTGGTATATCTATAAAATCATATCGTTCGTCGATTGAAACATCTTTACCCTGCTCAACCTGCGGGGGTAATCCTAAATAATCCCTCCTGACCCATTGATATTTTTCGGGTCCTAGTTCTTCATAAACTTTACTTTTGTCTACACCTTGGTATTTCCCATAATGCCTTTCGTTGAGTCTCCAAGTCTTGATCTGATCGATATAAAGCTTTTTCAACTCTTCTAGTATTATATTTCCCGTTTGAATTGATCTTGTCAATTTGGATGTATAAATTATTTGAGGATCCAAATTATTTTGGGCAATCAATTGTCCTGCCGTAAGCGCCTCTTCTTTTCCCTTGCTTGATAATGGGATATCGATCCATCCGCAAAACTTGTTTTCATGGTTCCACTGAGACTCGCCGTGACGTAATATAACAAGCTTATGAGCAACCGTCATAATCTACTTCTTCTTGGGTTTCAGACAATTCTAATTCTGGTTTACCTTAAAGCAATTAAAATAAGTACGGTGAAGAGTATCGGACCATACTCGATAGGCTTCATATCACGTTATCCATCGTCGTGTACGTCTCGTGACTTAAATGCAACCTTATAGTGTCATTATGTAACATTATTAAAGAAATGTAACGCAGCATGATAAGAAGGCTTCGTGAACCATGTGGCAGTATATAAGAGAATTTATTAGCCGATGACTTAAAGATTATAAAGATTTTTAGTTTCTGCATCTTGGTGTTAATTGGGTGGCCATTTATTAGTGAACTGAATGAACTAACTGCACCCGCTCCAAACCCGAAAATGATAACGACTACAAATCAACAACCGATTCTCAGAATTATTCATTCGCCCCTCATGCCCAATCCTTCTAAAGTGAGGTCTTTACCATTCACTTGGGATGAGACGAAGACTATAGTTGAAACAAACAAACTTGAGCTATTTGCCAGATCCGAGGAGCAAACAGAGAAGTATGCTAAATTTAAGGCGGAGCTAAAGCGGAACCACACAACAATATTCAAACATTTGTTGATTGCCGAACTAAATTGGTATGACAAGGCTTTGAATAATGGTATCGATAAAAGTGACATCAATCTATTGGATGACGCAGTCATCAAGTTTCAGCCAAAATCAAAGCATTTATTCACGGAAGCTAGTGACCTAAAAATTCTTCCAAACCATTTCCCATACTATTTTCAAGAAGGAATATCACATCTATGTGTTTGGTCTAAGCTAGTAATAGAAAATGATCCGGATTCACAAAAGGGTGATATTAGCAAGGCAACCCGAAATCTAATTTGCAAGTACGTAGAAAAAACTTTCATTGAGGGTCTTGGAATTGATAGAGAAAATGTTGTATGGTTCAGAAATTGGGGAGCACTTCAAAGCGTGAAAGGAATCAGTCACATTCATGTGTTAGTGAAAGGCTTCACGAGCGAGCAGTTGAACAAAGTTTTATATACTCCCGGTGCTCCATTGACTGAAGCCGAGTATGAAGAAGTTCATAATGAGAAATAGATACATATAGATACCCCCATTAGATAGTATTGATCTTGAATATAGAGCAAGTCAAGCAGAAACGCTACCCAGTAATTTTGCATTTTATCAGTTCAGAATATTTAATAACGTTTTCGAACGCATTTGAATACACATATTCTCAGAGGACCGCAAATCGTTTACTTTAGTAGTAAAGGTTTACAATAAAATATTATCAAAACTCGTCAATTAATATACAACCTAGAGAAATAAAGTACACTAAGATCATAACACTTAACCTCCAAAACCGTACAAGGTTCTACCTTGTCTCTTCAAAGCATAAACGACATCCAACGATGTAACAGTCTTTCTCTTAGCGTGCTCGGTGTATGTAACAGCATCTCTAATAACATTTTCCAAGAAGGATTTCAAGACGACTCTGACTTCTTCGTAGATTAAAGCAGAAATACGTTTAACACCACCTCTTCTTGCTAATCTTCTGATAGCTGGCTTTGTAATACCTTGAATGTTATCTCTTAAGATCTTTCTATGACGCTTGGCGCCACCTTTTCCTAAACCTTTTCCTCCTTTTCCTCTACCGGACATTATTGCTGTTTCTTAATATTAATGTTTTAAAAAGTACTAATTTATTTCTTGAAGGCGAACGTCTTATTTATAATTTACTGCGTCCCCCCTTAATAATGGCAATTTTTCTCAATCTTTGTATTGTGTTACAAAGGCAAATTTTACTATGGTCAGGTAAGCCCTTCTCAGCAAAAAGCTCGACTTAGTGCCTCAGCAAAAGGTCGTTAGAAAAAATGCTGTATTATTCGCAACCAGTGTGTAGATTACAGAATCGCATTCGCACTGCTTTTCTAAGGGAAAAGACAACTTTGCCAGTGTTTTCGCACTGTTTACCTTCACTTTCCCTGAGAAAAGACACTAAATTGCTGTCCTGTAGAGAGAAATGAGTATTTCGTGCGCGGGGACGCACTATGGCATCCGCGAAGAAGACTCATATATTTGTTTTGATAATGACCTCACGTTTCAATATGTTGTAAACAAACAAACAATATCTTAATATATAAAAGAAGCATATCCAAGATTTTTAATAATCCTATTTTTATATTATTATCGTAAATCAACATGGCTAGAACAAAGCAAACAGCAAGAAAGTCTACTGGTGGTAAGGCACCAAGAAAACAGTTAGCCTCAAAGGCTGCAAGAAAGTCTGCACCATCTACTGGTGGTGTCAAGAAACCACACAGATATAAGCCAGGTACCGTCGCTTTGAGAGAAATTAGAAGATTCCAAAAGTCTACTGAATTGTTAATCAGAAAATTGCCATTCCAAAGATTGGTCAGAGAGATTGCTCAAGATTTCAAGACTGACTTGAGATTTCAATCTTCTGCTATTGGTGCTTTACAAGAATCTGTCGAAGCTTACTTAGTTTCTCTTTTCGAAGACACCAACTTGTGTGCCATCCACGCAAAGAGAGTCACCATCCAAAAGAAGGATATTCAATTGGCTAGAAGATTGAGAGGTGAGAGGTCTTAGGGAATTCGGCATGAGAATTTGGTAACGTTTTAATTCTTATTCTAAGTGTATATTAGTAATATAATTTTTTCAATTAACTTGTTATTTGTAGGTTAGTAAGAGATTGAATATCACCTAGTATTATCTAAATATTTAATAAGTATTTATTTGTAGATGAACTTTTGGCTGAGAAAAAATTAGAAAGGGTACTTTTGCTCTTCGTTGTCAGCAAGATAACCTTCTTTTTCTTGTTTTTCAGCCATTTCTTCTAAATATGGTAATATTGTATCTTTAAACTTGCTTAAACCTCTATAATCTTGAACGTCTAGCTCCCAGCTATTTATAGCATTGAAAAGTCGTCTTGGTACATAAGGCTCTCGGGCAAGCTTGGTAATGGGTAAAAAGTAGGTTCGAATTGTAAAAACGGTTGCTCCCGTCTTTGGTAGCCTCCTCAAGCTTTGTCTTTCGCTTCTGAAATACAATTGTTCGGCTGTCTTAGCTGGTTCTGCGGTATACCAACCGACTGATTCATTATTCTCGTCACCAATTGACACAGACCACGGTAATTGATCATCTGTTTGTATAAAGTAGTTATTCCTAATTACTGGCTTGTCTACGGTTTGTCTTATAAAGAACTTTTCCATCCCACTCTGGAGCTTTTCTTTATATTTAGGAACATCACCAGAAGTGTGAATTTTGCTCAAAGGCATATTAAACTTGTCTTTAAGTCTCCAAAACCCAGCTAACATTATAGCTCCTGCTCTCAAAATATACTCCCCCTCCTCATTTTCTATCATTATAGCTAGATCATCCTGTACTAGGCTGGCCGCTATAAGCATAGGATCCTCTTTGGTTCGATATCCCTTCTTGAACAGAAACGTTTCACCAGTGATAATATTATCCAAACCCTGCTTTGTTTGCTTGAAAAGAGAAGGGTACCTATTTGGCAAATAGTTCCAAAACTCATCTAAAAGCTCATAGGCTGCTTCCGTAGCTATTGGTGATGTACCGTAGAGCTCACTACCTTTCTCCGCGATCCTTTTCATCTTATCCAGATGGTACTTTGGCCATTCGTTATCTAATTCTATCCAGTCCTCCCATTCCATGGCTCTGATTCCCATATTGATACTATATTTATGCCTAAAAGCACGATAAGGTATTGGTTCTGTTGTCTTTATATCCCAACCTCGATATGGAGCAGGAATGGGAGTAGAAAAATCATAATCTGGAACCCAATGACCATATTTTCTATTTTTGTTAAGGGCAGCTACTTCTTTGCTTGTGAGCTTTCTTGACGATTTGTTTAAGAAGAAAACAATTACCAATGCCGTGGAGCAAAGTAAGATGTTGTACAATGCAAATGAGCCGTGAGTATACTTCTGGAAGTGATCAAACAGCAGAAAATAAAGCGATGTAAACACCCCTTCGTTTGTTGTGGTATAATTCATATTACTTAATTGTCTTGACCTTTCTTTTATTCAGAATGATCAGCATCCCACTGAACTCTTCAACTTATATAGCGATTAGATTACTATCTATTCTTCGGTTGCATTTTCGCATAGACGGCCCAAAATAGGAAGGGGGTTCCACTACGATAATTCAGGAAACGATTATTTCTTCTATACACAAGAAATTTAAGCTGGAGGTAAAAATTCAGCAAAGAGAGCGGTCTGAACTAGGTTCCAGACAACTGAATACTTAATGATCCACATCCCCGTTGATCTCTCTTTCTGATTATTCGATATTAAAAGACTGGCTATGAACCAGTTACAAAGAGGTAAAAAAGAGGATACTCTAGTCAATATTTGTACATGCCAGAATAACAATCCCAATATTATAAGGCTAAAGTTGACCATAACATAGGGAAGAAGGATTCTGGTTGGGTTAATTTGGAAAAAATAGCGGAAGCTTAGCAAGCTTATGATAATCGTAGGTAATGCGAACAAGAAGTTCGGGATATTATTTGAGCTCCAATATCTTAAGAAACCCACGTTCCAGTAATGCGTCTGTGCAAAGGAGAATAATGAAGGCACCATATTATTACACCATTCTCCTCTTTCTGGGCAAAATTTCTCGTAATTCAACCAATTTATCCAAACAAAAGAGAAGAATAATTGCGAACCTGACGCTAACAGCCATAAAGAATCCTTCAAGTTATGATTTCTTACCATGAACTCAAAAGTATCGTATAAGTAAAATATCCCTAGTAGTAGTGCGTTCGCTCTGAATCCATAATTTAACGCAACGAATGATCCTGATAAAAGATAAGTTAGTTTATATTGGTATTGCTTAAGGGACATCTTTGAGTTGACCATAGAAAAATCACGGTAGTTGAGTGAAATTTCTCTCAAGTACATGGATATGAAACTCAATAGGCAACATGGTGATTCGGCATAATTAGCTGTTAAGAATATTCCTGCCTGAGATACTATAAATGATGCAGATGAATAAAATGACAATTTTTGTAGACGTTCTTCGTTCTGAGTAAAGTTTTTGAAAATGGTTCTAGTCAATGCAAATAGGATCAAGCTAGCCAAGTAATGTGAGATATTGTTTACGATCAAGCTCACTATAAGCTTTGTATAGAAATTATTCTCCCCAAAAGGAATTGATTTAATCATTCTCCAATATAACGGGCAAAATACGAATTGATGCTCGAATTTGATTTCATTAAAGAATAAATCAGTAAAGTAAACTGCATCCCATCTTATCACTTTATCTAGTATATTAGTAATTAGGTATTCTGTTATGTTAGGATATCTTGAACTTTCAATTAGCTTATACTTTGAATTTATGTGAGCTTCAATTACTATTTCCGATGAGGTGTCAAACTGACTTGGTACAAAGTAAACAATGAGCACTTGTGAAAGCTTTAAAAGTAAAAATAAAACGGTTAGGTTCCATACTGTGCTCTTCATAGCTAGTGGTCTATTTTTTTTGATTTTACCTATATGACGAACAGAAATTTATTCTCGATCTACAATAAATGATTGTAAGTACGACACATTAATATATTAATGGATCAAGCTATAAATATATTTAGTTTACTTCTTACCAAATTGAGTACTGAATGCTTCGATTATACCAGCAACAGATTGAGGATTGGCTAAAGTTGTGATGTCGCCTAACTGATCAGCTTCATTAGATGAAATTTTACGCAAGATTCTTCTCATAATCTTACCAGACCTAGTTTTTGGCAAATCACCCACTATAATAACATTCTTGGGTGCGGCAAAGGGGCCAATTTCGCTTCTGACTTGTAAGATTAATGCTTTTCTCAATGAAGTTGCTTCATCGCTTGTCTCATTACCGCTTATTTTTTTGGATTCGTCGTCCTTGAGAGCAACGTACGCCACAACTGCTTGTCCGGTCAAGTCATCATTAATTCCAACGACCGCAGCCTCAGAAACTCCTTTGTGCTCAATTAATGCAGCCTCTATTTCTGAAGTAGACAATCTGTGACCAGAAACATTAACGACATCATCAACTCTACCTCTAATCCAATAGTACCCATCATGATCTCTTGCAGCTCCATCACCTGTGAAGTAATAACCGGGATAAGGTTTTAAATAAGTGTCCATATATTTAGCATGGTTTCTCCAAACTGACCTTGCCATGGATGGCCAAGTATTCTTCACAGCTAAGACTCCTTCGACATCATTCTCTTTGATCTCAGCGCCTGTTACAGGGTCAATAAGGCAGGTGTCAATACCGAAGAATGGCAATGACGCAGAACCAGGCTTATTTGGTGTAATTCCTGCAATTGGTGCAATGAAATGAGAACCTGATTCAGTTTGCCAATAGGTATCAGAAATATGACACTGACCCTTACCCACTTTTTCATTATACCATTCCCAAATATCGGGAGATATAGGCTCTCCAACTGATCCAAGTGTTCTTAAGGAGCTTAAATCGTACTTAGCAATTTCCAGCTCGCCGGACTTCCTTAACAAACGTAACGCAGTGGGAGCTACGTAAAAATGGGTTACTTTGTGCTTCTGGACGATTTGCCACAACCTACCATAATCTGGATAAGCTGGTGTGCCCTCAAATATAACTGTTGGAACGCCTAGAGTCATAGGACCATATAAGGCGTATGTGTGTCCCGTGATCCATCCCACATCACCAGCAGTGAACAAAACATCTTCAGGTTGTATATCAAATATGTATTGGGTAGTCAAAGCCGCTCCCAACAAAAAGCCCGCAGTAGAGTGAACGACACCTTTTGGAGTGCCGGTTGAACCAGAGGTGTATAACAAGAATAATGGGTCTTCCGAATTCACTGGAACTGGAGCAAAATACCCTGGAAATTTTTCTGTTTCTTCATGCCACCAATAATCACGACCCTCTTTTAAAGAAATCGCCTCATTACCAGTTCTTCTGAACACTAAGACTTTTTCAACCGTTGGACAATTAGAAAGGGCCTCATCGCATAACTTTTTAATGTTAACCGTCTTGCCTCCACGACGACCTTCGTCACAGGTAATCAATGCTTTGCAAGAAGCATCATTTACTCTGTCTTTTATAGAACCTGAAGAGAAGCCGGCAAATATAACAGAGTGGATTGCTCCAATTCTTGCAACGGCCAACATTGAAATGATGGCTTGAGCATTCATAGGTAAGTAAATAGCAACCGTATCACCTTTTTTAATACCCCAGCTATTCAAAACACCTGCAACTTTGGATACTTCACGTAATAATTCCGCGTAAGTCAATATCTTACTTTCCTTCTCGTCGTCAGCTTCGTAAATTAAAGCAGGTTTATGAGGATTTTTAAAGGCATGCCTATCAACACAGTTGTAACTCGCATTCAATTCCCCACCAATAAACCAGGCTGCATCACCGTAGCTCAAAGATCCTGACTTTACTTTTTTGAAGTCTCTGTCCCAACTCAATAATTCCTTTGCGAAGGGGCCAAAAAAACCCTCTGGATCCTTAATGGATTTTTCATACATCTCATAATACTGCTGCAAATTCTTAAGATGACCAGGGTGTGGTTGCCTTTCAAAAAACTCTTTTGGGGTTGGTATAGCATTAATATGGTTAGCCTCATGGACAACTTTATGATTCGCTGAAGTCATTTTAATCTATGAGTAATAAACGTAAAGTGTCCGCCGTTTTTTAGATTCGTGGTTTTAGCACCTTGAAGTTTCTTGTCTTTTTATCTGTATACTGACAAACGGTGAAATGACTGAACTCAATTGATCAATCTATACTCGTAATTAACTATAAGATAACTTAATAATCCTGCTTTCTATCAGCCTGATTTATGATGAATGATATCTAACTTAAAAAGACGTGTAATATCTACGTCTTCCTTATAAATTCTATACTGATCTTAACTCGATAAGTATATAAACAGAGCAGAAACTTCTTTCCTATTCTTAGGTAAATCTGGGGGGATCTACTTGGTTATATACCAATTTCGGACTTTTGACTTCTTATTCAAAGTACTGCTTTTTTGGATTGAGGCCCGAAATTGAAATTTGTCCTGACCGGCATAAACGATCTAAACGAATGAAAATTTTGGTGAACAGTTTGTTGGCAAAGATTGTGTGTCGGAATTGGACCCCGTAATCAAATTGGCTGCAATTGGCTAAGTCGGTGCAAGTTAGCTATAACATAATCGCCAATAATACCATAAGGTATCTCATATTGTTGCTCATGTATTGACCCCGGAGTAGCAATCTGTTCCTTGTTCAATATCTGGGGTCATAGCTAAAACCGAACTTTAACACCGAAATAGTCTACAGTACGGAACATACGAAAGCATACTCCGGGCTAGCGGCAACTATTCAGCAGTATGATAACATGTTTTTGATTACCGCAACCTTTCTTCTCCAAACCGCTCTATAGATGGTTGTTTCGAATCCACAAGGCATAGTAGTTAAAGAAACCAGTAATAACAGGGTCTTATCGCTTAAAAGCAGTGTCTTTCAAAGGTTATCACCTCCAGAGCCCCTCATAAGTCCCGCCATTAGAAATTGCTGCTATGGGTGTGGTTGAATCACAGTCTGGATCAACGGATCTCAAGACTGACTCGGCCAGAGATAATGTGACTTCCCTCCCATTCGACCTCGTAAATAGCCCAACCAAATGTGGGGGCCAACAAAAACTTTAAAGATTCATCGAACAATAGAAGTCACGAGATCAGTATAAGGTAAACATCGGAAGTAGCCTTCCGAGTTTGCCAGACGTCACTGTTCTTAAAGTCACGTTCACAATATTCTACTACTCTTATGAATAATTTTTCTAAATATACAAACTTCTATTCCTTTATCTATATATTCATTAACTCTAGGTATCTCTATCTATCTACCTTTTAATATTTTACTGAAATTAATCAACCTCTTCGACAGTTGGGCCATCGTTACCTGCTTCTGGGGCGGCACCACCTGGGAAACCACCTGGAGCAGCACCGCCTGGGGCAGCACCACCTTGATAAGCCTTGGACATGATAGGATTAGCCTTACCCTCCAATTCCTTTTGTCTGTCGGCAAACTCCTCAGCTGTAGCAGTTTGGTTGGAATCTAACCATTCAATAACTTCTTCAGCAGCCTTAGTAACTTCCTCAATTTCAGAAGCATCCAACTTAGACTTGAACTCTTCTTCACCTAAGGTTGACTTCAAAGAGTAAGCGTATGATTCCAAAGCGTTCTTGGCCTGGACTCTAGCTGCTTCCTTTTCATCCTCATCCTTAAACTTTTCAGCTTCAGAAACCATTCTTTCAATTTCGTCCTTAGATAATCTACCCTTATCATTTGTGATAGTGATCTTCTGAGTCTTACCAGTACCCTTTTCTAAGGCAGAAACATTCAAGATACCATTTGCATCTACATCGAAAGTAACTTCGATTTGTGGAACACCTCTTGGTGCAGGTGGAATACCAGATAATTCGAACTTACCCAACAAGTTGTTGTCCTTTGTCTTAGCTCTTTCACCTTCAAATACTTGAATCAAAACACCTGGCTGGTTGTCAGCGTATGTTGAGAAAGTTTCAGACTTCTTGGTTGGAATAGTTGAATTTCTTGGAATCAATTTGGTCATAATACCACCGGCAGTTTCGATACCTAATGATAATGGAGCAACATCCAACAATAACAAGTCTTGAGTCTTGGAGGAAGTGTCACCAGACAAAATGGCAGCTTGAACAGCAGCACCGTAAGCAACAGCCTCATCTGGGTTAATTGACTTATTTGGCTCTTTTCCATTGAAGAAGTCAGAAACTAACTTCTGAATCTTTGGAATTCTGGTAGAACCACCAACGAGAACAATCTCATCAACTTGAGACTTGTCGACCTTAGCATCTCTCAAAACCTTCTCTACTGGATCCAAAGTAGATCTGAATAAATCTTGACATAATTCTTCGAATCTTGCTCTGGTGATAGAAGTGTAGAAATCAATACCTTCGTATAAGGAGTCAATTTCAACTGATGTCTGAGCAGAAGATGATAAGGTTCTCTTGGCTCTTTCACATGCAGTTCTTAATCTCCTTAAAGCTCTTTGGTTGGAGGATAAGTCCTTCTTGTTCTTTCTCTTGAATTCGTTAACGAAATGGGTGACTAATCTGTGGTCAAAATCTTCACCACCTAAATGAGTATCACCTGCAGTCGATTTAACTTCAAAAATACCATCTTCAATGGATAATAATGAAACATCGAAGGTACCACCACCTAAATCGAAAATCAAAACATTCTTTTCTTTTTCGTCTTTCTTGTCCAAACCATATGCAATGGCAGCGGCAGTAGGTTCGTTGATGATTCTCATAACGTTCAAACCAGAAATCAAACCAGCATCCTTGGTAGCTTGTCTTTGAGAATCGTTGAAATAAGCTGGAACAGTAACAACAGCGTCGTTAACTTTGGTTCCTAAGAATTCTTCAGCAGTCTCTTTCATCTTACCCAAAACCATGGAAGAGATTTCTTCTGGGGTAAAAACTTTAGTTTCACCTTTGTATTCGACTTGAATTTGAGGCTTTCCACCCTTGTCAATAACCTTGAATGGAAAGTGTTTGAGGTCACCTTGAACTTCAGCATCGTCAAACTTTCTACCGATCAAACGTTTGGCGTCGAACACAGTGTTTGCTGGGTTCATAGCAGCTTGATTCTTAGCTGCATCACCGATCAATCTTTCAGAATCTGTGAATGCAACGAATGATGGAGTAGTTCTGTTACCTTGGTCATTTGCAATAATCTCAACACGATCATTGGCAAAATGGGCAACACAAGAATATGTCGTACCTAAATCAATACCGACAGCTTTAGACATCTTTATCTATGAATCTAATATAATATGAGATATAGTATCTTCGTATTCTGAAAAGAGTTAATGTAAAAAATCTCGACTTCCTCAGTGTCCTTTTATACTAGAAATGGCCATTTCAAAAGTAATTGAGCCACTAGTTTTCGTCGATGCAAGTAAGCTGCTTGCACATTCTATTAGATTCGATAACATTCTATGCAATTGTTCCAGACGAATTACGGTGCGAACTATCGACTTCGACATTGGCTGCAACTCCTTTCGATAGAAGCCTGAAGAATTCTAAATAGCAATATTCTAATCTCGTGACTCGTCATGTGATTACTAGTTTTTATATTCAGCCACAATTACATTTCAACTGAATCACAGTCATAACGTTTCAATCTTATACATACGTGAATAGAAAAAATATACATAGTGAAAGCAAGAAGATAAAAGGGAGAGTATTCATATTCCATTAAATAAAAATGCCTAACATTAATGGTCAGGTATAAAATAAAGTATGTGGTGTTTTGTGCTGCTCATATGCTTATGTTGCATATTAGATAACCTAGATTCGTCCACCAGTGAGTTAAACACCTTTCTTGAGCCGGGCATGTAGCATTACGGTGGTACAATCTAAGTCAGCTTCTCTTTAGTATAATCATTAACCAAGTGGAAAGAACCTATTCTTCTGAAGACACCCTTGGCTGTAATCCATGTCTGCTTAATGGCAGGGACATCAGATTTGTTAACTGTGTTGTCGATGAAAACCTCAATTGATTTAATATGATTCCTAGTAAAAGACGACTTCTCAAATCTAACCTTCACGAATAGCGCGTAGAGTATGAAGGGCAATAAAGATCTCTTCCTAAACGTAACAATACGTAAAAATAACCAGACTAACGTGAAGTTCTCTAAAACCGCAGCCAATTGGACTGACTTGACGTTATTTTTGGAAATAAAGTCGCCAACTTTAGTAGAAATTGGGTGCTCATCGAGCCTGGCAACTGGTAGCAAGTATGCTTTTGTATATGCTAATACATGAAATACAGAAAACAATGCAAAAGGCAACAAGGTTAATAACACATAGGGTCTGGTAACCAATAATCCAACGCCCAAGAAGAAGTATTGAACATTATCATCTCTAATCAAGGTGCCAAAACTTGTCGTCTTTTTGCTCAATTGATAGATTAAAATGCCGAAGCTTTCGACAATTCCAATTAGTGCTAACTGATACCAAAACCTTGGATACTTGCCAAGCTTCACATAAGTTAACAGATAGAAGAAAATACTCAATAGTGTGACGACATGTCCAACAAACCAAGCAAATTGAAGTGACTGGAATAGTTAGTAGTGTTATAAATGTCTCTCAGTAATATACTTACTCTCACAGCAGTAGCCAACTTCTCTTTATCTAATCCTGCCTTAGAGGATGTATTGGTCTTTGTCTCAGGCACTTTGGCTTTCGATTCTGGTGTTTTACTTTCCGACATTATTCCTCTTAATTGTCAAGTTTCTTTTCTTAAAAACGAAATAGCAATACAATATCTCTTGAGGATGGATTTTTTAGCAAATTTCAGAACAGATTGTTAATAAAGCTGTTAAAGTCACGAGATCAAACAAAGTAGGCGCTACAATTTCACAATCCGCACTGCAAAACTTACCATAATAAGAAGGCGATCAGTGCCTACGAATTTAAAGATTGCGGGTTCCACCTTCGAATTGATCTACAGTTGATTTCAAAATGATTCTCGGGTACATACTTCTATATATTGTGATAAGCACAAATAAAATTATGAAACCAGGAAGCAGTAATAAACGATAATAAAATATAATAAAATAGTCAAGTTAGAGGAAAATAAAATAAAATATAGATATCAAAACTTCAACTCCATAAGAGCCCCTACTTCGAACTTCGATTCTTATATTCACGTTTAAGTCTTTTCATT